GTCGACCGTTCCGTCAATGTTTGGGCCGGACGGCTTTGCGAGCTTGAACAGGTTGTCGGCGTCAGTGTTGTACCTTTGCTTTTTGCTCGCTCATAGCGGGACATAGAAGGGGACGAAGAAGCGAGGAAATTGAGCGAAGCAAGATTCTCCTGGAGGCTTTTTGTCTGCCCATCAATCTTTTCGATGATTACCTATACAATATTGATTTGATCTTTAAAAAAATTAAATGAATGGCAGAAATAACGTTTGAATATAGAGTTTCGTGGAATTTCGGCATCTAAAAGAAGCCATCGTAGGAGCCTAATTATTTTGGCACTCCGAAGGTCATAGTTTATACTAGCACACTGTCGTCTTCCTTATTGATGGTTTTAAACATTGTTATCTGCGGGTTAGTCCGAAAATTTTAATAAATTATGATCCGGGCAAGGTTAAAAGGTTAAGGAATTTGGAACCATACTTTCGATCGTGTAGCTCCGAATGGAACATTTTAAGGGATGAAATACATTTTGTTAGTTGGGATTGAAACTAAAATGATTCGACCGCGGTGCCTAGAAAAAGTAACGCGCGTTATTTTACGAGTTGTTCCTGGAATTTCTTGAGAAGTGTGTTATGATTGGGTAATAGACATTCCGGAAATACGTGGCGCCCCCACTGTCTGGTTGGCGCATCATGATGATCCAGAGTACGGCACGTGAAAGGTTGCCCAGGAATAGAAGACGAAGTTCACGTTGTCTTTATATTTATTTCAGAACGAAAGGAAGGCCGAAAGCGAGCAAAAGAGAGACGCGATGACATTTATGATGTTCGTTTTATTTTTCCTGTTTTCTGAACTCCCAATGATAAGGGACAATGAACCCGGGCGTACATCGAAACAGCCCCACAATTCTCTTCGCCGCGCAGTGCAATTCGGCGAAGCCACGAGGTGTCTGGGATTTCCTGGTAAAGGTATATTTCTCTCTAGGAATATACCTGCAGAACGACTCGCACTGGGATTCACCAGTGGTGGCGTGCCACGGCACCCCAGAAGACAAGGCCTGCGCGTTACGTCACCGTCGATGGATGGATCCCCGTCCCAAGCAGCAAACAAGAGAGCCAGACCCGTCCGTCTTGTCGTCACCGCCTGCTAACGTCGCCCTCCTCGCGAGACGTTTCGAGACTTGCTGGCGGCGTGGATCCACTACTGATTACGTTTGGGGAGGGGTTGTCTTCAAGGTGCCATACTGGCCATGGGCGGCGGAGTGAGCCAGCAGAGCGGAACGTCGACCGGATCGGCCAGACTCCGGGCGCTCCCGACGCGCATCATGTAGCCGCTGGGCAACGCCTTCGCCGCGCTTCAATTCGTGGCCATCGATTAGCGACGAGCCTCGCGCGTCGTTCTGGATGTTCGAGGGCGCGGGATCGCGCACCTCGCTTCACTTCCGTCAACTGACGAAAATGAAGCGAGGGAGACCCAATGGTGACCCCCTCAGGGTCTCCCTGCAGGGTCGAGTGATCCGACGACTCTCGCAGGGATCGAACGGCCAGCCTCGAGGGCACCTGCGGAGGATCCGATGCAGATGATCAAACAGCGCCGAGAGGGCTTCGTTGCTGTCGCCTTTGAGCGCTGCTTTCACCGACTGAACCATTGACGAAGTTGCGTCGAGACACTCCGCCCATTCCTGGCGCTAACGGAAGAGCGAAGCCTTTAGTGAATTTCTCCGGTTCACGTTTTCTTTGTCGGCTCGAGCCCCGTCATCTGCGCCCTCATCTCCAGTCCGCGAGTCGAAAACCGACTATTTGGACTCGGCCTACGCATCCTTCGATGTCTTTCGAGTACTTGCACTTACGACGTTTCGTGAGACGTCGCTGTGGGTCCCTTTTTCTTTTTTCCTCGTCTCGGGAGTTTTATAAATATGACTGTTCACCTGCTAGTCTGCCCCATCGCCCTTATTTCGGTGCATCGTGGTCAAGTTTCTGTGAACATACTCGGGTTGTAGTTGCTCTTTCACGACGAACCGGCCAAGGGTAGAGTTTGACCTAGTTCGACTTCTCCTTTCTTCCAACTCAAAGTTCGGCAAAAGTTCCATTTTCTGTACGCGTGCGCAAAAATTGAAAACGAGCTTACGCCACCCGGCGTAAGGAAAGTGCAGATAGGGATTGGGTATATTGTTTCATCGGTTCCCATTAGTAATCGAACTATAGGGCATTAAAAGTATGTATCTTTGCTTTGGTATTGTGGAAGCATTGGTAACCATTTTATGATATATAAAATAACCTACATAATAAAAATTGTCAAAGAAACTAAAAGTGCTGTCGAGCGCTGGTGCGAATTAATCATGAGACGGAAGGAAACTTGATGGCAAACTGAGGCGTCTAGCGATGGGGATTATGTGATGATGTACCGTATTTACACAAGTAATAGCCGCACTACTTATGGGCAAGGCCCTGGCGTCTACTTTCACACAGAACACATATACAGCCAATCATTGCATTGCGCATAAATAACATAACGAATAACCAGATTGAGAACACGATTCTCCATACAAATGCAATCTTCGCAGATGGTATCTTCGCACGACCGTTATCTTTGTCCTGTAAACAGCTGGAATCATGCTGTCGAACGCGGTGATTGGCAATCTGCGTGCTCTGCGAAAAAGGAACCCTCAGGTTTTCTTCATAATTAGTGCGGCTACTACTCGAGTAAATACGGTTATATACGAGCTGAAAGTGATGGTGATTATTATATGTGTAAGTGCGTTAGGCCTATCAGCGGTCTTCACGGGGCTGCCATGGGCTGGGCTGTTGGGTCCTAGCGTGCCGTTCTCGACTGCCTGGAGAGAGCTCCCCGCGTGCCCGACTTGCAGACGTGCCGGCCGCATCACCGACGACTCTGGGAGTTCAGCATTCCCGTGGTGGGGCTCCAGGGGTCGGCGCCGGTGTTGGCCGGGCGGTGGTCTTTACAAAAGCGGGTCTTGAGGTCTCCCAGCTTGCAGTCGAGCTTGTAACCGAGCAGCGTGAGCACACTGTCGATCGAAGACATGGTCTGTGCCACTGGTACGGCTGGCTCTCCAGACAACGCAGATGGTCCTGAGGACGTCCTCAGCTGGTCGAGACGTCTTCGTCCTGAACTAGTTGGGACATTCTGGTCCTTTCAAAGACGTCTTGACGACTTTTTCAGGTTCCCTTATTTAGGCAGACGAAAAAAGTCTTCTCCCGAATGATTTTCAATAGTACAAAAGGTTTCCATGCGTCGCAACCGGATTATGAGCGCGTCCAAGCGTACAACTGAGCAAGATGGCGGCGCCCTGAGGCCGGACTTGTGACTTGCAAACATGTATAGGCCTGTAAGCAGTGAGAGAGTGCAGGCGAGCTGGTAATCAATCGTCATCTTGTAAACCCTGAGATGGGGAACAATAAAAAAACGGACGAACACAACAAAATCTCAAACGCAGCGTTTGAGATTTTGTTGTGTTCGTTCGTTTTTTTATCGTTCCCCATCTCAGGGTTTACAAGATGATGATGTATAGGCCCTAGATGAAGATCGACACAGCTCGAGTAAGAACCGAGCCCTTTCCATTCCCACTCCATTCCGGGCACTAGGCGTTTCATTCCATTCCCATTACATTCCTCCCAGCATTGCCGCCATCCCATTCCCATTCCACTCCGGGGTCGCGGAAGTGCGGAACGATTCCGGAATCATTCCAACTCCGGAGTGACAACTCCGCAACACTGTTGCGCAGAAGTCAGTCAACACCTTCCGTAAGCCGAACTTGGTCGAATTTCGCTATAAGGCCGAAGGTTCGCTGACCTATTTGGTTCGTCGCCAAACCCCTTGATGGACGAAAGTTTGGTGGCATCCCTAACCTTCTCCGAAAGTCATATGCTGAACGGGTCAAGCAGGATGAGAGAGTCGGAGTGGTGCACGTGACGGCGCGATAGCGGCACGCGCTCCGCGAGCCGCGACAGTTTTCGCTCCGACGCGCCAACTCGCTTCCCCTCGCACTTGTCGAGCTGCCAGCGCAGCCGTTGCAGCCGGTGTAGCCCCGAGGCTGTCGGTGGCGCACCGTTACACCTTGCGGCCCAGGAGCAGCTGTTCTTCCCCGGTCGCTCGTGGCTCATCGCCTACGTTCTGCTTGGGCGTTGTTCGCTCCACGTTCACCAAGGTCGGCGGCAAGGAATACAAGGATTGACGAGACGCGGCGTGCGTTGCTTCCAGCTGAGGGGAGCGTGGGGAGAGAAGCGCGCTCGCCTGGAAACTTCGGCTCGGACCCCTGACGCTCATCGGTTTGGGCCGATCGATTCCTAGCTCGGGGAAATCGAGTCTCCGCGTGCGTTGTCCACGGCGCACGACGCCACTCATCGCCACGTGGCACGGACATCAAAACGAGAAGACCGGGATGACTTTTGACGGGGAATCTATCGGGACGTACTACCGTGGTGTCGCTGGTCGGGAACAGCGGCGGGCCTTTCTTGACGATCCCCACTGCGAACACATAATACGAAAGACACCGCTGCTGGCAGGGTGGCAGAATTATCCGCAAGCATGCTCCAAGTTTTTCTGTGACGTCATAACAATGGAGAAACACGCCTCAAGCAATGCCTGCAAACTGCTTTTTTTTTGTTTTTTTGTTTTAGGGAACTAGAGTAGTATCAGTGGCGCGTACTAGGACATATCGTTCTATGGACCTTTCGCGTTCTTTGCGCGTCTTTGGCCGTTTGATAGGGCAACATCATAAATATTACTTGCGCGGGAGCTTTGTGGCAAGTTACGCTTGTTTAGCCGGTGTCGGATATAAATCCGAACGCTTCGTTCCCTAGAATACACCAAAGAGCTAGTGTTCCTCCTTGGCATGAAGCGCGGTCTGGCGATCTCTGGCCAGTGCGCGCTGTGGGAGGCGCTCCCAGGGGACTGCTGGGGCGACACGCGGACAGCGGAGCGTGGCCTCAGACCGGTCCGAGGAGACAGGTTTTGTGGGGCGGCCGGCGTGGCCGGAGACTGACCGCTGCTCCTCGGCGCGCAGGGGCTGCCTGGAGGAGGAAGACGCCTGGCGCGTGCGGGTCACCGTGTACGACGCCCAGCGGCCGCACCTCGTGTCCAGCCCGGAGTCGCCCAGCCTGGACCTGATGAGCGTGCCCGTGGCCATGGCTACCCCGCCGCCGCACGACGGCTACCTCAGGCAGCAGAGGTGAGCCGCCCGCTCCTCGCCGCCCCGACGCCACTCGGCTTCAGCTACCGGCCGCCTTCGCCGACCGGCGATTCGGCGCATTTGCTCCGAGACAATGTGTAACTGGAATTTCCGCGACTCGCAACGTATCACTCGAAATTTGTTTGCCGTCGAAATATTGCTGAAACGCCCACTTCGTAAGATATTGACCTCGCGAAAATAAACCCGTCCTCAGACGGATGAAAGAGACACGCACCTGATTAGATTTTTTTTTTTTTTAAATCTTGTTTGAGTAAAGCCAGAAGGTCGTAAATAACCTCCAACTATTAATATATGTCCACACGGTAGGGGCTATTAAATACTAGTTTTAAAAGGAACAGTCTCGCGTCTTATGTTTTTGTTATTTCTTCGCCAAATCGAAACCTTGCAACCCAGGACAATCTCGACTCCTATTAGGATCACCGTGGCCAAAGAACGGTGAGCAAATGTCATACGAAAGAACCATTTGTGTGGAGCTCTAATATAAGCTCTCTTGGAGTGGTGATTTGTATTAAACAAAGCCTCGCTCTATATATCCATGGTATTCCAAGGTAAACATAAACAAACAAGCAATGGCGGAACTTTCTGTGGCCAGCTTCTCCAGCTTCTCGCGTATGTTTCAGCTTCTCGCGTATGTTTCAACGAGCAAGAAAAAGCAGCGCGTCTTTTAGGTTTTTCTCGGCGGAAAATCAGAAAATGTACGTCGAAAACCGGACGTAAAACGGATCGGTGTGTGTTTCTGGACCATACGGCACCAAGAAAAAGCAGCGCATCTCGTTTTATTTGGCCTCATGGCCCTACTTGACGGCCCATTGGAAACCATTGGAAAAAGTTAGAGGCCCACAAATCAACCAAAGCACGTAATTGTTTCGCTTTCATTTCTTCTTTTTTTCGTGCACGTTAGAGCGTGCGTGAAAACATCATTACTTCATAAAGTGCGCGGCATCGCCGTGAGTGTTCGAGTTGGCCCAAGCGAAACTACGCTACGTCTGTCGGACGTAGTTGAATGAAGGCGCGAAGGATTCTGCCACTCGTGCTCGATCGTGCTCGGGAAAACGCGAGCGGTGCGTTTTCGACGACGAGTAGAGATATCTCGACTGGGACAAAGCCGTCGCGGTGTGTAGTACCGCTCGTTCCCCGTAAAACTCAAGCGGCGTGTTGTCTACGACGATCGAGTGGAGATAGATCGTGATTGTGACAAAGTCGACCGACCTAGCGCGGCGATCCCGTTGAATGATATTCACGTGGATACAGTTGCAGACGCAGACGTCAACATGCTGTTCTAGATTCTAGAACCTAGGCGGCTAAGGTAAAAAAACTAGTTTCGGGTCCGACTTGTTACTGCCACGCGACACTCCCGGGGAGATACCGTATTTCTTCGAACTCTTCTGTTTGGGAAGACACACAGGCGCTGTTATGTCTGACGGCGCGGGCGAGTAATAAAATCGAAACGATGGTACTAGTGCCTTCTCTTTCGCGTCTTGCTTTGATCGTGTCACAAACAGACGTTTGATTTTCATGCCGAAAAGAAAAGAAGAAGAAAAAAAAAAAAGAATCTGGCTCCCGAATTTTAAGTTGACGTGTCTAAACTGACGTGAACCGAACCTCAGGTTCGGTTCCATGCGATAAGATCCCTCCCATTCTGAAGTCCTCCGCTGACAAAAACTTGATAAACTCTCAAAATTTACGTTTTTCTTCTTTTTAGTTTGTCTGCGGTTTTTGGCTGGAGTTTGTTCAGATAACATAAACCGTCTGTTCACAAGCTCGCATGCACACGAAAATTAACGTCAGCGAGTGATTCTGCTCTAAGATAAAAAAAGGAAAAAAACAACAACAATGAAACGGTCTGGTCAGTGTTATAAAAACCTGCGGTCGTGATAAAATTTAAAAAAAGTTATATTTGGCCGAATATTAATTGATATTTCAATCAATCTTGATTTGCGTGGGAACTCAAGCGTGAATCGTTCGATCCAGTATCTTCGCTATCCGGAAGAGTCGGATTTGTGCATTTGTGATTTCAAAATTCAGCTATCCTAGTGTTGAGCGGGAAATCGACGTCCGCGTGACTGAGACCGTTCGCGCCCGACGGCCGCGGCTTCTTTTATTTCGCGGAGATCTGTCACAGCAAAGTAGCCCAATCGATTGCAAAGCATAGCAGCACTTCAAGAAGCCAGTGGACGCGGAAAACATTACAAAAGAGAGATTTAATTGCGGAACACACGACACTTGGCGGTGATGTTTCCCTTTAAAAACATGCAAAGGAAACCCGAACCGGAAGTGTTCTCGGCTCCCTGTCATGGCGGCCGGAAGTGGCCATCATGTTGTTAAAATCGATTTTTTTTTTTTTTTTTTTTGTCATCTTTAGTCTTGTTTTTTAATATTCGACTCCGGTATTCTGGCCTCACCGCAACAATGCCGCAGTAAACTGCTTTTCTTGATTTCCCCGAAAATACAGCGATGGCTAAAAGGAGGTTCACTAAGGTCGCCTCTCAGCTGTTATTTGCGGCGAGCCAGACGTTCTTCTAGTACCTAGTTACGCGGTAAACCGGAGTTTTAACTGCGGTGCTTGTAACTGGGGCATAGTTGGCACTAACTGCTTGCCATACTTGAGCGTAAGTGCGGTTTTAGGATGCCCGTCGTGCACCGTTAACAGCTGCGGCTAAGGGAGCCCACGTAAACTTTGGCAGGAGGACAGTTAATTTTTGCAGGATATCCCTTCCCGCAGGCAGCGGCGTGCCCAAGTATAAAATGTGGTGTTTTACACCTTTATCAGAAAATGCAGGGAAATGAAAAAAAGCACCGAGGTCGTCTTATCACGCTTCCACGCCTTCACTTTCTTCCACATTTTTAATGACAACTAGAAGGCCACTTTTCGATCACACCCTAATTTGATCGCGCGCGCACAAAGGAAAAAAAAAATGTTTTGCAGTTAGTTTCCGGGCACGGTGGACATTGGCTGGCTGCAGAACAAAGGCGTCGCGGGAGGCACACTCGCGGAAGAAAACTGCGCTCGCTGGTTCTTCTGATGGGAGAGACGCCTTCCGCCCCGTAAAGTATCTTGCGAGGTTTCCCCCCCGCGCGACCCAGGCGAAATTCCGCTTCCCGACGGCCCTGTCAGGGTGTCGTTCTCTGGGCGTCCCCGCTGGCGCGAGGAAGTGCGCCACGCGCTGGCAGCTCTGCCGCTGGAAGCCTGGCGGAATCAGGAAGGAGCAGTGGCAGCAGTCCGACACGCGAGCTGACGCGAATGACCCGGAAGGAACGGAGACTTTCGCCGTCCGCTGAGCACCGCACGTCGCGCCGATGATGGCGGAGGCGCTCCGGGCTCCGCCCAACGGAGACGCAGCAAAGCGGCGAAGCACGGGGTCGAGGCTGCGAGGCGTCCGGGCCGCGGGTACGGGCTCCGGGCCCTCACGGCGCGCGCGCAAACCCCTCGGCCCAAAACAAATAGGGCCAAAAGGACGGGCGGCCGCGCCTATGGGATGGAAATAGCCGGGCTTTCTCCTGCGCGTCGGGGCAGCGTCGTCGCGCGTTGCGAAACCTCGTCCGGAGCGAGGGTCCTGCGGGTGGGCACGGTGTTCTAAAGAGCCTCCTCCGGGGGTTCCCGTTCGGATTGACGGCGATGGGCTCCCACGCAACGGCAGCGCAGCCATGTTGGCCGACCGGCTCAGGACCCTCGAGCCCAGCATGAGCGTGGACGCCCGGCTTCACCTGTACTGCGTCGTCGTGCCCAGGGCACGGTAAGCGCTCCCTCCCGCCGCGGGCGCCCGCCCCGGAGCGAGTTTCCGCTCGGAGCCCTCGGTCTTGTGGTCGGCCGCTGCTGGGCTGCCTCTCTTGCGTTGCACTTCGGCCACACGGGGGGTCGATTGGTCTGGGCGCCGGGTGCCACTTCTAAAAGGCTGTGAAGTCAGCGGCACCGGCGACGTCAAAAAAAGAAAGAAAAAAAAAAGGGGGGGGGGGGGGGGGGTGAATGGGGTGGAATGGGATAGGATTGTGAAGAGGAAGAAATCTTTCCCTCCCCCTCCTTTCATCTCTTGAACACTTCTGACTCCCCCGAATCCCCTATGTGGCACCTTCCTAGTTCCTTCCCGAGGAATGTTGTTCTTTCAAAAGGGCTGTGGAGGGCGCTTTCATCCATCCATTTGCTCGTCCGTTTGCTCAGGAAGAAGCTTGGACTTAGCCTCCCGTATTACTTTTTGGAAAATTAACTAAACTAGTAGTCACCCCGGAAAGGACTATCTTTTGTCAGACTGGCACTCTTTAAGAGATTTGGTTCCTCTGGCTCGCTCACTTCAGAACCAAATTAAGGGACTGTGTTTGGCATACAGCTCTTGGATGGAACAGCACGGATATATGCAGTTACACTCACAGGCCTGTGAGTGTGACTATATTTGCGCTGTTCCATCCAAGCAGGAATTGCCAACCAGCCCGAGCATCCACATACAGCTCTGTCAGCAAGGAGCGCTGGAGCACTAGTTTCACGAGTCTTCTGTGTACTTGGTTCGGGCACCCATCCAAACTTGCGAGCCCCTTGTCCCTGCACTGGTGTTGCAAGGCCCATCCGTATTGGACTTGTTGCGACTTGGGCGTGTTTCATATTGACAAAGAAATCCAAATACCTCGACTCCAATCTGCCATTTTGTTGTTAGATGTCAGCATGACGGAACCTGAAGCCTCTGTGCACAATGCATTCTGTATTGTTATCTAGATCTTCGGATTGCTTAATTACCTCAGGCATGTGCCAGACATTGTGTAACAAAAAAATGGTGGACGTCAATAAAACACTTAATGTGGATATTGGACTAAAAAGAACAAATGGTGGTATGTTGGTTTAAAGGATGTGTGTAATTAATAAAGCTGCAATTTTTCCGAGAGGTGCGTGATAATTGTGGTGTGGGAACGATGAATTGTGGGGCCTACGTCCAATTTGTTTCTTATGGCACAGCCCCTCTTGCCTTGGTCCTTGTGTTATTTTTTTAGGGTGGGGTTTTCTCGAACACTTGGGCACGAGGGCTGTTTTCCCCTTCGAATGTGATGCTGTTTTTTGAGGAGCTGAAAGAGAGTGCTTGATGAGATGGGTTGGGCCACCCCACAGCATTTCAAAATTGTGTATACTGCTGCGGTGGTGCTGCTATTGGCAGAGCGCAGAAGCTCCACTTGACGTCAATCTGGTTCCTGCGCACGTGCATTGTCTGCACCTCGCATGGGAACTACGCGTTTGCCCACACCTGGTGTGGGTTAGTTTGTAAACAGCGAGTTGGCCAATACATTTGGCTAAATTTGTTTAGGTAATTCTGTTGAACATAATTAGGTGGAATCAGTAAAATTACTTTGGAGTAGTATTATTGACCTTGACATTATTGACATCAGGGCATGAGTGTTACATAGTTATAGTGAAGCTAATAATCTAAAGGCCACTAATTAGTTTTTTTTGTTTTTTTTATGTTTAGCACTCATTATATTTTGGAAAACCCAATTTGGCTTTGCTACATTCAGTCGTGAGTTGAGCTGTCAAGAACCTGCCAAACAGAAACTAAGACAATAAAAACTAGCAATGGTGCGGGGACTGCCATTGGACAAAATCCTGACGTGGTCACCTGATTTGGAATTGCTGTCTTCTCCGTTAGTAAGCTGCGGTGGCATGAATGCATCCAAATAACGACAAAAGGCACACCTTGCCATACCAGCTATTTTGAGAAGCTGTTTTTATTTTTATTTGAAAGACAAAAGCTTAGAAATTACAGTTTCATGTAATTGCAGTGTTGCTGTGCTCCTTTTAAAATAAAATGAGACGATGCACAGAGCAAGCCAATGCAGTGAAAATGTCAACATGTTAGACAACCTTACTTTCCTGACGTGCGTCATAAATTAAACTAGTGATCAACACCATATCTTGAAAGACCTAATGAAGAAAATATTCTTATTAACCCAGTTTGTCTGTTTGTACAGACCCGACACATTTGCATTAGAGCTGTAATGCCAAACACATGAGTGATGATTTTTCTTTTCCTCAATGGGCACGGTAGAGCGAGCCATGCATCGCCTGCAGGAATGTTTATGATGGGTGTGCTGCTCAGTACTCCTGACACTACAGTAAGTTACATGTCAAGAAGGTAGTGGCAAATGCCCCTCAAAGGGGTTCATATATCCCTCCGCCACCTCCGCATACAATAGCGTCCCATCGTTTCCGTGACGTCGCGGCCAACGCGGAAGAGGGTTCTGCCTTCCTGTGAATATTTGCTTTATCTTTCAACTTTGACTTAGCGTTGTGGAAGCCACGAGAGGGAGCTTAGAGTTTTCCCCCTTCAATGGAAACAAATACGACTTTGGGGGGGGGGGGGGGGGGGGTAGTTTCCCCCTTCGATGGATACAGAGGCTACTTTCAGGGGCTCAGTTCCCTCTCCGATGAATAGAAAGGTCGCTTCCTTAAAAAGTGGGGATCGGAGACAAGTTGGGCATCACTCTGTAGAGAGTATCTTTTCATTGAAGCGGAACAAGGGGCGTTTCCAGTGAACTATTCTTTTGGCTGCGGGTGGCTTTGAAACGGGCGCGTCGCACTTGTGGGAGGTGCTTCTCCTACTTTCTTGGCTTGTAACCGACCATAGTAGACTTACAAAAGGGATAGAGCGGGACAGATGAAAACAATTGGAAACACCTCGGGTTTTGATTGGTTACTTCTGTTTCCATTCTCCCTACTCGATATTTCTGAACATGCAAGGCGTTAGAAAGGCCGACCACACAGAAGTATGCTTGCCAACTACGAGGGAGTGACCTTTTAGGAGCTTGTAGGCACACAAAAGATTTGGAGGCCGGTGCTTTGCACAGGTACGCTTCATCCCAGATATGTCGTGCCAGTGGCATTCCGATTTTAACTCTGCTAGGGGTGGAACGTTTGTCTTGGGAAACATTGTAGTTAAAAGTTATTAGAGATGGTACCAAAGATGTGGATACAGCCATACTCCGTTCCACAATAACTCGGCGAACTGTGGAGGTTGTGACCCAATAAGAGCGTTGGAGCAAGGCATGTGACAACACTCCATGGTCGAAGCCACGGAGGCTTCGTTACCGATAAAACAACAGTGCCGTCCGCAACAAAAAATTTTTTATTGAATTTCTTTTCTTTTTTTTTTTTTTTTAGTGTCGTGGTCAGACTCTTCTGACCGCAATATCACACGACACGAAAGAAAGACAAAGACGGGGTAATTTTCAGTGATGCTTAATACAAGTAAACACTTTTCTGATAGAAAACATGGCCTTTTAACAATGTTTGAACAATCGTAGCTGTGTAATCGACCACTTTCGCTTAAAACATTGCCCTGGCATTAGTACCTGCAACAGATTCGCTGGTAAATCGAGCATATGGTTGTCTCATGAACTGTTCCCGAAGAGCTCGCTACTCTAGCGGATGGCAATGTTGCTGTGGTGGACGTTCATTCAAAGTTGGTTGGTTTTGGAGCAGACGACTCTTGGCTAGCGGACGACAGCCGGATCATCCGGGTCTCGCATTTGGCACAGAGACACGAACGCTCCCGTGACATGGTGTTATCTGTCTCGCTCCAGCGCTCTTATTGGGTTGGGGGGGGGGGGGGGGACGTAGCCTTTACAGTTTGCCAAGTTATTGTGAAATGGAGTGTAACAAGGTAGGAAAGTATTTAGGTTGGTACCTAAGGTATGAATCTTGGGCAAGGTAGTGCGAATGCTCGCGCTTTCGAATCCTGGGCTCAATCCCCACCCCTGCCCATCTCGACCCAGACGAGCGTCTTCCAAGCGTGCATTTGTGTGTCGCAAATGCACGCCGCATGTTACAGACCCCAGGCTAGCGGTCGTACTGCACTGAGTAATCTTCTCGTCTGCGGCAAAACGAGCGTCGTCATACCTTTTTCTTTGGTCCAAGCATGTACATCTAACTTTGTTCCGGTTTGGTGTTCCCAGCGACAGCGGCCTGGACAACCCGTTCCGGCCTGACGGGGAGCTGAGCAAGGAGGCGGACACGATTGTGAGCCTGATCAAGGAGGGCAAGCCCATCACACCGGTCAAGGGGGAGGCGGACGGCTTCCTGGGGGACCAGGGGGACGGGAGCCGGGCCAATGGGGGTGGCGACACCAAGGTGGCCCCCTCTCGGGCACCGGGGCCCCTGGGCGCAGAGCGCAGGCAGGACACCAACGGCTCCACGCCGGCCAGCCTCAAGAAGGGACTCGTGGAGGTGGGTTTCGCTTTGCGGCGCGAGGCAAGCAGCTCTCGAGTCGAGGAACGCGGTTTCTGGAATGGTGCGAGTGATGTGGACATTGTGACGAGGGTCTTGTGAACTAGGGATGCCGCTTTGTTCAAACCTGAGGTTCAAAGATCCAACCAAGGAATTCAAAAGGTTCGAAATCATTTCAAAATGTCAAACTAATCACATAAAAAATTTGACGATTTTCAAACTTTTGATTTTTTGGTGCTGAGAACATTTATTACTTTTGAACTTTCAAACTTTTAGTTCTAATAAATTCTACAATTTCCGAACTTTTGAACTCGTTACTCTAAGAATTTCTACAATTTTCAAACTTCTGATCCTGCTAAGTTCAAAAGTTTGACAAAGTTAGAACAAAGTTTACCCCACAGGTTTAAGGCGACAAATGTAAATAATGCAAGATGGGAATGTGTGTAGTGAAGTGAAAATTGCACTGGAGTTTCACTTACCCGATGGTACCACCAATAGAGAGTTTTAGCAGATCGTTCTAATGACTCCGATAACGATACCCGATACTCCACCACCGCCTCCCTTGCGCATGCATAGTATCGTTATCGGGGCTATAGGAGGTATCGAAACGATCTACTAAAACTCTCTATTGACTCGCTTTTAAAGCACCAAATGATCACTGTGGGGTGGCTTTGGCCTTAAGTCTCGTACCTCTTTCATCCGGCTTTCGGACAGAGCCTTTCCCTTGCACAACTCCATAAGGTGCCTCGAGCTAACCAACGGATCTGTTGGTTTAAAAATAAACCGAGGCGCTCTGCTGGGGTGTCCTTTATAGCCTAAGTTGTTTCAAAACGCATTCCCTCGAGTGAGCAACTGGTAGTGGGAAGAACGCAATGCAGACGCACTACAGCGAACACTGGATCGGCACTTACTGCATTATCAGTAGGAACCGGCTGCAAATTAGAGCGGCCAATATTTTTATTCATCGAAGAAGACATGTTCCTAACAGTATTAATATGGTGAGCCCAATGACGACCAGTCGTAACTTGATCGGCAGTACTTTTGGGGGTCAGGGAGGACCCTTAATTTAGTCTGGTTGCATTCTCCTTAATTTCGAGCCTATGTTACTAGATTACCTCAGTTGTGGAACTCCAGTGGAAGGGGGCACCCCCCACTCACTTCTGTCCACCTCCCGTCGTTCGCTGCGCCATCTGCAGCCGTTTGGCACGTCAAACAACGGAAGGCGAGTCGTGGTGAGTGAGGGGGGAGTACTGCTCGTGCATGCAGCGTCCATGGGCAGTTCCGTAACTGAGCTAATCTAAAAAGGTTGCCTCGAGCTGTGTCGGCTGCTGTGCTTGTGTCCAGTGTTCTCTCCATCCTATGGGTCATCCCATCGAAAATAGATGCCCAGAGCAACTAAAACGTTTTGCGAAGCATGGATGCCCTTATGTGCACCATATGCACGCCTTGTCTCTTATATTTCGTTGTCTCATGCCAGCGTTGCTATTAAGCGATGTTCGATTGGATTAATACAAATTTGCAAGGAGATATGAAGTTAAACGCTTATTTCATGAGTTAGGCAAAAATTGTGAGCCATTCCACTCTGTGAAGGGGATTGGCCTGCGAAGCTGTTGAGCACCACCAGACATGATTCGCCAAGAGACACACAAAAGCACTTCACCAAATGTTTATTTACAGTATATGTGTATAATTTTGAAAAGGTGATCATTGTGATATTACACTACTTATGGGTTCTATTACATCTTTGGTGAGATTCTTTGCTAAAGTTAAATCTACACATATAATGCTTTACATATGTAAGAGCTGCTGCTTTTATATATGTAAGAGCTGCTGCTTTTATATATGTAAGGCAGTGGCGTTACCCGACTCGAGCGGGAGAAGGCCCATTGTACTCAAATGTATCTCACGTTTCGACGTCTTTCCTTGTCAAAATGCATATTGAGGTGATGGAGCGTATATGCATTTCCATACAATGGAGCGCTTTCACATGCAATATAGTTTCTGCACACAGATACCAGAAATGCATGGTACCCTAGCCATATACAGCTTTGCTGTAATAACGAGTAGTACAGGTAGTAGTAGTTTTAGATGACGAAAATCATACTTCAAATAAATTTGAAATCTTTGAATTGTTTGTACTTGAATCTCAAAGAAATCCAAAATCTTTCAATTTTTCTAACAAGATTTGTCAAGCGATTAAAAATCATTGAACTTGAACTTTCGAAAACCTCGAAGGGGTACTCCACCGATTTTTACTATGGTCGCTGATTTGCCTCAAAATAGGCTCAACACATTGATAAAAACGGATGTACCAACCCCCCAAAGTATTGCGCGAAAATAAAAAACAGTTTACAAATTTATTAAATTGTTTAATTTCGTTCTCATCGTGTTTCTCAAACGGAGAGCCCCTATTGGCAACACTGAAGTGTGATGACCGAAATGGTACAAAGGGGGTACTTTGTACCATAAGCCTTGTTCCTAACTGATTACAAGACATTTGATGGTGGGAAAAGAATGCTTTGAAGCTGATGAACTGAGAAGCGCACAAAAAAAAACGCTCGACACAATCTACTTAAGACTAGCTAGGCGTCTGCCACAGCCACCTTCGCTGCTGCACCACTGCCAGGGTTGCAGTAGGCAACAGCAGGGCGCTTTTATGATTTGTCGGGCCGAAATTGAGGGACCACATTTGAGGATGCTGCAAACATGCCAGTCGAAGACACGCTTTAGGCACATGGTTTTGTTGCGGTTATATTAAAAGTAATGATTTTGATTTGGTTTGGGTTCGGTTTGACACCCTGTTCAATACATGCCGTAATGTCTGGACTCGAGCACTCTGCCCCTACTGACGGGAATACAGTCAAACGCCGCTACAATGAACGCTTCTACTACGAAATAGCCTGTACAACGGGCTATTTCGTTGCTTATCTGCTTTATTGGGGTCATTAAAGTGCGCGATGGATATAACGAAGTGACTTGTATAACGAAGAATTATCGCGGTCCCACACGCTTCTTCGTTATACAGGCGTTTGACTGTATGACAAAACAGTTAGGTGGGTAATGTTTCAGTGCCCAGGGACAAACACTTAAGAAAAAGCTGTAGAAATACTCAAAGTTCTGCATACATGTGCTGCAGCTAGACAGCAATTAAAGGAGGCATCAATGCAAGAATCAAAAACAGTAATAAGAGTAGCGTTCGTGGATGGTAGTTGGTCGTTTAATTCGTTGTCCTCATAGTCTATGGGGCAAGACTGCTTGCAGCCCGTGTTGGAGAGACGTGCGGCTACACCGAACGTTTGATGCTCGCTTCGGGTGTCGGTCTATGGTCTCGACTTTAGCCGTCACGAATGTCTTTTGACTACCTACTCAGATGTGCTAGAGTGCTCGGTGCGTGACCCGACCGGCTCCCGTGAGCTGACTCGTGGCATCTCGTGTAGGTGCAGCACGGCATTGTGGTGCCCCCTTCGGACCCCTCGACGGTGGAGCAGGTGATGATCAAGAAGAAGCCCAAGTGCAAGTGCTGCGTCATCCAGTAGGGCCCGCAGAGGACTTGTGGCGCCACGGGCGCATGGACGCTGTCGCCTCTGAGTGCCTGAGCCCGGTTGCACCCAGCTTCGTGTGGCCAGCGTGCGAGTCGCTCCCCGCTTCTAGCTCCTCCTCTCCCCTGGGGTCTATTTATTTATCGTGATCCGGGCGCCGCTGAGCGGTGCCCCCCGGTTTCGCGTCCAAAATCCTTTGGCAGCTTTTTTTTCCCCGGACGGTCGTCTGCCCCGACCGAGCGCATGTCGTCAAAGTCGAGCTTCCGTCGGCTCCGCCCCCGGAATCAGCCTAGCGTGCCTTGCGCAACACCCCTGGGCCAACCCACTTCGTCCGCGACTGGCCTCTCTCCGGGCAGGCTTCCCTTTTCTCCGGGCAGCTTTTTTTCTTCCGCGCGTTTGAGACCCCCTCCCCCCGTCGTATCTTGCGTCGACGCGCGTGAAGAGCAGAGACACGATTAATATATCACACCCCGTTTGGCCCGAGCCTATTGTGTAGGTGTAAATATGCGCGCACACATTACGTCGGGCACAGAGTTGGAAAAGCGTGCCTTGGCGAATCCGTCGCGGTCCGGGCGAGGCAGCTTCCCCGCCAGCCTCGGCGGCGCTGCGTCTGCAACCGCCGTCTCCATGCACGTGCGCCGTCGTGCGTCGACGACCGCAAATTGTACAAAGATGCGTAGGTTTTAATTTTACAATTGCGTGTCTCCGAGTGTTGCCGCCGCTTCGTTAGCACGTGCGTTAGGACGTTTTAGGTTTGTATTACCGTCTGGCCCCCACCCACCTCCGGCGAGCGGACGCTGCCCCATGCGGGGAGACAGGCCGCGCACTCTAGGGTCGCGCGCCTTCCCCCTCGCGCGGCGCACGTCCACTCGTCGAGCATGTACAAATCACGACGTACCATTCGACGACTCCAAACTGCAAGCTCGAGAGACGCCGACCATTGTGTAGGCTGAAGCGAATAAAATTGTGCACATCCGAGGTTCCAGTGTCGACAGGGTGGGGAGAGATGTATTGCGCCGAAGGACCGATACTCCCAAGGCTCTCCCGGGACCACTTTTGCGGAACAAACAGTACCAGCACGGGCGCCTGTAAGGTGCCGTATCTGCTGGCTGCCACGCCTGTCTGGAACAGCGCTGAAATGGCACTTCACCACCCGCTAAGTGAAACTGCACGAGAGATGCATACCGTGCGTGAAAAACTGCTATGTGGGAGGGAGGGAGGCGTCCACTGGGGTTCTCTCTTCCCCCAGGTTCCTCGAGTTCCTCCAGTGATCCTCATTCGCGGGGGGTTCCTCTAGTTCAGCAGTTCTCAACCGTTGATGTTTTACGGACCTCTTGTGTATCGGCGGAGATGGTGGAGGACCCCGCTCGTGGTTAAAAGAAGGGGAATTTATAGGTTAATTATGATAGTGATTTAAAAAATGGATTTAAGGGCTAGTTTGAGGTAGACCTCTCTTACTGACATATACGCCAGAAAACTCGCCCGAAAAATGGAACGTTTCTTCGCAGTCTGAGAAAAGACAACTTTTATTGCCGAGCTTGACTGATGAGGCTAGGCTTCGCGGACCCCTAAAATACCTTTGCGGACCCCAGGGGCCTGCGGACATCCTTTTGAGAACCACTGCTCTAGTTCAAAACACGGCCGACCCATGTTGTCGACAGAAGCCAAGTGCCTTCCTCCCCATTGTGGACAAACTTTCTAAGCCTTTGTGTGTGCGAGGACGTCGAGGGGAGAGGGGATTTCATGCCTCCGGGTAGCCAAACCGTCCTTCGACGTCTAATGGTTCGAGCACTCTCGTATGTCCAAAGGCTTGCCTGTTGCGTGGCTGTTTAGGCCATGACCTTCTCTATACTTACGACCACTTCGCCCGAGCGCTCCCTATGGGGGAGAGCTCACTCCCGCCGTAGTTTGTGCGACTCTTGTTAGGCGGCGCTGAAACTCGACCCTCCTTGTAGCCAGGGGTACGTTGCAGCAAACCACTTTCTCGTATCGAGCGAGATTTACGCTGGTAAATGCAAGGTTCTGTAATTGTACAACTACTCCTGAAGTCCGTCACAAATCATTCTTTTTAATCTTGTTATACGGCCCCAAACATTCATTTTCTCTGGTTTTCGTGCATGACAGGAGCAGCGAGCGCTTTCTGTTCTCGATGGTTTGCGCCGTACTTCGGTGCACGGAACTATGCATCGTTCAGTTACCTGCTAAATAAGAAAACAAAATGTACTGGAACCACAGTATAAATGTCTCTACAATTTACTGCTAAAATCATCTCGTCAGAAATTTGAAAGCTACTGCCTTCTCTTGAAGTGCCGAATCTTTAGTCCTGAATGGTGATTGTGGTTTTGAAATGCATACAATCTACCCATCGTCTGGAGCCTGCAAGAATTCTGAGTGCCTGGAATCGGTTGATATAAGGCACCCTGAACTCCTGTAGGCTCTGTGGATTCATTGCATACGAAGCAATGAGTCCACGCAGAAAAGCCAAGGCCATCAGCTGGTTCTGGTTCCTGCTTGCCGTGAATTTAGAATTATCATAAAATTACTTTTTTTTTTTTTCCTCGTGTGGGCATCAGGAAATTACGGGCTTTTAGAGGGTTTTTGATCCCAGAGGAGGAGGAAATGAAAACTTTTGAGTGGGGTATGCCCTTTTGTTCATACAAACTATGCACGTCACTGCCGTCGTTTCGGGTAGACTTTTGCGTTTTTTTGGGAGTGCAGCTCTTGGGCGCCCATTTCCGGGTTAGCGGCATCGGCGTAACCGCGCGTTGCATTATGCGACGTTTCTCCACTAAAGCTAGCGGGGAAATTTTTCTGCCAAATTCATTGGGGAAATTTTCCTGCTAAGTGGAGCGGAAAAATTTTCACGGTAAATTTAGTGGAAAATTTTTCCCTTTAAGTTTAGCGGGGGAAATTTTTTCACTAATTTTAGCGGAAAAAATTTCCAGCTAACTTTGGTGGAAAAATTTCCCCGCTAAATTTAGCGGGGAATCTTTTCCTATAAATTTAACGGGAAAAGTTTTTCGATAAATTTAGCGGGGACATTTTTACACAAAAATTTAGGGGGGAAATGTTTCCGCCAAATTTAGCAGGAAAATTTTCCGCTAAATTTAGCAGGGGAAATTTTTTCGCTAAATTTAGGGGAATTTTTCTGCTAAATTTAGTGAGAAAATTTTTACGCTAAAGTTAGGAGGAAATCTTTCCACTAGGTTTAGCGGGAAAATTTTTCGCCAAATTTAGCAGGGAAAATTGCTCTCGCTTGTGCTTACCTATATCCCGATCACAATACATACAATGCAAGCTTATAAACGCAGTTTCGCCGTGGCAACTACACAAATATATAAGTGCAGCTTGTACAGGGGTGCAGCTTATATACACTCTTTTTTAAAAGCACCCATTTATAAAGGGGTGCGACTTATACATGGGAAAATACGGTTCTGTCAGCAACGTGCCTCAACACTTCGGCGCTCGCAAAAGTCAAGCTTTTGTGCTTTGGATCAGTGCGCACATCAAGCTTCACCACTTGGCAGCGCAGGGGTGGAACTCAGGAAATGTACTTGGGAGCAGCCACGGGAGCAGCTGAAACAGGTGTTTTGGAGCAGGTTGGGAGCATCTAAAACTACGTTCTGGAGCAGGCTAGGAGCAGCTCAGATCAGTCTTCATTGCACTTCAGCAAGCACGGGAGCGATTTCAATCGTGCTTAGCAGCACAGATGACCACGAGTGGTTAGGGACCTATACCCGTTTTCACCTCAAGAAAACAGTAAGTTTTGCGCATTGTTCATACGCCGCGCGAAATAGTTCTCGCCAGATTTGGTTGTCGGAGGCACAGGCGATGCTTTTGGCGCTTGAAACGTGTACTCCTTGATAAGATAGCGTGTATCCACTCTAAAATGCTAATAAATATATCTTAAATCTCCACCTCAAGGTGAAAATTAGTAATCATCCGCGAGAAGCCGGACTTTTTTTCCTATGGTTCTTGAGGTGAAAACAGGTATAGGTAGATGGGATAACGGTGTAACATATGCGTAAACTGGAAACTTTGTGAGCCTTAATGAGAATCAAAAACAAGCACCCTATGTTTCTGAAGATAGCGTCCTTCGTATTTTCTGAGTGGCTTTCAGCTGCTCAAAATGCAAACCAGCACTGCTTATCGCACAACCCACACATGCTCGACATAGTCATGATATGTGCCAACCACGTGACGTGCTTAAGCAATGGACCTGCAGTTGCACGAAGAAACGGGGCAACAAATTTCGAGTTTGTCCTATTATGCAACTCGATATCGAAGCAGCAGGCTACGATTAACGAAGCTATCGTATTTTAAGCGATAAGCAGGAGCAAGGTTAAAGTACGCCGAGTAGATCTACCACTCGCGTAAGAGCTGCTCGTCGGCAAGGTTTCGGATCGGACTGCGTTTCAGTTCTATAAAATCACGATTTATCTTGCGAGAATAAGGTTCCAACTTCTAACGATGAAGTACTAAAAGAAATATTTTGCTCATTTGTTTTCAACTGGCTGACGTCCGGATCTCGAATCCCGGGCCGCAGAGCCTCAGGCAATCTGACGCTTAACGACTCGACCTCACCTCAGCCGACTTGCTTAACCACTTATGGTTGAAGAATAACAATCCAGTCGCAAGTGGTGTAGCGCTTAGAATCCGAGCTTTTTCGCGCGCTTCCGACTCGGGATACACAGGGAGAATAAACGGAACAAAGAATTGCAAAGCCGACCAGGCTAAACGCGCTCATTGTTGACAATCGAGTCAATAAAACCGAAACCAAGACAAAATAAAGTTTTTTGGCGCATGTTTTGCGATTTGGCGCATAATGGCGCGAGGTACTGGCTGTGGCGCAGCTTCTGCAACGTGGCGCAGAATGGCGCAGACACATGCGTCTGGCGCAAAATTGCACAAATGGCGCAGCCGTTCCACCCCTGCAGCGGCGTGCAAGGAGCAGTAGCCAACACGGGAGAGCACATAGAAGTAGCTCGAGGGGCTCGTAATTTTCATTCTGTTGAAAGGTCAGCAATTTTTGGTTGCAATTATAGATCTACCGTACATCCAGTTTTAAAAAACAGTGCCAAAACAAATGCCGAGCCAAGTTTGAATAAATGCGCCCCACGCCCATGCAAATCCATAGAATAAATTGTTGCAGGAAAGAGCCTTCCCTGCTCTTCAAGCACTTTTTGAGGTGTATTCCAAGAAAAGGGGCAAGTGGTGATGTTTAGTCGCATTTCTAATGTAAAAAGGGTCGTGCACGATTATAATTCTGGGTTTTCTAGGATGCCTTGCATGTATAGGTTGAGTTTGTACATAAAAAGGTTATCTCGTACACCACTTTTAAACACAGGCGCTTAATGCTGCCTAAAATACCGGCCAAAAAATTCCCAGCGTTGCTTTTTTTTGGCATCCTCAGCGTGACATGGTTGCACTGCTGGAGACATCAAAGTTGACCTTGGGACCCTTCTCCAAGACCTCGTGACCTGCAGCTCGAGCACTTTTAAGGGACGCAATGGCAGACAAACAAAACATAAAGCAAATTGCTGGTTAGATTCTTGGACAGTGAGAGTTCAGTCTACCAGAGTATGGTGACTTTGTTGCCGGCTGTAGATGAGAAACTTAGCCGGTGCAGTACCAATGATCGCCTGGAGCTTTATGCATCACGCAGTAGGGTACAGCAATGCGCTCACACACGAGGCCACCTATTCCCCTAGTCAAGAAGTTCCTGGAGATGGTTTGGGTAGAGAATAACAAAATCAGACAACAACAATAACAGAATAAAGCAACATTTTTATTGTGGATCCACAGACACTGTAAAGGCCAGGAAAACTGGGTTGCGCTAAAACCATGGCCGACTTAAAGGCGTTCCCTGCGGATTAAAGAAGCAAGCTTTGCATAATGCAGCTGCAGTCGGAAGCCATGCCCATGCAACAGGACGAAGCATACTTGGCAGCGAGTGGCGGCGGCGATGAAAAGGCGAGGCAGCCGGGTCTGCAAGTAGAGCAGCCATCCATGCACGTGTCCTGGACACATCTGTTTGCGAGCAACGGGCAGTTGAGGGCACTTGGCTCGGCTAACCTGCTGCAACGATTCGTGCATCCGCAACCAAATGCTCTTGGCATGCCTTCAAAGAATGCATTTGCTACAAATTATTGCAGTTGGACATTCAACTGCCGGGGCTGAACAGGCAGCTTGCACCGTCGGTGATTGGGTTCAATGCCAACACCAAGAACACAGCTAGCCGTGAGCAGTATACTGAAAAAGATGCGAGCGAAATGCGTGCCCCAACTCTCCATACGCCAACTGCTCAGCTGCACTGGCACACTAGCCTAGAACCATGTGCGGAGTCAATCAATTTAAATGTGCTTGCAGAATTTACCTTCCGAAAATTGCAACTACAATCTTGGACGAATGCTGCTGCCCATGCCAGAGTCTGCACCGACAAACCATTTCTCAAACAGCTGTCAGAGGGTACTCAAATAAATAGGGGGACTTCCCGACTGCAGATATGTTAACTAGAACTCTGCGGTTCCGTTGCACTAGTGACTTATACACGGTATCCACTTTTTGTTCCAGATTGTCAAGGTTAGCCTAGCTAGGGGGCTGGATGGCACTTAAGCAGACAGGTATGAAGCCACCAGAAGTAAATGGCTCGCCCCGGTTGCGAGTGCTTGACAGGCGTCCCAACTGTTCCGAGCATATGTCCAAACAGTGTCCAAAGCGCTGGAAATTTCTTTTCATCTCGAAAACGTCTGCTTGTTGCATAATAACGGCGCATGCGGACTCGACGGAAAGTCTCTTAAAAAGCCATTCGATGTGCGAAAATTTCAAGATTCCAGTTGATCAACTATGCATATCCCATGTCCAAATGTCTCGTTCTCGGAATTTAATGCTAAAGGGGATTATTAAAACCCACTTAAAAACAAGTGCAGTAGATGCTAAACTTCTGGGACCAGCATCAACCTTTCGGTGGCTTCGTTAATGCCTGGCTCAGAAAGCGGCTAAGCACCGTGGTTAGCCCCCTATAGTAGAGGTCAGTGCCATGGGCCTCCTGCGCTCAAGCTTTGAACTAACTGCCCTCTTTTGGGGCAGTATATAAGCTGACTGGGCATCAGAAGGTCGTCAAATAACGACTGCATCGCTGAGTTTTTTTCCCTCTCTGTAGTACAGAAGAACGGAAAAAACCTTTTATGTAGTACCCTAAAGAAACTAAATTCCAATGCAAAAAAGTGCCTTTCCACTCTGGTGAAGCAGGAAGGCCAGCGGAGTTGTACATTGAAAAGTAATGGCCGGCCGCAAGTTGGCAAGCCAGAGTGGAAAGGCTGCCGCCATCTATGAGCGACGGCGGCAACCAGATGCGTGGCTTGCTGCCGTCGATCATAGATGGCGGTAGGCATCCAGAGTTTGGTGTCTTCATTTCTTTGGGGGGAACATGATCCTGGGGAAACTAGCCCTTAACAGCTCGGCTGTAAAAACTGAAGTGCAGGATTCATGTTACTGCCACTAGAATAGGCACGTAAAACCACCAGCCATCACGGCACTTTTTTTTTTCTTTTTCCGGGAGCATGCTTTTAGCTCCTAGTGTATCGGCGTTAATTTGTGCTATGGGGATGTTTTGATTTTCACCGTTTCTTCATATTTTCACCATAAAGAAGTAACTTGTCGCAGTACTCCCTGGGCAAAGCAGGAGACACATGCTCTGTTCCATACATAGCTACTTGAACGGGCATGTGGCTTTTTTTTACATCTTCTTTGCGCAAGTGTTTGGGTGAACGAGATGAAAGACGAAGCCCCGTGCTCGCGCAGCAGTACGGGGCTGCAGGCTGTAGAAGCTACGTTAGCTTTGAAAACGTCGCACATGAAAGGTGACACCAGAGGTCACTTTTGTCCCAGTCTTCTGCCGAGAAGCCCTCCCTGTTCCCGGCCTATGCAAAGTTAAAGTCGCCTCCTCTCGCCCACATCTCTCAAGAGGCCGGTCTCTATAGCATCTATGTGCGAATGTCAAAAGCCCAGTCAGTTTTGCTCTGCTCTTTTCCCTGGAGGCCTTAGTACGCAGAAGTATGGGCACCCTAAACTACCCTCCATTCTCCCGTCGCTTCCAAGTTCTTGCTGTATTCAGTCAATCCCATGGGCCAGTTCTGAAAGCTTCTCCCACAAAACAAATCGCCACCCACGTTCAACACAAGCGGGGCAGTCCGAACTGCTGTTACCCCTGTGCACAGAGAAATACATTGTTTGGAGAACTCTCCTACTGTCCAGGGGCCCTAATCTGGACACTTGGTGAAAAAGTCGGCGAGAAATCCTGCGGCTACGATTGGCCAGCGCCAAGGTCAAGTACGGCGTTGACCAATCACGGCTGCCAGATTTCTCGCAGACTTTTTCGCCAAGTGTCCAGATTAGAGTCCCACGTGTGTTCAAGGCGAGAGAAAAGCCTGCCCCAAGTCTTTAGGAAACATAATTCTGAGGCATCGCATAAAGTAACATGCAGCTACTCGTGACCAGTATTTCCAATGCAGCTAGATACATTAATTACATGCAGCAGAACGCTATCGTCATCAATGTCCCGGATCGGTATCTTTGAGACTGCAGTACGAGACTGTGCACCCCATGCTGTTGAGCGTGTCGGTGTGTACGACCACCAAGGTGCGTACACCAGCGCATGCGAAAGGGGCTTGGCCCCTCCCCAAGATCCAGAAGGTGCCAGGGTCCGTATTCCCGTCGAGCAAAGAGCCGGCGCCACCCTGCGTAGTGCATACTCCAACTGGGAGGTGCGAAAAGCATGCCACTTTCCCCTCTGCATATCGACGCTGGTGGGGGCAACTGTGGCGTTGGTGCCACGATTGCCGTGAACAGAGTGGGTTGTTAGCTTGTTGGTGGGTGCAGATCGCTCTTGTTGGAAGATGGTATCCGTAAGTACGAAGAAAACATGGCCACGATGCTACATGCCAGAGCGAGAAAAGGTGTCTCTTCGAGTACCAAACTGTCGGGGAAGCAGACCCGTGTCATCCTCCCGGACAGACGAGCCTTTCTAGGAAACTCCGCCGCGTGCAAAACATTTCGTCGACGGGTGAGCTTATCCAAACCTTATCAAAACCCTCCCACAGCCATTAAATTTTGGTGGGGCCACTTGCTCAAACGGTTCAAGTTAAATTTTTTTTTGGCTCGCGAAAACCAAAGGGTTTGAGCTGATAGGCCAGACACCCGCAACTCCCAAACTAGTTAAAAAAAAAATAGAAAGAAATTATGTGGAGTGGTTTACAGAACGGAATTGCGGAGATGGCAAGTTGCTTTGTAACAGAAGACTTTTCCTGTGCCACGTCTTGTGGTGGGCACACCGGGATAGGCTATTGAGAGTTAAATGCAAGTCTGCTAGTGCAAAAAACTGTCCAAGTCAGTCTCCGCGGGAGGAGGGAAGGTTGGGATGCCCGCGCTCGAAACGATACTCGGCGCAGTCTTGGGAGCCGGCATGACTCCCAGCACACCCAGACACCCCTCGGAAAGAAATGGATCCATCCCCGTAGCCTCAATATCCAACGGAAGTGACGTATTAATAAATGAAGAGGTCTGCAATGCTTTTTGTGGCAATGTAGTTGAAATAGAATGCACATATAAAGAACCGACGTATAGAATATGATTCTAAGCACGAAACATAGCCACCCTCACCGTTCCTTTCAATAGGTCTATTTTACCACAAGTGAGAGCAAGCCGGCATCACGGCATCGGCGTGCTGTCTCTAATGTTGCTCTAGCTTCACGACTGCGCGTGTAGCATGCCCGCTCAAAGCTCGCACTCGTTTTTGTAGGTTGTCTTTTGCTTGCACTTACGATGAAACAGAGCATGATAATTACACAAATAGTATATTTATTTCTACTTCCCTCCTGCAAAATTACTCATAGAGGCTGGCGGTTGTTTGCACTGGCTCGTACAAGTACAGGAGCGCTCAAGACGCAACTTCGACAGCTGCAAATGATAAGTATAGCGGCATATAAAACTAACCGTTGGATTGACCAAAAGAATCGCAAGCTAGGGGACACAGAAGCAATAGATACTGCTGCACATTCGCAGACTCTGTTTACAGCGCCTCTATACGTGGTGCCATGGCACCACCGGTATACTTTGGGGCAAACTTTGGCTGCAACTTTGCACACCACTCCTTTTCATACTCCCTACCTCCGGGTGACTTCAGTGTGACTAACTCCACGTAGATAAGAGGCACGCAATTTTTTTTATCGTGCATCCTACCATCTGGTGACCACAGTGTGACCAACTAACTACACACGGACGAGACGCAAGCAATCTTATTGTGCTTTCGGGCTTTTTCTCCTTTCTGCTGGGACAAAGCGTCGGCCTTGCTCGCACGCCTAGCTTGCTGCATCGTTAATTGGTTCAAGGCACGTGACTATGTGTAGCAGTGCCAGAAAGTTGCTCATCAGAATTGCATCCTCGGGCAGACCCCAAGGCGGTGCCGTCGCCGCAGACTCGTCGCACACTGGGCATCGAAAGTCTGAGAGTTTGGACGCACTGGGGGCCAGTGCGTAAGCGGCGGGACGTGTGGAACAATTTCTCGGCCCACTTCCACGTGTCGTCGAATGCCCGCCTCGGTGAGACACAGGCAAGGGGCACAGAAGCTTAGAGGAAAAACTGTTCCCAAGCCCGGCATTTACGGTGCTTAGAGAGGCGGCCACCAACTCGGATGGCTGCTTAAACTTTGCCCTAGTGAGTGCAGTGTGTCCAACACAGCAAACACTACCGGATGCACTTCGTCGAGGAACCTTCCGTAGACGCCGCACAACCGAAGGCGGCCAAAGCCGTGCCTTGTCTTCTGCAGTGGTGGCACTGCCGGCACAATGAGATATTTGTCTCCGCCGACGGGTCTGCACCAAAGGCACGGCACACTAACAGCCCTGCGCTATAAAAGTCGGTGAAATACGCGGATACATTTTTTGGGTAGACAAGAAATGGCCTGGTGAATCTGCTCTCAATCTAATGCACGCTCGAGGACGGTATTTCTGCTGCGGAAACGGGCAAACATCCGAAACGTGTTCTATTCTTACGAAAAATCCAAACAACATACATGTTAGAGATGCGCAGCGAAAGTATCGTGAAATTTTTTTGTCATGCATTAGAGCAGGGTGGAAATAGCCTGCAGAGCAGAGTTGCGAGTCGATCCAGTGTCGCAACACCCGGCAACACCCGGGGCAAAAGGAAGTCCCTTGCCGAAGCCCTCGTTCTTCCGTGAAATGCCCGCAGGGGGTGGCCGGTTTGTGCGTGCTGCCAGAACCACTGGCAGCACGCACAAGCCGTGCCCCAAGCGTCGTGGGAGAGCAGGCATCGGGGAATGCGTTCGGTGGGAAAACACCCAGCGTTGCACCAAACCATGCTCCCAGGGGAACCATTTCGAAACGTCTGTTGCAGCCCAACACTTCAAAGCAAGTGTCAAGAGGAGCAAAGAAAATTGGCACCGCTCGCATCGTTTTTGCATATTTTTGAGAAGAGATTAAAGAAAGAAAAAAAAAAGTGGTATTGACTTTCTAAAGTGCATGTAAAAATTAAAGATACATTTTTTTGGACGAATCAGACAATTTTGCACAGGAGAAGTGAAGAGGATCAGTCCAAACTCTGCTGTATTTAGCTATTGTTGCACAGAGCGCGTCGCAAACTTCCTAACCCCAAGATTGCATTTCACTTCAAGAGATAGAGCAACATGAGCAATTTGCAATCCGTGCCACTTCCGCGGCCGTCTTTGCATTTGTCTCGGAAAGAGTAAAATGTTGAATTGCTCGACGCGTAGCACGAGCCATATCCGTGTCAGCCTTTACTCGCCCTATCGCGGCACAAACAACCCGCGGGTTTGACGGGCGTCCAGGTTCTTTACACCAGAGCGACGAAACCGGCCGGGAAGTGCCGCTGCCGCGAGTATGGTGCCTCAAGCCCCCGAGGTGCAGGGTGTCGCGGTGCGTCCCGGTGCCACCACCCGCAGGCAGTTCCCAGGGCACCGTGCGAGGGCACGTCACCCGAATCGTCCGTAGCGAGGCCCCGCCATCATGCGCGCCCGCTTGGCACGCACCAGCAGCACGATGCTGGCCACGATGAGCAGGGACACGGACACGCCCACCAGCACGTCCCGCAGGGTGGTGGCCTCTTCCGGGGGCGGGGACACCCACGTCTGGTGGGCGGGGCCCCGGAGGCAGGCCCCGTGGGGCCCCGTCCTGGCCGCCAGCACGGCACACAGCTGCACCCGGCGGCAGAAAGCGTCGCAGGGCCCCACGTCCTTCAGGGCCGTGCCCAGCCGCACGTAGGCGTCCAGCAGCGGGGCCGAGGCCGACAGGCGCTGCCCCAGCGCTGCCATGGAGGCCGTGCTCGCGTCTGGGATGCCGTACTGCGTCGTCAGGGTGTACAGGGGCTCCCAGTTGGGTCGCTCCTGGGCAGAGGGGGGGGGGGGGGGTAGATACGGGAGCAGAACACGGCAAATTTTGAGTGCCAACATCGGTGGTCCCTAAAGAAAGAACGGGAAAAGTTGAAAACTTGCATGTGCGGTATGACAGGGTCATCTCCAAACGTAAGTGCCAAGTGGAATGGCATATGCTCTCTTAAAAAGATGGAAAAGTAGGTTCGGCGTGAAGCATGAAATTATGGGCATGCTAAAAGGATGCGAAGTACACTTGGGGTATCCGAGCAGCGGATGCACATCGGTGGGTCTTCGCTTTTTAAGAGGTAGCCATGGGTTAGGTGTGTGTGGCCTCTTCGCAGTCAACGCAAGATAACTTAGTAAAACCTGTTCCAATATCTGGCGCTGCCCCATTTAACGTTTTATTCTCTTGGAAGAAAAAAGTGGCGTCGGACCGGCCCGTTCTGAGTGAGGGGTCGGGAGCCGTTTGCACGGTCGCCGATTCCCCGAGGTTGGGCGTGCAAAGACGGGAACCGAGCATGGCGAGCACTAATAGCAAACACCGGCGGTTTGTTTGTCTGGTCTTCTTTTTTGATTGCTTCCTCGCTCATCCTCGCGGCATCACCAACGTCGGAGCTTACGACTTTCCGCACTTCGTCTGCCCAGGGCAGAGAGAGAGAGAGACCACGAAAAGGGGGAGTCACCTGTGGCCGGGCGTTGGCCCTGTCCAGGTCCAGGTAGTAGACTGTGTAGTCAAGCAGCTCGACCGTGGAGCGGCGATATTTGTAGAGCCGCACGCTCGGGTTGGTGGGCACCGAAATCTTGGCATAGTCCGGCATCGAGGTGCCCCAGGGGGTCACCGAGCCGGCCAGCTGGGCACTGCCCACCACGTGCCCTGGGGAGGAGCATCCGGGAACAATCATTAACACCACACCAAGTTCACGCGAGCACCCTCCTCACCTTCACAACCTGCAAACTTTAAACCAACGCGCTCTCCATCGCAGCCATCCCCCTCCAATGTTATGGCGCACAAAAGCGGGCACGCAATTTGCGCAGGCAGACGAGAACATACACTTGCAAAGCGGCGTGCGAGTGTGTCCTGTTTTGTGTGCAAACTGTGCGTCCGATTTCGTGCGGCTAGGAACAACCGACTTGCCCAGACTAAACTCTTAATGAGGCCGTTTTCCCATGCACCATACTTTTAACCGCAGTAATTCTCGTCAAAGACGACGAGGGCCGTTTCCCAAACGGTTTGTCGCGCGCCCGGGGGGTAATGCAGCTACGGCCGCACCCGGAGAATCGTCACTTTTGGAAGACGTGCGCGGTCATAACGGCAGCCGACGAGAACCTAAAGCAATAGGACGAACCAACTGCAAAAGTAGGCTGCTGAAGAACCAGAAGCGCACCTCATTTGTTCGGCACATGGGGGCAAGTGCCGCGACATGACAGAAACGATTGTTACAACGCGAAACATACAATGTTTACCGGTCATTGTAGGCAAGACTTTCCTTTCACGGAAGCTCCGAATTCCGTCCTGGTGAGCCGATGCCGGTCCATAGCATGATAGAGTAGCTAAATGGTGGAGTCCGAGTTTCACCTTTCTTTTTCTTTCGCCGCCAACTCCTCATTGGCAGAAAGGGGGTCACACGCGCCAAATTTTACTACAGCACTTGCGGGGAAGCTGTTCTGCTGAGCACCGAGTTTGGAGCAAGACACATGTTTTGCTTCGCACTTGCGAAATGTAGATCTTGCACAGAAGTATGGCAAGCTGAAAGCTTGTCATACCAAGTCCACGTCACCCGCGTGTGTGTACTTTTGAGAGATTTAATTGATGTACGATGGTGCATGCATGGTGGATTTGTCACGCCCATTGTGTCTCCTGCAAGAGCGTCATTCGCTTCTCTCGCAATACTTGAAGTAAAAAATTGTAGAACATTGTGATACTCTGTTGAACAAGCGGAGCATATATGTAAAGTTACACTATGGCACAGGAGGACTGGGCGCACGGGTGGATCCAAGGGGGGGGGGGAAGGGGCAAAGGGGGCGGCCACCCCTCAAACAAAGTCGACCCTCCTCCCTCCCCCCTTCTCTGAGGGCAATTTGACATGGGTGGACCCCCTGCACAAGAAATAATGAGAGAATAGTATCCTTAAAAATTTTCCGCCCCCACCCCCCCCCCCTTCCCCAAAACGGAGTTCTGGATCCGCCCCTGACTGGGCAACACCCACCAGCAGAGTCCGAGAGGAGAACGAAGGAGTTTCCGTGCTGGTGGCCAAAGAACTGCCCCGCCACCGTGTCGGAGAAGTTGGCCACCAGGTCCTGGTAGCGCTCGTTGATGCCTTCCCGGAACAGCTCCGTCGGACCCACCTCCCGAGAAATCGCCCGGTTGTTAAAGCCCGGCGCCACGTGGCCGGAAATGAACACCTGCACCGCGGGCATGCCGGCTCAGCCAAGGACACGCTGGAGCGCAGGTGCCGCGACTGGGAGCGAGCAGTCTTTACGTCCCGCGACCGACTCGACTTGGGGACGTGAAATATCTAGTGTTGTTGAGAAATGGCTGCCGACATCTGTCCTCACTTTCCTCTCAAATATATGATTCAGTTCGCAGAAAACGGGACCCGAAGTGTGAACGAAATAATCCGCGTCGGTGTACTTTGAAAGCCACAAGCAAAGATGACAACCGAGTCAATAAAAATCTGCTTTCAGAGTTCAATAATTTTTCCTCAACCATCTTCATAAGCAAAAGCTTCTCAACTCTTTCCGTATCACGCCCATTGGCCATCAATCACCCACGATCTACGGTTTCCATGTGCCACCAAAATTCCAATTTGGAGCGCAGAAACAAGTTGCACCATCCCGTGGATAGCCAAATAACTACAACTACAGTTTCGATTTCATTTTGAACGTTCTTCCAAAAATAAATCTCTGCACAATGGCGTCACTTGTCAAACATGGCGTCCTGCTGACATTGGGGACTTCTACAAAGATAGCCCCAATCGCATCATCTAACTGCTTTTGCCACTTGCTTTTCGGATGACAGCAGCGGTGAGGACTGCGGATGAGGTTAGATTATTTGATTTGAACTCCTACAAGGACATTTCATCTTCAAAGCGCAGAATATCGACGTGGGGTTGTTAATGACCGAGCCGAGTCCTGACAAAAGGATTTGCCTTCTAGCTCGTCAAGGTTGCTTTAGGACAACGGATCATGGTACCCAAACTTCATTTATGTTTTATTTTTTTATTTTTTAAAATTGGGAACGCAGTAACATAGACTGAATTTCAGAAAATTGGGAACTGAACTCCGATAAATCATTAATTTTCAAAGAAAAATAAACTTCTAAAAATATCCTCTGAATCTTACGAGAAATAAACTCCGAAAACACTGAATCCTAATAGTAATATAGGCGCAAATGTTTAGAATTCAGAATGCGATAGCATTTCTTTCGGCAGCCCCCCTGGGAAAATTCTGCTCTGCTACACGAAACCAATGCACATGCATGGGAGAAAGGTAAGTGGATAAATTGAGAGAACGAAACTCCAAAGGTCCTCCAAAAGGAATCGAACCCAGCACTCCAAGATTGTGGGTCCGACGCTCAACCATCGCGAAGAGGTTAGCTATTAAATCTAATTTTATTCGCCAATCGACACTGCAGAGTGTGTAAGACTTTTGCTCCCGTTGAACGAGGGCTCATGCAGCCAAGGCACGGTCGAACGCAAGGAGTTCGTGCTTGTGTCTGCCATCGTGCACACATTACGCAGCTTATGTAAGAATCCACACTTTGGAAAGGGGTCACAGCATAAAGTAGTTGTGGCATAGATCCAAGATATATTGCAGGAACTAACTGGGATATGTGGCCCGACTTTTAGTAGTCACAAGTCTGGAGTAATTGTGTTTATTGACGAAAAGAGTAAACCCCTAATAATACGAGACATTGTAATGGACCGTATACAAATATGTGGTCTACGAAGTGAATGTAAGGGCGCTAGATTGAACATGACATAAACCTCAAGACTCCAGGCAAAAAACTTTCAGCCTTTCCACTCTGGTGAAGAAGGAAAAGCACCAGAGCTGTAGCTGCTGTTCTCGGCGGTGGCTTTCCACGCGAGCGATCTGCTCTTCTTTTGCAAAAAAATCTGAAGCGCTCGACACACGCGGCGGTTGCGGACCCGTTCGCGCTGCTGCGTACGTTGCCGCTCCTTCCGCACCCGGACTTCTTTCTTCGAAGAAAGGGCACGCGGCCGACCCATCGCACGTCCATACCGAAACTGATAAGAGCGTAGGAAACAGCGCGCAAAATAGACGAGGCTGAAGAAGAAATACACATGATGTGCACTGCGCTCGTCACGTGCGTTTCTTCTTCGTCCTCATCTCTTTTCGCGCTGTTTCCTACGATGAATTCTCACCAACTCTCCCAACTATCTATTCTTCTATGATAGCTGAAAAGGTTGCTGCCATCTATGAGCGACGGCGGCAACCAGACTGGCTGCTTGGTTGCTGCTGTTGCTTATAGATGGCGCGTAGGTTTGTGTCGACATTTCTTTGGTACCAGACACGATCCAAGGGAACCTAGCCTATAACAGCTCCGCTGTAAAAAAAACGACATGAACACTAAAAGCTGTCGTATCTTGCCTGCAGTCTCGGGGTTTATGTTGTTTTATTCAGTCCGCCATGTCAAGCCATGCACAAAACCGCGAGAGTCTCACCGCGCGTGAACAACCTCGACGTCTTTTTCTTACGCGCACAAACTCCGACATGCTATATCCAACATAGAATAGAGGGAACATAGCTGGACTGTATACAGTTCTGCAAGTCTTTCTTGAGTTCTGCGAGTTCACAGCTCTGGACACAAGAATTGCTCCAAAGCTCTCTTCACGATGGCTGAAAACGTTTCGGAGGAATTATGCACTTCCCACTCCTAGTGTGCTCGTGTGTTGGGTCGTAACACGACGTAGGGACTTTAGTGCTTGTAGATGTGTCTCCACTGCCATCCATAGCAGGCCAAGACTGCTCCGGAAGCGGTACTAAAAGAGTGCGGTTACGGCGTACGGACTCTCTCTCAGTTTCTACCCACTAGGATCTAGGCTCATCGGCTTGACCACTGACGACGCCTTGGCGCTGGAGGTCTACCAGCCAGACGTCTGTACCATCGTCTAATGGGGACAGGTCCCGGACACCGCGACGCCGATCGAAGTCTTGCTTCTGTTTTCGACGACTTTCTCTCTCGAATAGCCTCAGCTGTTTCTCGTCAGGAGTATGAGGACGAAGACTCTTGGAGGCCACTGGGAGAGTTGTACGAAGCTTCCTTCCCATCAGGAGTTCGGAGGGGCTGTACCCGTTCTTGAGGGGGCTTGTCCTATATGCAAGCAGTGTCTCGTAGGGATCTTTTGATTTGTCTAAGGACCCTTTTATTATTTTTACCGCCGCTTCGGCGAGCCCGTTGCTCTGAGGGTAGTGCGGACTCGAGGTCACATGGCGGAAGTTATACTCTTGTGCAAACTTCGCAAATTTAGAATGGCATGTCTTAGAAAATTGTGGTCCGTTATCTGAGATAACCACTTCCGGAATGCCATGTCTGGCGAAAAGAGACTTGCAGTGGTTGACTACCGCGGCTCCGGTAAGGCTGCTCAGGCGGACTAGCTCTGGGTAACGCGAGTACTAGTCAACCACTATCAGCCACCACTGACCACTAAGGTAAAAGAGGTCCATTCCCACCTGCTGCCATGGTCTTTCAGGGAACTCCATTGGCTTCAGTGGCATTTGTCTGTTTCGGCTGCGTTTTAGGCAGATGTGGCACTTTTTTACAAGATTTTCCACGTCTGCGTCGATGTTGGGCCACCATACAGAACTTCTGGCTCTTGCTCGGCACTTTTCTATGCCGAAATGTCCTTCATGAAGTTGGACGAGGACTGACTTTCCGAATCTTTGAGGAATGAGGATCCTGGTTCCGCACATCAGGACGTCTCCGCCCATAGCAATGTCGGATCTGTGAATCCAATAGTCTTTAAGGTCGGCTCCTATATCTCGGCGACTTGGCCATCCAATCGCACAAAATTAACTGATACGTTGGCATTCCTTGTCCACTTTCTGCTCAGCAGAGATTTGCTTAAGGCTTGGCGGAGTCACCGGCAGAGATGACGTCACGTGGTCTACGAAGCCTCGGATCTCCTTGGCGAGCTCGGTCGTTCCAGGCCGTTGAACTGGAGATTTAGACAGGGCGTCAGCCGCAGTGAGATCCTTTCCTGGAACGTAGGAAATGGTATAGGTGTATCTCATGAGACGCATTCGCATCCTCTGGAGCCGTGGCGTTAAGTCGTCGAGTCTTTTGGATCCGAAAATTGAAACCAGGGGTTTGTGGTCAGTTTCGAGTTGGAAACTTCTCCCAATCAGGAAGTCTCGGAACTTTTCACATGCCCAAACTAGGGCGAGGCCTTCCTTTTCAATTTGCGTGTAGCGGCGCTCGGTGTCGGTAAGGACTCTGGATGCATACGCGACGACCTTGAAGTGTCCGTTTCCTGCTTTTGTCTCAGGACGGCACCAAGGCCGTACGACGACGCGTCAGCCGTGAGAACTGTCTGTTTGTTGGGGTCGTAGATGCCGAGTACAGGATCCGATGACAGGAGAGCCTTCCACTTTTTGAAGGCTTCTTCTTGGGGGCTTTCCCAGACGAAGTTCTGCTTCGACGACATCATTGACGACAATGGCCGCAACACTTCGGCCATGATGGGCACAAATCTTGCTAGATATGTTGCCATCCCCATCACGCGCCTCAGCCCTTTTTTAGAGGTAGGGTGGGGCATCTCGGCAATAGTACGAAGTTTTTCCCTGTCAGGCCGCACCTCGTCGTTTTCAAGGATGTGCCCCAAAAACGATATGCTGCGCTTGCTGAACTCGCATTTGTCCTTGTTCAGGGTAACTCCGGCTGCTCTGAGACGATCCATCACTTGTCGTAGTCGTTGGTCGTGCTGCTGTCTTGTCGACCCCCAGATGAGTACATCATCCATATGGCAGACGACTCCATCCAGACCTTCCAGGATCTGAGCCATGCGTCGCTGGAAGTGTTTGGGGGCGGAAGAGATGCCAAACGGCAAACGGTTAAAGCAGAAGCGTCCGAATGGCGTGATGAACGTAGTCAGGAGCTTGCTGCTTTCGCTGATTGGGATTTGCCAGAACCCAGAATTTGCGTCTATCTTAGAGAACATTTTTGCACCTTGTAGCATACCCAGAGTGTGTTCCACGGCAGGTATTGGATGCCATTCTCGCAGTATGTACCTGTTTAGTTCTGTGAAGTCCACGCAAATGCGGAGCGCCCCAGATGATTTTGGCACAACTACCATTGGCGCGCACTAAGATGTTGGCTCCATTACTGGTGATATCGCTCCTTCGTTCTGCATGCGTCGAAGTTCCTGCCTTGTTTTCTCGTACAACGGCAGCGGTACCCTCCGAGGAGACGTCAGCGCGAAAGGCTTAGCTTCTGGCTGTAGCTTGACGTCGTATTCATCTTTCAAGGTTCCTAGACCTTGGAAGAGGTCAGGGTACTCGGATTCGACGTTTCCTTTTTCGATAACGCCGATGCGTGCAGCGAGTTCAGTTAGAACATCAAGCTTCTCGATGGCAGGCTTGCCTAGAAGTGGTGACTTTAGGCTCTGAAGTACGTAAACTTCTTCAATGCTTGTTCGTCTGTTGAAAGTCATGTGCACCTGGGCCGTGCCGACAACGATAAGTGACTTACCGTTGGGGCCGTCGAGGGGCCGTTTCGCTGGCTGGAGCTGCACACCTTCGAACAGATGGCGGAAAAGGCCTTCTGGAAGCACTGTTTCATCCGCTCCTGTGTCGGCTTTGAATACAACTTCCTTGTTATTGACGACCACTGTGACGTCCCAGTTTGAAGACCTTCCATGGCTTGTGAGACCGAGGAAGCCTGGTTCTTGCTCTTGAACGTTGCGTACAGCTGGCGCCGACTGACAGACGGTGGCGAAGTGTCCTTTCTTTGAGCACTGTCTGCAAGTAGCGTCTTTTGCCGGACATGCATTCTTTGAATGTCGTTCGCGACCACACCAGCCGCAAGAGCTTGTCTGGTTCTTGCCTTTTAGGACCTTTGCAGTCGTTGACGGTAGAGGGCTCGATGCACCAGCGGGGCTTTTTGCGAGGGTCTTCCGTGAGGACGGTCGATGTTTCCCGGTCAGCACGTTGTCTATGGTGACTTTGCTTAATGGCTCCTTGTGCATTACTGCTTGTTGCAGATGGACGGCCTCGTGTTGGCGTGCCACAGTCAATGCTTTCGTATAACTTAGATCCGCATCGAGCTGCAGTTTTTCAGAAACTTTCCTGTCTTTGAGGCCAACGACGAGCCTATCTCGGATTAGCTCCTCTCGAAGGACTCCGTAGTTCCAGGTCTCTGCCAGAGCATGTAAAGCCGTAACGAAATCTTCGACGGACTCACCGTCCTGCTGAATTCGTGTGTTGAAACGTGCCCTTTCAAAGATAATGTTCCGACGGGGAATGAAGTAGGTGTCGAACTTGCTCAGGACTAGATCGAACTTCTTCTGTTCAGCATCGCTGAGCTTGAACGTGTTGAACACCTCTTCAGCCTGTGTACCCATCAGGTAAACTAGTATGTCGACTTGGCTGGCTTCTGGCCTGTCGCTCAGTCCCGATGCCGTCTGGTAGCGAAGAAATTGTTTCTTCCACGTAGGCCAATCATTGGGATTCGCGAAGGCAAACGGCTCCAGTGGCGTAATCTGGAACGACGTCATGGTCACGGGCGTTTTGTATCCTAGCTGCGGACCTGAAGCTTGGCTGTGGCCAGGTGTATCGGCGCTGTCAGCGTTTGACGAATCAGAAACTCCAGCTTGAAACGTTGCCATTGCTGACCTTGGACGTTCGCAGGTTACCGCGAAGATACATCATCATCAGGCTGGCTCACTTCTGACACCATGTTTTATTCTACGGGGCGCAGAATGAAAGAGACATAGTCGCGGTGGACTAGCAAGACAAAAGGGTTTATCTTACACTAAGGTCAGCAACGTATGAACAAAAAGAACACCAACCAGTCCACCATGCCAAGCCATGCACAAAACCGCGAGAGTCTCACCGCGCGTGAACAACCTCGACGTCTTTTTCTTACGCGCGTGAACTCCGACATGCTATATCCAACATATGTCATATCCTATCTTGGTGTAGTCGTAAGTTCAGATACAACATGGATTAACCAGATTAGCTCCATTTCTTCGGATGCAGCAAAAACACTTGTTTATACATCCGACGTCCAAAAATTTTTAAATTGGCACTAGAGATTTTTATTTATCCGAAATCGAAATACACCGCTGCAATCTGGAATTCACCAGAACTAATTGTCACCTAGCTTGAAGTGGACCATAACTGAGAAGCCCAGTACATTTTAGCCAACTACGATAATACAGCTAGGGCAGTGTCTTCTGCACAACAAAGACAAGCTCGGATTTATCTGCTCTTGAAGCACGCCGATAGATAGTGGGTCTCCGATTAATCTGGAAGCTTTCTTGCCGTCATCCCACGGTTACAAGTTCGTTCCTGCAAATTGGTCATCGCGTCGCATCAACCACTCCCGTAATTTCCAGCACACATCCAGTTCCACTAACACACAGGCAAGTAGCTCGCGCCACCTGGCCCGACTAAGAAGCATTGCCGCATAACGTCAACGTTGACGGTCGGCACTCGCAGGCGTGGCCAACACGAAGTGCTGGAGGTACTCCTCGCTCACGATGGGCCTCATCGAAAACACAAAGCTATGTTCACTTCCTCCAAAAGTGGCGGCCTGCAGCAGAATGAGCACCTGCCACACCCACCACCGCTGCCACGGCACGGCACTTCTAAGACGACGTCGGGCAGAAATTAAGGGACCGCTTTTGAGGACGCGGTAAGCGCACCGGTCGAAGACGCGTCCCGGGCAACAGAGCGGCGGCAGAGCGCACCTTGTGTCCCAGGGCCTTGGCCTCGGCCAGCTGCTCCCCGAGCCAGGAAAGCTGGTCGTCTGCGCTGACGTTGGCAGCGGGGGCCTGGTTGCCCGTGTACCAGAGCACGCTGTTCAGGCACACCAGCCGCACGGACCCGCGCACCGTCCAGCTGTAGTAGCCCCCTGGAACGGACAGCGCTCGTTCTTGGTAAATGCCAAAACCTCCGCACTTCGAGCATCCGCTTCGAGCATGCGCCTGATGCGAGTACAGCGTCGGCATTCGCCACACGCTTGATTCTAAAATTATTTGATGCGCTAGGCGTTGGCGCTTGGCGCGAACTCTGGTCCAATTGCACCTTCGCGCGAACCGTCCCCAACTGCCGTTCTTGGTGGCAAATGGTACAACCAGACATTGTTTACATGATAACCACTAGCAGAGAAACGCCCTCCGCATTTTTTATACAGCGTCGACGACGCTCCTCTTCATTAAAAGGTGAAACTATATAAATATCTAGAAATTTGCTTCGTAATCTTACATGGGTAACGACATTTCCACCGCTGCATCCTAAGCAACTAACAAGTTCTGGTATTTGAAAAAAAAAAAAAAAGCTAACGTAGACGCAAAATTACTAGCATAAAAGAGATCAGCTTGTCCCATCATCGACTAAGGCTGGTTCACACGCTCGCGTTTGGCTGCAACCAAGCATGTAGCGCAGCCTCGTGCACCCTGGTGATCACTTACGACATGCTGGTGCCGTCTGCCCTCCCAATTGCTCGCGAGGGTACACAATTGGGAGGAAGCACTAGACTACACGACGCACTCGGTGGCAACCAGATGCAAGAGTCTGAACCAGCCTTTAGACAAAAAAAAATTTGATCTCTGGCAACCAGACCCATTTTCGGTAAATTTCGCTCGGACGTTCGCCGTCGCGGCAATGCAGATGACACGAACCAGCCTCGCTCGAAAAAAGAGGGAAATCTGCGCTAAATTCCTCGCTTCAAATTACTGATGATTGAAAATTTATGAAGAAAAGTAACTACAGTAGTCCATGCGAGTTTAGAGCTGCGATCGATACAGGCTACCAGAAAATACCGGGAAAGCATCCACTCGAAATTTGGAGCTAATCGCATAAAAATGGGCGATGGGCGCTTGTCCATTCATCAATTTTACATATAAACGTACCCCGCATCTTTTCTCAGATCTTACTAATTAGGGAATAGGTGCTTAGTGTAGGACGGCCGGATGCGCGGAATTCTGAGGTTCATACCTAAAAATTAACGATGTGGAAATTGTTTTTCTTCCAAAGACTTGGTCGTTTTTTGTGTGCTGCATTCAAATGGGAGTCTACGTGATAACATTATCGCCGCACATCTGTAGGGTTCATTCTCATTTAAACAACCACATTGTACGAGTTAGATCGTATGCTAGACATAAATCACACACTTTTGTAACTTTCAAACTAGCCTGTGTACGAGATACTTAGGCATTTTTGAATATAATTGTGGCCACGCGCACCCCCAAATTAATGCTTTAAAACAAAAGAATCCCCACAACCAAGTTCCAGATTAGAAAGATGGCAGTATTTCTAAAACACTGAGGCATTCCTTAGATTCCAAACGTTCCGCATGCAGAATGTATTAGGGATATACAAGGTGTCCCAGACAACTCGCACCAGACTTTACAAAAAAACGGAGCGCTCTGCGAGAGTGAAACCAAGTGTAGGCTGTTAGTAAGCGTTTCGGGAAATTGCACAATTTCTTTTAGTGTGCCTAGTTATTCGGTTAATTAAGACTAATTAGCTTCTTTTTTTATTCATTGTTTAAGAGCCGAGGCATGAATTGGAAAGCTGTAGGGCGCATTGAGAAACACCCAATTAAGGTGTTCTCTACATGATATGCTTTGCACGCTTCTCTTTAGCTTCGATGAAGACTGGGAAGGGTACGACCCAAAAGAGCTCACTTCGACACATCCGAAGGACCCGGGCCAAGCAACTCAAGCGCTGCCTCACGCAGGAAGCCAACCCCTTTCCCAATGGTTTCAAAAGATGCCAGACGGACGTGTCTGCACCAGAGGCACGACGACGCCTCACCTCTGGCAACTGTGGGAGAATGCCATGAAAGTGAAACGAGACTCAGACTACGTGCCCTCCGGCCCAAGGTGCCCGTAGCGCGACGGACCCATACCGCCTGAGCTTCGTCACATCCCGCGGGAATACAAGTCTTTCTTCGCGAGGAAGCCCGGGAAAACCTCGGCCCTGAAGACCGGCCCGGATACCTCCAATCCAGAACCAAGACAACAAGAGACTCCGATAGGAGGTTCAAGGTGCTACGATCGGTTTTCAGCTTCCTCGAGATGAGCAGCCTCGGCACCCGCCTCTAACGGAGCCTTCACCTGCAAGCTACGCCGGAGTGCAACCGCTTGTTCAAGGCACCAATAAATGTTCATTCCATTCCATTCACCCCCCCCCAAAAAAAGGCCGCAAAAAAAAAAAAAATTGTGTTTACGCATTTGCGCAGTGCATTTGCAGCGCTATCAGACGTGCTCCGAAGGAACAAGGTCCACCTTATCACTGGCGTGCTGTTTGAGGCAGGGCCTTGTGTTAGGGTAATCCCCGAAAATAAGCGTGAGCACACGCTGCCGCAAAGCCCTGTCATAAGCCAGTGATAAGGTGGACTTTGCACCTTCAGGGCATGTCAGAGAGCACTGCAAGCGCGATGCACAGGCGCACTATCATGTGGTCTTTTTTTATATATTTCGCAGGCTTCCTTTGTAGACTAATAAAAAGAAGCATGCAAAGCATATCACGAAGGCAACACCTTAATTGTGCGTTTCTCAATGTGTTCTACAACTTTCCAATTCACACCTCGGCTTTTAAATTAATAATAAAAAGAACTAATTAGTCTTAATGAACTGAGTAACTAGGCACACACAAAAAAAATTGTGCAATTTCCCAAAACGTTTACTAACAACATACAGTTGGTTTTACTCTTGCAGAGTGCCCTGTTCTTTTTCTTTTTGTAAAGTTTGGTGCAAGTTATCTGAGACACCATGTATTCGCAAACCTGCAGTGCGATAGTGTGACCTCACGCTTTCGAGTCTAGTGTCATTTGACCCCCATTCCGTTTTTTTGGGCTGAACATCCGTAATATGATAATTCTGAAATGTTGCCCACCCTCTCCGATTCCCCCTGGAAGTCTGTCATGCGATGTCCGACTGGAATGACATCAACTGCGCGATCTACGATACCGGTACGTGTGGCAAGCATGTTTGCAGGGATTTCGTGTTTATCAAACCGTGACACATGAATCTGCTGCATCAGCGATCTGCACTATCCATTCCCATGACATACGCAAGGTCATAGCTCGTTCCCGTATATTTTTGTCCGTGATGTGCCCACATGATGTTGGTTCTCCTAACACGCAAGCTTGTAGCGGCTTCCCACGTGTTTTTGTGCCGTAGAACGCAAATCTACTGCATCTGCGGTATCTATTCCCATGACATGCGAGTTCGTAGCTGGTTCCTGCATTTCTTAGTCTGCAATCTGCACGCATGACACTGGTTTCCGTGATAGGCGAGTTAGTAGCAGTCTCCGGCGTGTTATCACACCGTGCAACAGGAATCTGCTGCGTCTGCAAAAAGTCACAGGGTCTCTGATGTTTTTTCTAAGACGACTTGAAGGTGAAAGCCCAAGCACTGATGTAAAGGTTCTAGCGAACCTCCGAAGACAGCGCGCTCTCTCACGACGCACTTTTGGCGTGTTTTTGTAGTTTTCCATGTCGTCGACAAGTTTTCGCTCAAGGACTTTGAAGGTTGACTGAACGACAAGACATATAAGGCTTTCGCCTTAATATCCCTTCCATGACATGCAAGTTTGTAACTGGTTCCCATGTCTTTTAGTCGGCGATCTGCACGCACCATACCGGTTCCCGTGATATGCGAGTTTGTAGCAGTTTCCCGTGTATTTATCGCACCGTGGTACGAGAATCTTCTGCGGCTGCGGTATCCGTTCTTGTAACATGCGAGTTTGTAGCTGGTTCCTTTATTTTTTAGTCTGCAATCTGTGCACGGGATACCGGTTTCGTGATATGAGACCCATGTTGAATTAACCTAAGACTGGTGTAGAGAAGAAACATTAAAACATAGAAGACACAGAAAATAGACAGGGCGACGTCTTATACTCAGCTAACTCGTTTATTTAGCTAACCTCGTTATATAATCTCAACCTCAAGGTCATCACCCACCAACACAAAAGGACGAAGTCCATACAGTTCAAGTGCCAGTCTCCGTCATACAATGTAAACATGTGGACAACCTTACAAGTTGACTTAATAAGGCAACATCCATCCTCCTTTTAAGCTTGAACAAAAGGATCTCTCTCCCCTTCTATTCTAAACACAGTTCCCACTTCTGATTCAAAAGACGCCCACTCCACCTACTACGCCCCAAAAAAGACCGAAACAACCTTTGGGCCAACACACATCAGGAACCAAAAAGCAGCAAAAAAAGTGTTCTTTGCAATCATTTTGGACAATCACAATCGGGGGTTCCCAATTCACACTTCAAAATACATACAAAAAAAAATTGTCATTAAATTTCTAAAAGCTTTTTGAATTGCTTCCGAACTGTAGCAAAGCCTGACTTATACAATGACCCAACGATTTGTTCTGCACAGTCTCTTTGTGTATGATCGCAGTCTCCGACCAGAGTGCCGTGCAGTTGTTACATTCATGGATACATTTCGCAATTTCTATATCTTGTGCATTGTTCTTCTTCACATTTTTTTAATGTTTGTTTAATGTCATTGATGCAGCGTGACGTCTGTATTTTGCGAGAATGATGTTGTGTATGAAATATCCTTGGAATGTGTGTACATAGGACAGACGTCACGCAGCATCAATGACAGATTAAATGAACATAAAAGAAATGTAAAGAACAATGCACAGGGGTGAGACAGGTGAAACAGGTTCTGGAGCAATTTTTGGAGCAGAAAAATCTGGATTTTGGAGCAGCATAGGAGCACAAAATTCTTGTTTTGGAGTAGCAGTTTATGCATTTTGAAGCAACTTCGAAGCACAAAAGTCTACAGTTTGGAGCAGATTAGGAGCAGAAAATGTTAGAGCAGCTTATCAGCAATTTGAATCATAAAATATCTAATATAAATCACATAAATCAGATTTTTCTTTTTTAATCATTACTTTTGTCCACCCTGGTTCTAATAAGTCATCAGCGCCGATATGCACCCAGATAAAATATATATAAAGAAATAGAAAAAATAAAACGGAAAAGGCAAACGCGAGTTTCGTGCGCATAGATGAGGACAAGAAACACAGGCTTGCTGCAAAGTGAGGTGGGCACCCGGTACCTCAAGCTTATACGAACTGGTGCCAAAGTGCAATTGTAGTGCAACTTTTTAAAGCGGTGATTTGAGAGCATGAACAGAAAAACACGGTCTACTACAACTAGACATCCATGCACGCTCGTAGAAAGCACGTGCAGAGAGAGAAAAAAACTCCCCACAAAAGTGAGTCACAAGGAAAATAGTGAATTGGTAGAAAAACTATGAGCACCACATGCACGCTAAATACGGGTGCGCGACCGATTCATTCGATTGCTCACGCACTGGAAGCACCTGTGGGATAACCGAAAGCAAACACGGCGGCGGCAGCGGCGGCCATTTTGACGAGATAACAGACACGAATGAACAATTACACAATGGAGGCGCTCAATAGCACTTTTAAGAAAAGGTTTACTCTCAAAACGAAACAGATACTCAAGTTTTCCCAACTTGATAGCCTGTGCGTCGTGGCTCCTGCGGCCAGACAGCGAGACCGCGTGACAGCGCACCGGTACCATGCAGCCACAAATGAGAGTGGAAAGTAGAAGGGAAATCGGGAAAAGACGCATATCATAGGTATAGAAGGGTACTGGAGCTGAAACCTTCGAATCTGGCAGTTGCTTGCGCCACCCTGTACCCATGCCATGTACTTTACTACGACGGGATTGAATGTTACCAACCAAGCTCTCGTTTCCCGCTAAATCTAGCGCCGCTGCAGGTTTTTTTTTTTGTTTTTGAGTTACTTTGGCGTAGTGTTGTGCAATTTCGACCGATTTAACGTTTCTGGCGCAACTAGGCGCAGAAAATTGGGTTTGTATCAAAATGGCGCAATTGGCGCAGATGTCACACCGCTGAATGCACAAAACATGAAGATCGCGAAATATATCCACGAATGTAACAACTGCACGGCACTCTGGTCGGAGACTGAAATCATACAGAAAGAGAGGAACGATGTAAAGAGGGTAGTAAGGGAGACTGTGCGGATAAAATCTCTAGGTAATTGTATCAGTCAGGCTTCGCTACAGTTTGGAAGTAAGTCAAAAAGCTTTTTAAAAATGTAATGTCAATTTTTTTTGTGTGTGCATTTCAAAGTGGGAATTGCGAACCCCTGATTGTGATTGTCCAAAATGACTGTAAAGCACACTTTTTTTTTATGCTTTTTGGTCCCTGACATGTGTTGGCCCAAAGGCCGTTTCGGTGTGTTTTTGGGGTTAGTAGCCTAGGCGAAAATCAGTCCATTTCCAGCTGGATTATGTAACTGGAAATGAGGCAGTCCAGCTGGCTTCCAGCTGGAGCCAGCTAGGATCCAGCTGGAGCCAGCTGTAGCCAGCTGGAAGTGGACTGATTTTCACCTGGGAGGGTAGAGAGGGCGTCTTTTGAATCAGAAGTGGGAACTGTGTTTAGAATAGGAGGGGGGGAGAGATCCTTTTGTTCAAGTCTGAAGGAGGATGGTGTTGCCTTACTGTGTCGACCTGTAAGGTTGTCCACATTCCTACATTGTGTGATGGAGACAGTGGTGCTTGAACAGTATAGACTTCGTCCTTCTGTGTTGGTGGCGACGACTTTGAGATTGAGACTGTATAAGAAGGTGGACTAAATAAACAGGTTAGCTGAGTTTGAAACGTCGTCCTGTCTATATTCTGTCTCTTTTATGTTTTGATTTTTCTTCTCTACCCCAGTCTCGGGTTAATTCAACATGGCCAACATTCACCAGCTCGCCCGCACCCTTGCCATATTTCTCTGTGATATGAGAGTTTGTAGCAGTCGTGTTTATCGCACCGTGAAACACCAATCTGCTGTGTTCGCATGTTCTGTAGTATTCGTCTCCGCGATAGAAGTTTGCAGCGAATTCCAGCATGTTCATCCCCGTAGAACATGAATTTTCAGTGTCCACAATTTGTGTTATGAGTTCCTATTCTCTATTGTAATGCTTGCTCGCTCGCTCGCTCTCTCTCTCTCCCTCTCTCCCTCCCTATTATTATATATCTTTTATTTTTATCAAATTTCCCTGCCTCATCCCCAAAGATCATCCATCCTATATTTTTTAACATTCATCTCTTCATTTTTGGTGAGTATTCTTACCGGATTTCACCGTACTATACTCATTTTTACCCCAAGAAACGTAGTAAAAAAAGTATGGCTTCTCACGGAGCATTACTAATTTTCCTCTTTAAGCTTGTGAATTGAGATATGTATATGTGGGCGCATTTTAGATTAGACAAACGTTACCTTATCAAGACAGACACAGTTCAAGCGCCAAAAGCATTGCTTCTGCCTCCGACAACCAAATCTTGTAAGAACTACAGCACGCGGCGCATGAACATTGAGCAAAACTTCCTTTTTTCTTGAGGTAAAAACGGGTATACATAATAACATTGTTGACAGCAACGTCGCGTGACAGCCGGACACGTGACGTCGTGTAAAGGCTATTTTGTAAAGGCTACCTGGTAGTAAAGGCATCATATAAAGGCTACATAGTGCAAGACCTCTGTTTACAAAATGCTTTAAGGTCCACATTTACGAAAGGTTTCTACTTATGGAAACAAAGCCACAAGTTGCTGCACCGTATGGTCATGAAATGCCTTTTCACTTCATAAGAAGCGTTCCACCACGTTGGTGAACAGCATCTGCTACAATTCCATTAGTCTGCACGGGACACCCTTGGGCCATATAAAAAAAACACTACATCTCCCTTTCGGAGTCTCCCCAGTGGCACATATAAGGGCCATTTGGGCCACCGATCAACTTCTTTATCGCCATCTCCCCTTACGTCCAAATAAAGATTGGTAAATATTCTGGCTGGCACAGTCCATCGCGATACGGAAGAACTCGAGCGAGAGGAAAAACGATGCCCCGTGCGGTTAAAGGCATAGGGTGCAAGTTCATTCACATGGCATCCAGCGAGATTTCAAGCCGGAGGTATGTTGCATAGAACTGCCCCGTAAGACCAACACCACCCAGGTGACAAAGCCTGTGTACCACGTTGGCGTTAGTGGATCTCGTCCCAAGCAGCAAAAACGCCGAAGCTCTAGAGAGCCCTTGCAAGGCGGCAGACGCGTCTGCCTCCACGTCGTCACATGCTAGTGTCGCCCTCCTTGCAAGACTCCACAAGACTCCACGGTGGCGATGCCAACGCAACCTTTACTCCCTTTCACCTTACGTCCGGCCACAGTGGACGTTAAGAGCCACCCCGGCCAATCCAGCTCCATGAATGTAGCAGGTAACTGCACTTTTCGCTGTGTGTCATGGCGCTTCCTTTCGAAGGTCACGAGAGCCTCGCGCTGCCTCGGAGTGGCTCTGACGACTAGTAACGTCCGCCGTGGCCGGACATAAGGGGAAACGTAGTATAGGTGGCGACGCGTGAATCCACTCGCGACAACGTTTGAGGGGGGAAGGACACGGGCATGGTCTTTTAGGCGGTATCGAAGACGCGCCGACGGCAGTTTGGGAAAGAATTTGCCACTTGTGGACTGGGAAATCCGGTGGAGACGGAGCAACGCGAGGCAATGAAGCGGCACCTTTCTCGAAGGTGCTCCAGGCGGAGCTGGGCAGCAGCTTGTTTAGGTCTGCCTTGGAGAGGAAGCGGGACTGGTTGCCGGAGGGCATGTTGTTGGCCGGAGAGCAGTCATGGTTGCCCAGGGAGGGCACCACGGGGCAGCGGGGGAACGCCCGCTGCAGCAACTCCCCCAGCCAGCGGGTGGCCGCAAACACGTCGGACCACGGGAGGGCCCCCACGTGGGGAAGGTTGTCCCTGCGGAGTGCGGCGCTCAGTCTCCCCGGAGCCAGTTGCTCGGCGAACTACACTTCGGAGTAACGACACTTAAGCCATCTTGCCGCTTAAGATCATTTACTTTTGTTAAGCGTGTTGGTGATAAAGTTAAATTCTAGAAAGAATAAAACATGAAGAACTTATTCCAACCATTATCCAAAATCGCGGGGAATCCTTTTACATATTTCAGAAATGTTAAAACTATCCTCTACAGAGGAACATGTAGAGGAACATGAAAACCAGACTTCGAACTTTGCGAACTTGGACTTGGAAGAAATTAGAAATCTTCAATGTTTTTTTTTTTTTCTAGTTTAGCTCTAAAACAAAAATCGAAACGTTTGAACTTTATGTAGAAGGAAATTCGAAATCGTCGAACTTCAAATTCAAAGGAATTCGAAATCTTTGAATTTTTCAAACTTCAGATTTCAAGAAATTCAAAATTTTCTAATTTCTCAAGTTTCAAGCTAGGAAAGTTCGAAATCTTAGAATTTCTTGAACCTCAAGTAAACATATAGTCAAAATATTCTAACATGATTTTTTAGAAACCGTGAAAGCTTTGAACTTTACGCATTCAAAACTCCACGGTGTTTCGAAAATTGCAAACTTTTTGATTTCGAACCTCGGTATCATTCGAAAATATCAAAATCTTTAAAATTCGAAGCTCAGTTTGGTTCGAAAATATAAAAACCTTTCTAATTTGAACCTAGGGTGGTTCGCAACATCCCTAGTTATTTGCTGTGTGCATCACTCAAAAACTCGTTTATTTAGCTTCTCTACAGCATCATATTGTAAACCTATAATAGTTTCACAGAGAACAGGCACAAAATAAAGACATTCTCACCCACACCCGTGTCACTGTTTGACGCTGTGTCATCAAGCTTCTCTGCACACTAATGCGCTGCTCTTAAGGGAACCAGGGTAAGTCCTATACTCCCCGTGCATTTGAGGCCATGTTGAGGAAAATTTTTCTCGGTGACTATTAGGAGTATTCCTGTCATGTATATATCATTTTGTTCGAAATATTGTGTTTTATCTACTGAACTAGAATTATTTGAACCAAACTAAAATAAGTTTTTTTGTTTTGTTTTTTTATTCTAGTACTGAAATTTTAGTTTTTTTCATCTATTAAAAAAATTCTGGCTCAAAAAGTGCTAGGTGCATATTTTTAATTTTAGTTCAGTATTTTCAACACCCATGTAGGTGGAAGGAATAAAAAAAAAATCAACCCTCTATAATGTCAGGTTAAGGAAAAAATGGTACCTATGTACTAAAAAACACTGTTTTGAGATAATTGAGTTTAAAGTAGAAAACTGGTGAATAACAAATTTCTATTGGCACCAACAGCCTCGGAATCATTTTTGCAATAGCCGCCAGCTTGGAAGGAATTGCTAAAGTCATGTCTTCGCCTTTAGGCTTATTGCCTTGCTTGCCGAACCTCTTTTGTGACCTGCCGTGTGGCTTGATCGGTAAAGTATATATTCGAGTGACGTAAACTTCCCTCAGCCACTTGATGGTGTTCCACACAGGGTTCCATCCACAGGACTTCAAAACATTGTCTTGTGCAGTGCTACCACCATTGAATAAAAGAACAGCATCCAATGCCGCCATTTTGTCGTTACAAAAACACAAACGCTTGAATGTACACATGGTACACACCTGGAAAAAACATGTACAGCGTCTCGGGATCGTCTTGGTTGAAGAAAAGCTATGCAATAGTTGCCAGATAATTTTTTTTTTTTTAATTATCTGTTATCGAACAAGCTTTTAGGTCTGGTGTTGAATTTGTTTTGTTGGAAAAATCATCGATAAACAGGGAGCGTATCCCAAAAGGAGGCATGGTCACCTGCTACTTGCTTTCGGAAGAAGTGATTCTCAGCCCGAAATATAACTTTCTAAGGACACTCTTACAATGGAAAATGTGCAGAAAGAACTAAACTTTTGAAATTGCGAAAAAAACTAAAATCAATTTTTCTTCAATTTTATCTTACCCTGCGCCCTTAGTGGTAACTTTTCCTGACTTGGCCAACTTCTTTAATATTTCCCTGATGGTTCCCGACTTTTTTAAATGCCTTCAAATTTTGTGACAGTTCCAAATCGGTATTATCCTGAAATAAGCTTGAAAGCTGGGATAGTTGGCAATCACTGAGCATACCGAGGCATGCTCAGTGATTAGCACAAAGATGGGAAAAAGAACGGGACAGGACAGAGTGCTAACTTGCAACTAATGATTTTACAATAATCAAGGTAGGAAAAACTAAAGTGTGGCACTCTCACTGGGTGCTCTTCAATCAAAGTCCCTCTCCCCGACTAGCTACTTCTCTTTTCCAGGGAACCCTGCTATGGCCTCCTCCTCGTGTGCTTTCGAACTGTCACTTATGCCCAGGAGTGCGGCAGACATGAAATGGGCCGTGAATACTGTGGCGACAAGATCCGCATACGGTACTGGACAAAGCATGCAGTCCAGAGCGAGCTCGCTGGTACCTTGCAGCCACTCGACGTCAGCATCAAAACAGACGTTGAGATGAAATTCTACGGAATAAATGGCTGATGCAAACGCCGAAAGGCGCTTAAGGAACAGCTCAAAAGAACAGCTCTGGCCACTATTGACGTGGGTACGACTCGAGCGCCGAGGATACCGCAGGTTACAATGATCGAGACCGAAACAAAGGTGCTCGAGACCATTGCGTGCAATCGCGAGTACATCCATTTTTTTATGCACATCCAAAACTGTTTTGTTTTTATCTGTGTATGGGCCGCAGCTAAAATAATAACCCCAAAATATATTTTAAAAAAAAGAACTGTAGCCTTTACAAGCGTTTATACGGTATCTCTTGTGCTTTCTGCTTTCCAGGGAAGTTCGATAGCATGTCCTGGCTCAAATGTACTGTCAGCACAAAGTTAGCTTGGAAAGTGTTGGCACTACTCTAGCCGGCCACCGAAATTTGCCAGCCGCAGGGTCTGCCACCCTAGGCAGCTGCCCCCTCTCAGTATGTCCACCCCCGGCGCCATGGTGCCTAAAACGCGCATCCGAGTGGTGTGTTTACCACGTCCTAATGAGTAATTCCTCAATTTCCACCCTATGACATCATCGAAGTGTCACGCTGTCGCCAGCTGCAATCCTGGCGATGCAACTACGGCGGTGGTGGATGTGGCAGACGACACCCATTTGGCTGCGGGTCCCTCTCTAGCTGGCAGTCGACGAAAGCTCTGGCAGCCATGAGTTGGGAGCGCCGCGACAACAGCGACATTCCCGTTCGCTCGTATGTTTTACCGGGACTTGTAGCACCATCTGCCAGGATCGCTACGTCCAACAGCATGACACGCCGACTTCTGCGACGTCATTTGTCGTCACTTCGGGACCACTTTCGACCCATGAGCAGGAGAGGACGCTACACACACACCGATCAAAGACGCGTTCCGAGGCACCACACCGGCGTTTCCGGCCGTCTGGCCCTGAAAGGCACTGACCCCGTCCAGAGCACGAAGTCCGGGTCCGGCTCGATCCTGCGCATGGCAGCCACGGCCGACTCGACGAGCGGCCGGGGCGCGTCGCACTTGAAGTCGCCGTAGGGGCCGATGTCGTCCGAGCTCAGCTGGTTGGGCGTCGAGTGGCACATCGCCTCGCGCACCCCGTGCGTCGTGTAGTCTTTGTCGAAGTGGAAGTCGCTCACGTGCCAGAAGAACCCTGCACCAGACGGTCGTGTCTTTGTGATGTGGACGCCTCCGTCCCCCACCAAAATGGTATGTAATGCGAGTCGCGTGTAATAGTGAACCAAGGTCAAGGTCCCAAACAATGAACGAGCGCAGCCACGAAAGGCACCGTTTACCTGGGAAAAAGTTTCGCCTCCTTCGATTCCATATCTCTGGGTTATGAATTTCTTTTGAAATACATCACTCCAAGGATGGTCTAAAACACGTGTCCTCAAAGTGGGTTCCTAGGAACCCAAAAGTTCCCCAGACCACCCTTGTTTGTTCCAAGAGCTCTCAAATTTCCTCGACCATTCCCGTCCCCGAATAAAGTTTAAGTGCCATTAATGGTGCAATCAAATGAATTTCGGGCAAGGATAAATGATCAAAGATTGGGATATTACTAATCGTATACTGTTTAGTGGGCCAAAAGAAATAGGGTAGAAAGTCAAAAACCTGCTTTTTGGCACGAAAATTTGAAAATATAGCAAACCACTTTGTACATCCTTTCCTTCAAAAGCTCTCGTCACTTTCACTGCAATACATCCACGGTACCCAAAGCATGTCAGCCGGCCCCAGCTCACGCATTGGACTTGAGTTCCGAGTCACTGGGCCTACATGCTCGTCAACTATCAATTCGCCGACGAAGATCTGGATTCGCATTTGTGGAAAATAAGCGTCTTGAGGGCACTTATTATTGCAGTAAAACCTCGTTATAACAAGATGGGATATAACAAACTAAGGGATATAACAAAGCAATCATAATTCCCCTTGCTTGCCAATAGTGGGAGGAAATGGACAGTGGCTATAACAAACTAATGGTTATAACAAAATATTTACGAGCGCTTCTTCAACTTTGTTATAACGAGGTTTTACTGTACTTGCGAATGACAAGTTCTGTGGTTTAATTAACCCTCTAATGCCCACCGTATCATGCGCGCTACGACAACTTCTCAAATTAAAATAAGTTTCGGTTTGCATTCTTAACGAACCAATGCCCAGTGTATCGCTGATGATACATATTTCCCAAGTTTTCGCGTATTTTTAGTTCAAGTATTGCCCACGAGGGGGCTTCACGGCGTATTTGAAAATGGCGGAGCCGAGCTGCAGCGGTATGGCGATTAGAACGCGGACGTTCTACGGCCGATCTTCAAAAAATAAAGGTAAGATCATCGTTTTTTTGTGTGTTTTGTAAGCTAGGACAGTTCCTGAAGCCTCTGTACCACTTTTAACTGCGTATATATCTAAGTGGCGAGAAAGAAAACATAATATATCTTGCGTATCACGAGTGCTACTTTGGGCATTTGATATAGTCACGGACGCTCGTATCAGATATGCTACGAATTATACTTTGGCGCCACTACATGAACTGTGAATTATTTTTTTGCAGCCCAGTCACCCCGAGACATTCTCAGCTGCATGCCATCGGGCGACGAGAGTGACTTTGGAGATTTGAGTGACGATGGTGACACAGAAGACGTTTTAGACACTAGAAGTACCCCTCCTGATCCTGCCGAGCCTTCTGGAGATGACTCTTCCGATGATGAAATGGACTCTAGCAGCGGCTCACACTGCGGCACAGGCTCCATTGACAGAGGCCATTGGAGGAGGAACCTGCTGGACTGTGCCATTCCAACGTTCAGCGAAGCTTTTACCATGCCAGTGACGATTGAACCAGCTCTGACCTACTTCCGGAAGTTTATAAGTACGGAAATGATCACATCCCTCGCTGAAGAGACTAACCTGTACAGTACCCAGTCTACTGGACATTCACTGAACGTCACAGAAGCTGAACTGGAGCAATACATCGGGATATACCTGATGATGGGACTTGTGCAAATGCCCAGTGTGCGATGTTACTGGGAAAATGGGACGAGGTTTCCCGTGGTCGCTGATGTGATGCCACGGAACAGATTTGAGAAGCTGATGAGACTGATACACTTCACTGACAACCATCAAGCCACAGAAGACACAAAACGTGACAAAGCTTGGAAAATTCGAACGTGGTTAAATTCACTACAAGAAAAGCTCCAGTCAGTCGAGCAAGAAGAACTGATCAGTGTGGACGAAATGATGATTTCCTTCACTGGGAGGTGCCCTATGAAGCAATACATGCCCGCGAAACCCAACCCCTGGGGCATAAAGCTTTGGGGTCGCGCTGGCTCGTCTGGCTTTTTGTATCAGTTCGACGTCTACCAAGGCCAAGCGAAACAACACTACCTGTTTGGGTTGGGTGGTGACGTCACGCTTAGGATGTGCGAGTTTCTTCCACAGCAGAAGGGTTACAAAATAGCTGCCGACAATTACTTCACCAGCTTAGATCTTGCGACTGAGTTGTCGAAGAGAGGTCTGGGGTTCGTAGGAACGATCAGAAGAAATCGGCTAAAGGACTGCCGACTAAAGTCAGAAAACGACCTGAAAAAGGAGGGACGTGGTGCGTTCGATTATGCGGTCGACAATCTAAAGAATATAGCGGTTGTAAGTTGGTATGATAATAGAGCCGTGACACTTGTCTCCAACTATGTGTCCGCTGAACCAGTCGGAACTGTGCGAAGGTGGGACAAGAAAGAAAAAAAGTTCATCCAAGTTCCACAGCCAGGAATTGTAGCGACATACAACCGCTTCATGGGAGGTGTGGATCTCCTCAACTACTTGATTGAACTTTACAAGTTCCCCATAAAGTCTCGCAGATGGTATCTTTACCTATTTTATCACAGCCTGATGATTGCTACAGTGAATGCTTGGCTTCTGTACCGGCGGCACTGCTCCCAGTTGAACGAGAAGCCTGTCAACCTCCGGCGATTTCAGGCAAGCATCGCGGAGTCCCTTATCGCGGTGGGAAAGAAACCAGTCAAGCGGCCAACATCTTCAGTGACTGTGAAGAAGCGCAAAGTCGGTGGAAGTGCTCCCCAGGATGATGTGCGACTGGATGGTGTCGGTCACATGCCCATCTGGGGCAGCAGCAGGCTGCGATGCAAGTCTTGTCCGCCAGCACAGAACAGCTTTTCCTACACCTACTGTTGCAAGTGTAACGTAAACCTATGCTACACAAAAGATCGTAATTGCTTTGTTGCCTACCACATGTGAAAATGCCATCATTGTTTTGGGAGTAATGCCCACAGTATCATTGATGATACGAGCTGTAACATGGGAAAATAATGTGCAAATAAAATAAAAATTGCTTTCGGTGAAACTGGGCACGTATTTTGAGCATGAAACCGTATTTACTGCATGTTTTCAATGTTGCACAAATCTTTGGGCATTAGAGGGTTAAAAGAACCCTCCCAAATTTTTATTTTTTACAACATGATTTAATATGGTGTCAGGAGACCCCCGGGGCAACAAAAGTCAAATTTGGGGGTTTTACATGCCAAACCAACGACGAGCACCTAGCACGCCCCAGCGGAGGACTGAGGATTAATTTCGACACCCTGGGGATCTTTGGACGTGCAACCAAAAGCTTGAAAGCCTTCTCCGCAATTAGCCTCCGTCAGATTGCGGGGACCTCGGCCAGGACACAAACCCACCGCCTGCTCCAACAAGGCTTGCTGCAGAGCAACATACATTTCAAAATCTCAACTGCATCAAACCAAAACCGAAACATGAGCACAGAAGCTCATAACCTCAAGCCATGTGTCTACTCCCGACAGCTTTTTTTTTTCTCTGCTTCTCTAGCGTGTGAAACAGAGGACGTTGGTTGGTTGCTTAGGTTTTTCTGGCGCAAAAGCAACTAAGGCTATACAGCGCCAAGAACTAGTCTATTTATTACTTAGGGTTAGAGAGAAGAAAGGGGTTTTAGTCGCCGGTGGTTGAATAAAACATGTGTATGAAATACAAACCGTCAAACAATGGCTGTGAGATACTGATTAAAACTCTTATAGTCGGTTGTAAAATGCCGATGGAGTCCAAAAATTTAAAAACGCTTTTATATGCCACAAGGGGCTCATCACCTAAAATTAAAGCTGGGTGAAGTGGCACACATTCTTTATAAAGTGGGGAAAAAATGAATAAGATGCTCTCTGTCATACAGAGGACACTTAATGAGAATATGAAAAATGCTTAGACTTTGTCACAATGTTCGCACAAGGGGGCTTCATCCCCGCGCAGGAGGTGGCCATGGGTCAGGTGCATGTGACCGATTCGCAGTCGGCACAGGACAACCTCGAAAAGACGTTCTCTGTGCCGTGCACTCTTCCATTCACCTGGTAATGGTTTTACACCATGTAGTTTGTTATATATTGCTGCATTCTATTTATCTTGCCAGCATCGTCTCATGAATTTCTTCACTGATGAGTGGTAGTCTGTATGAGGAATCTTTGAGAAATCAATTGATCTTTGGATGCAGGTGTGCGCCAAACGGTCAGCTTCTTCGTTCCCACGGATGCCAATGTGACTGGGAACCCAACAAAAAACTATCCTAAGTTGATATTTTAATGCAAGAATTATTTTGTTCTGAAGTGCTATAATAAGAGGGGTTTTTGAGACTTTTGAAGAGGTGAGTGATCTTAATGCACAGAGAGAGTCGCAGCAAACTACTGCGAAGGCAACTCTATTTTCAATAATATGTTCTGCTGCAAGAAGGAGAGCATACAGTTCAGCAGTCAGTATTGTTGCCGAGTTATTAGTCCTTCTAACCTCTTCGACAGAGGGTCCCACCAGTGAACAGTCGACATACAAGTCTGTCTTTGTGCCATCAGTGTAGAAGCTGTTGAAACAATAGTATTTAGTCTGTAGTTCAGAAAATTCTTGTTTGAGCACCTCACGTGATGTTTCCCTTTTATTAAATTTTGTCAGTGAGAGGTCACAGTCAATGAGGACGTGTTCCCAAGGGGCAATCTTGTTGAGATACTGGGCTACGCTGAGGTTTGTATCAAGGCTTATTGACTCTGCTATTGTCTTTTTTATTATTGAAAGTGGGGGAATGGTGTTTGGCTTGTCCTCGAACGTCTTTTCAAAGCGAGGCCGCTCATTAGCCTCCCTAGATGGATGTTCCGGAACCGAACAGATCCTCAACGAGTACATGAGGCTCAAAGTTGCCCTTCTTTTTTCCAAGGAAAATTCATTTGCTTCAACATAAAGACTATGAATAGGAGACGTATGGAAGGCTCCCGAGGCAAGCCGTATGCCTGTGTGGTGAACAGGATCCAACATTTTCAGAGCAGACACCCTTGTGAAACAAAGGAGAATGACAACTAATTTGCGTACACCGTTTGTCGTGCGATTGTTTGGCACCCATATCCCTTTTGCTCGATGTTAAGTGCTTGAAGATTGATTGGCCGGTACCACTAACAACGATTCCGAAGTAGCGGCCCCACGTCTGTCGCAACGTTGGTCCGTTGACGCCATCTCGTTGTGCGGCTCGTGGTAGTTTCCATAGGGAGAATGACGTGTACATGTGCTTCCTGTAATCCGTGAAACTTTTTTTTGTCTATGTATTTGCAGGGTTTTGGAGAAAACAAAAATGAGGTACATATTCCATTCTACTTTTAATATTGAATGTGCCTTAGAAGACCCACGACTCTGGATATATTTGGTACGCATAGTTTGAACACCACGTGATCATGGAAGAGAGTGAGTGCAACTGAAACCAACCAATTCTTGACTGGCCGTTTTCGGGCAGAAAGAAAATGAATTTTGAGCCACAAATTATGCTTTGGGTAGTTAGGCTCTGATAGGTCATGTTCAAATAAAAATCTCAGTAAGCATAGCCTGTCAGTGTCCCTTTAAAAAGCACAGTGGAAGCTTGGAGTCCTCGCATTTGTTGAAATACTGTCACAACCACGTCATTTCTCATTCAGTTTTTTAGTTGAGGATGAAAGCTAAGGAGGAAGAAGTTGAAAAATCGTTTCACGGCCCCATTAAGCCCCGTAAGTTTCTGCACTACTTCACTGCCTCGAGACGTGGCTTGGAGGGATTCCTCGGTTGCCAATTGAAGCAAATAAGGCTTCCTTGAGAAAAAAGCAGTCGATTTAGACTCCTGGTCTAAATCAATTGGTTTTTACAGCTCTCACAAATGTGTCATCTCACACCAACCACCAAATGGAAGTTGGTGTACCAAATTCCCAAACCAACTTGTATTTTGACTCCTCCATCCCCAAGACTACTTTGAACTGGAGCCACCTTTCTGCCACCATCCATATCATTCACCCACCCTTTTACCTACAAATCTTGTATGTACTCATCTGTAACAACCGCTCTCTATACATGTTTTACAGAAGTACACAGGGGGCATGCACAACCTATGAATGCTCTTCGGCTTTGTCGTCCACAGCCGTGAAGCACGTAGGGAGAGAAGGGCAAGTGACCCGTTCGGCCGAAAAGCCCCAAAACCTTAACCGTTGTTCGGCGCCTAGGTCTCAACTCTTTTTTGGGAAGGGCAACCAGCTAAGGTCAATAATGAACCTGTAACCCAAAAACTTCGAAATGTCTTTTTCTTTTTTTTTTTTGCATTTCTGTATTTTTTTAGAAAACATGTGTCCATAACATATAAAGTGACAAAAATGCACATTTTTACTCAGTTCCATGTCCCTTTCGAAAATGAATATTCAGTCATCATTCAGTGCCTTGTGTGTGTACATCTCTTCCACATGACCATCTGTTTTAGTGGCTTTATCTTTCTATATTTACGTGCCAAGTGGCCTTGCCTCGGTCCCCAATCAGCTGTTTATAATCTGGACTGCGGGTTTCTACATTAACGAGGCATGATTGCACGGGGACGGATTGGGCCCCGTAGTGTTGTCTGTATAGCAGGGTGCCAATATTAAAATAGACATGACTGTGTTCGAGCTGCAACACAATGGGTGGGCGCAAGCCCCAGCTGGTAGCCACAATGCCCGATTTCAGTCAAGTCAAAAGCATTCTCGACTGCCAATTGAACGTGGCATTAGAGCTTCCTGCTGTATGTCCGTAGCCAACCAACAAAACATTTCTGACCCGTTCGCGAGCCTGTGATTGAGAAGTATTCAGGTGAAAACTTCTCACGAACACACAAAAAGCAAGTCTCACCGCCTCTGACATACTTATCCCGAGCTTTTCTTTATCTACTGGTGAATTTCAGCTTCTGTATAGTGGCAGAAAAACTGAAGATTTGCAAAAAAAGCAAAAGTTGCAATTGCCACGAACGTAAATGGCAGACAATCGCAATTTCATCCTGCGTCAGACCTCACTTCACCGCAGCACTCGGTTAATAACAGACAGTCTGCTACTTTTGTCAATTCTTGGCAGATGACGCACAATGCTTTTTTTGTTTTATTTCCATTTGCGTACGACGCTTCGTAGGAGACAAACCCCATTCTTTGCTCCTCTTAGCAAACAAACCACTTGCAAACGATAACCGAGCTCGCTTTGTGAAAAACAAGTTAGATCCCGCCTACACGGTGACCAAAATTGAACTCCAGAGGTCAGATCTTGGTTCCTGGTGGAAGTAAGAGCTTCCTTGGCTACTAATTGAATGCGACCCCGAGCAGCACACAATATCCTATAGATGTCCTCAGGATGTCCTAACGTTCCATGAATGTCACGTGGGCATCCAAAGGATACTGGTGCCTCCTGGGACATTGCAACTTTTGGTTGGGCGAGCTTGACCAATGAAAAGTGTTTTATCAGTTGGCAAGTCCCCGACTGGGAAGTATTTGGGAGGGAACTTCTCACCAACAGACGGATGGCGCGAGAGGCCTTGCAGCTGCCCAAACGTTCCTCTAGCCACTTGTGGATTTCAACATGGGCACAGCAGCAAGAGAACCCAGGATTCGCGACGAAAGCATGGATTGTCGATTGTTTTCTTTTCGCGCGACTCGACTCGTAGCAGACAATGAGGCTTTTTCTTGGTTATGTTAGCAGATGATGCACGTTTCGTTTTATTTCCACCTGCGAATGAAACCCCGTAGCAGACAGACCCCATACTTGACTGCTCTACACGACTAGCCGTCTACCAACAATATCTTCGCTCGCTCAGCGAGAGCCAAATTAGATCTCGCTCTTGCATTGACCAAGATTAGACCCCTGGGTCATTCAAAACAAAAAGCGTAGCTCGAGGTTCGGAGATAAACACCAACAATGGACGTCTCGGCCATGGTGGTTTAGGCTCACATCCCCCATGGTTTTGTACCGTAATGTTAATAAAACACCCCGCGTTAGCGCTTGGACACACTTTGGCTGCCTGAGCGCAACCCTAACCACAGCAATACAAAGGCATAGAAAAATTACCAAAAGCCAATAATTGGCCGGAGTGCAATATGAAACTTAATTTTTACAAAGTTGTTGATGCTGCATTTATCATACTCAAATTTTGTAATGTGGGTTAAAGTAAAAAAAAAAATAAAAACAAGAACATGATTTTTATTACTGTACAAGGAGAAAAACGGGAAGAAACCGGCTGGTTCCATCATCCTTGAGACGCAACGTCAAAGATGCTTCTTTCTTTATTTTCTTTTTTTTGCCAGGAACTTACAATATGTAAAGAATCCTTTACAAAGAGGTTCAGATGCGCTCCGTTCATTAACTTGTTTATATATCCTCAGGGGCTCCGGAACCGGGGGGGCAGGGGGGGCGTCCGCCCCCCTCATGTTTTTTTCGTAGGGGTCATGCCCCCCCGACGCTGAAGGCTGACCCACAACCCTCCCTTAATGTAGTCAGAGCAACATGCTACAGCGCCTTCCAAGCTTGAAGCGGAATAAGAAAGGACAGCGACGTTTTGTCGGGACGAGAATTGGTAGTAAAGCTGATACCCCTGTTAAGTGCTGGAGTAAACGTTTCTTCTGAGCCAGCCTTGAGGCGCGCGTATTGGTCACATCTTAATCACCGGCAGCAGGACGGGGACAGCTTAGAAAAGGCACCTTTCTACCATTCCTTGTCATCGGAAAGGATGGCGGGGAGGAGGCCTCCCTCCAGCTCTGGATAAGCCTCCCCAGACGTAAAACCTCTTGCCGCGGGAAATTGGTCCCTGGCAGAGCGCTTCGACGAACAGCAGTCCGGAGCATATGTCCTTGGAGGGACTGCACACTCTCTTTGACGAGTTTTGCTTGGGATCGGCTCTTTCCAGCTCGGCCATGCCAATACCGTGCCAATTAAGCGCACTGGTCCCATAATGGCCGGAGAGGGTTCAGAGCTGGCCTAGCATGGGAGGCGCCCCTTGAAGTTTCTGCACGACGCCTAGACGCGAAAAGCATTTCTGTCATCCGTCAATCATTTTCGTACTTTTGTTCAGTGTGACAGAAGAGGCCACGGAAACGCTCTTGCGTGCTAGAGATTTTAAAGACCTCTTTGTGTTACTCAGAAGAGATTTCGGCTAAACAAAGGTCGCTTCCTCCATTTCGGTTTTTCCGCGCGTACGATCTTCAAAGTTTTGGGGGGGGGGGGGGGGGGGGGGGGGGGGGAGGGGGGAGGGGGGAGAGGAGGGATTTGCACTGCAAGGATGTGAGCCTTGACCCCCGCCCCCCCCGATCAGAATTGACTTCCGGAGCCCCTGTATATCCTTTTTAACGCCTTCTTAACCCGACAGATTGAGCGCTCTGCCACGCTCTTCCTTGGCATGCGGGCATGAACCCTCAAAGCCGGGGAATGACTCACACATGGCAATGATATTGGGAAATATGGAGTCAACGCGCAGGCAATGTTAGTGATACCCGACAGTACCGAAATAAACCGGAGGCTAAGGACGTGTTTTGCCACCTTTGCGCGTCCTTGGTCGGCGGAGACGACGAAGGCGGAGGGTAGAGATCTCGTTACCTGTGTCGTCTTGCGAGTCGGTGAGTGACAGCAAGACCAGCAGCAGGGCCGCCCCGAGGAACGAGCACCGGAGCAGCACGGTCATCTCCGGGCCTGACGCGCCTCCGAGCGCCTCGCTTCCCCAAGAATCGCGTCCGTTCTCATCGGGTGCCCGACAGAGTCGAGGCTAGCCACATGGCGACAACGCGCAGGACGTCCGAACCAAGCACGGCGCACGGCTGGCGCGGTACACGTACGACCGTAGGTTGTTGACGCGGGCTCACGTTCCGACAAACCTCCAGACAGAGAGCCCAGAGCCCACAAAACAAACATTAGTGAAATGTAAAGAGCCAGCAGCCCACTTGATTGTCAGCTCACCTAGCGGCTGGAAGGAAGTTTGTCTCGTCTTTTGCATTAAACCAGCGGCCTACCCTTTGTGACAGGCGGTAGCTTGCGCCACCTAGCCTAGTCTGAAAAGACAAATATATGATTCCTCCCGTTTTTCTCAGACCCTTATCACCAGGCAGTGTGGGATTTCACCAAAATGACCTTCGGGGGATCGGGGATAAAAAAAGAAAGTCAAAGCCGTTTACAACTCCCTGTAACGCTGAATTAGAGCGCAGCTCTTGAGGAGGAGTAGGGAAGGGTATTGAGGGGAGGAGGAGGAGGGGTGGTAGACCACCTGCTCCTTCTCCTTCTCCTCCTCCCCTGTGGGGGGGGGGGGGGGGGGGGGGGGGGGGCACCCTACCTCGGGGGGTTATGTTTATTGGCTATTTGGTCTCTGGTGTGTAAAAATTTAAATTGTTCTCATTAACGGCAAAGGTGAAGAAGTTTAAGATTTGAGGAAGAAATTTAGTACTCAGTTGTAAGTCAGCGCTGCGAGTCTGTTTCCTTCTTGTGTGCATGTGAGTGTGACTGTTCATCCGCGCTGTTCCATCCAAGCCTGATTTTCCCTTAATTCTTCCCTCCCACGTAGTGGCCGATTCAAGGGGGGGGGGGGGGGGGGGGGCGGCCACCCCCTCTCCCCCCAAACAAAGTCGACCCCCTTTCCTTCCCCCTTCTCGGAGGGCAATTTGACATGGGTGGACCCCCCTTGCACAAGAAAGAATGGGAGAATAGTATCCTTAAAAATCCCCCCCCTCCTAAAACGGAGTTCTGGATCCGCCCCTGCTCCCCACATTTTCCTTTTCTGCCTCTTTCACTCTCTTTTCCACTGAAGTAGTCTGCTCAGCCCCATCAGTGAGTAGGTATTTAAATGTAAGCTTTAGGGTTCGGTTAATTTGTCCATTTTGTGTTTAAACTTTTCATATATATATGTTTTACACCTTCCGTGCCCACCGCGTATCATCCACTTCGGTCAACCTTTGTTCAAATTTCAACTTACTAATTGCCTCCCTGCTCTCAAGAGACGACCATCCCATGTACCCCTGTACTCCCTCATTCCATGTGCTCCAAGTGCCAATCTGCCTATGCTTCTATGTCGAATTTCTAATCCTGATTGAACCATCTGATCACGAGTCATTCCAAAATTTACTCCATTCTAGGACAAATGTCCTACACCTTGGCGTTTGAAAACCTACTTGCGTCCAGTTGCTCCGTCTGTCTTGTCACGTGGCACGACCAGCCGGAGTAACTTGGATCTATTTGAGTAAGATTAGGAGACTATGGAAAACTGAAATTGGTAAAAGCAACTAGCACAAATGGAGACAGGGAGGACAACGAAAAATTGGGACTCCCTCCCACATGGCTCCGGCCTAAAGTCTCAACCCTGTCTTTCAATGGGTCTGGGTTTTGGAAAGAACCCCAACAAGGTTGACCAGAGGAAAATTGGCGACTTTCAATTGGCAGGGGAAGGAGGCGGGGGTATGTTTTCCTTTTTACAGCGGAGCTCTTAAGGGCTTGTTTCCCCAGTATCATATTCACGGACAAGCGGCGTGTAGACACAAAACTCCAGACAGCTATCGCCACCTATGAGCAACGGTGGTTGCTCATAGGTGTCTACTTGCTGCGTCGCTCATAGATGGGCGGCAACCTTTCCAGCCTTTTTACTCTAGTTTTCACCAGAGTGGAAAGGCTGAATTTCTCTAGGTGTCGTCCTAGAAATCATCATCGAGGACGACGTAGGGAGGCCCAAGTGAGGGTGGGTGCAACTGCTAGATCGGCGATCACGGGACATGGACGCCATTTAATTGCTAAATTTTGCTGGGAGTCTATGGCGCAAAGGGTCGTTTTCTTTCCTAACTCAGGTCATAAAGGCCCATTAAGGTGCTTGAATAATTTACACAGGGTATAAATGATAAATGATTACTTTTCCATAGCCACCGGCTTTGTTGCAATAGGTTAAGTATTTTTTTAATGTGAAAAATGGTAAATTCCGCCATCTTGGACGTTGCTGCTCGTCTGGCAACCCTGCTTTCTCCGCTCGACGTTTTCAATTCTTGGAGCGAGAAGGAAGCGAGAGGAGGAAAGGCGCATGGAGCAACAGAGTTGCAACAGAGCAGGCGCCTGCTCTCGTGCAGGCAACACTGGCGCATATCCTTTCTTGAATCCTCTCCCTCAGGCGCCGCCATTAAATTGCAAACGCTCTCCAGCCTCTCCAGGTTTTGAGTTGCGCCCACCCTCACTAGAGCCTCCCTAGGACGACGCCTAGAGGACGACGCCCTCTAGGCGTCATCCTTGAGGTTGTCATAGAAGTCGTCCTCAAGGTCGTCCTAGACAACGTCCTTGAGGTCGTCCTAGAAGTCGTCCTTGAGGTCGTCCTAGACGTCACCCTTTAGGCATCGTCTTTAGCTGCACAAGATGACAGCTTCGCTGGTCGTCCATCTACACGTAAAGTGAAAGGGCCCTACTTCTTTTTCTTGTTTGCATTTGCTTGATTTACCAAGTCAGCCTATAGGTAACTCCCTCGGTCCAATGATAGTTGCAGGAATGTAGAGGGAAATAAATTGGGCATTTAAGTGGGGAAGGAAAGCATTTTCTCAGGCTAGGTGGTGCAAGCTACTGCCCATTACAAAGGGCATGCAGCCAATATCATCCATCCATCCATTAGAACACAGCCCCAGAGGGACTCTCTGCCGACTGTGATCTGGCCAATCCCATCTGGCTGGCCCACCCACCTCTGGGCACAGTCATCTTGATGTCTTATGAACTCTAATGGGGCAACCAGAAAGGGGTACCATTTCCGCTGCAGGCCTTGGGTTGTGGTTTACCCAACGTTACTAAAACACTCAGTTGGGAAAATCGCCCTTGAAACCTGGACCGCTGGCAACCAACGAGACCTAGCTAAATCAGAGCTAAATACGATAACAGCACCACCCTTCAGCGACGGGTCAGAACATGAAATTTGCTTTATATAGCTACTGCGAGATGGCACCACCGGCCCTCCCGCGACTCGACCTAAACCAATACGTGCAACCATGCAGTTCCTGAAGTGGCCACTGCGGGAGAAATGGCGGCATTGCGATCGTGTTTAGTTTGGTTCTTAAGTATGGATCGGAGCCCCAACTAAGTATTCAAGAACATTTGGTTTACCGATCTAAGAAAGCAAGCTTGTTTTGTATGGTGCTTTGGTCTATATGGCGCTATGGTATAGTGTACTGCCATATGGTTGTATCGCAATTTTTTTTTTTTTTTATTTATTGTGTTTTACTGTTAGTCTTTTCAAAGCGGAAACGCCCTGAGCCTATTTCCCCCAAACATCTTCACTAGTGGTCCAAGTGGTTGCCTAATGGCAGAGCCATATATTGGGACAGTCTGGCCAGCAGGTGTGGCGACGAAGGCGTTGGAGAGGAGAAAAGTGACAGAAAGGGGGAGAGCGTCGAAGGAGCAAGAGAGGAAACAACTGCTATTTTGGCTCACCACGCTTGTGGCACAGAGCACTGTAGAGGCTATGCGTCATCTGCTAAGGGTCAATGTCTTTTTCACTTGAATAAAAGTTTGCGGTCAAACGTCGGGAAAACTTCATGCGTTAGCCGTTAAACGAGGAATAACACTATATAATTTTCTTGCCAGAGCCAGCGAAACGAATGGAAAGAAGAGAAATTTGAATGTCGATCCCATGCACTCCACCATGCGAATGATTGAAAATGGCGGCCCTCCCTGCACAACTGGAAGTTCACGCGCATGCGCTTCCGCCTCTCACTCTGCACCATGGGCCAACTGGCTCACCTGGGAGGGGGACATTACGGCTGCGAGATCATAAGTTGGCCAAACTCTCCCTAGTGGCTCCACACAGCACCGCTATACCTCGCGTCAGCATTGCTGCCAGTCAACGTTGCTGACAGCTGCCATGACCTTGACTGCCAATCATGTTGCCAGTGCTATGTGGTATGGTGCCTGGAACGCGTCTCCGATTGGTGTGTTTGCCGCGTCCAAAAAAGAGGTCCCTCGATTTCCGCCTGGTGACGGCACTTCTATGACGTACGTCATAGTCATGACACTTCTATGACGTATGTCATAGAAGTGTCATGCTGTCGCTGGTCATGCTGTCTCTGGTTGTGATCTTTGCGGTGTCCCAGCAGCAGCGGTGAACATTGCAGGCACCTGTTCTGCCGCGAGTCGCTTTCCAGTGTGGCAGTCCACGGTGTCCCCAATGCTCCGGCAGCCAGAACATACCATTTGCTAAATTTCCCAGTGCTCCAGTCTGCACTCGAGGAATCATGGGAACTGTGTTCCTACAGTTTCCTGGTGATCAGTAATTTTGACAAATTCAATGCTTAATGGCTTTTGACTGTAATCCGTAGTTATCCAGAATAAGCATTGTGTAGAATCAAAAGACATGTCATATCAACTTTAAAATTTCTTGTTAATGTCGGCGTTTTTGACACTGCGCATGCCATCTACCCTTCGACCTGGCTGAGCTGCAGAAATCTCTTACATTGTTATCATCCTCGTACAGCTTCAAGGACAGATATTAACTTGAATAAGCCAAAAATTATATGAACAGCCCCGTTGACTTCGAGCTAAATCCTGGCAATGGTTGTTGTGAATTCTGAGCTTTTTAAGCAGTTCCTGCTAAAACAAGATAATATATTGTAAGAGATGTCTGCAACTTGACAAGGTTGAAGAGTGGATTGCAATCCCAGTGTGAAAACTGACGACATCAACAAGAAATTTTGAAAGTGATAAGACAGGTCTATGCAGTCTAGACAACGCTTCTTCAGGACGACTCTGGATTACACTGCAAAGTGTGTAACCATAGAATTGGTCAAAATTACTGATCACCAGGGAACTGAAGGAACACCATTTCTCAATTGCGGGCCGGGCAATTGTGGGATTTAGCAAATGGTCTATTAGAAAGCCACGATGACAGCGAGACTCGCATTTGTTTGTGTTTTTCGCCGGCATGTTTACGACCAACCACCAGGATTGCGACATTCGACAGCATGACACTCCAGCTTTTCTGACGTCATTTATTGCCACTTTCGGGATAGGACAATAAACACCCCAGTTGGAGACCCCCTCTAACCCGCTCTAGGCACCATACCTGGTCCCACCAGCATGTTTGTGGTAGTGTTCTGTCCCGCGCTCGCCCGAAAAAAAATGCATCAGTAGGGAGGGTGCCTTCTCTGACCAAGGAACAAGATGTGCTTTACAACGATGCAGATGCTGAAGGTTCATCTGCGTACGACTTGTGAACAGTACTATGGACATAGCATCAACAAAAAGGAATACATTATTACTAAAATATTCCAACCAAACGTATTACATGTGCCTAGTATACAAACTGCAAGAAAAAATGCGCATAGTGTATACAAAATAAAAAAAGTGGTGCGATTTGTTAACTAAATTTAAAGGTTTCGAATAGCACAGTCCCGTGGTGCAAGATTCATCATGTTACCTCTGAAAGGATCAAGCCAAACTTTGGTGCAGGCCCTCCTGCAGACTCCCAGAGCTTCCACCGCCCCACAAAACTCTACCGTTGACGGGCATCATAAACATCCTCCTGCATCCTGGGCTAAGCAGTCTCCTCCGTGGTTACCATCAATAGCTGCAGGTACACAAGCCACATCTGTTTATGGAAGGGTCAATCAGCCTTGCCACGTCTAAAGCAGCATCGTCAATTCCCCCCAGCGCAGTTCAGAAGGCAGGGAGGCTCACCTCCAGACTACACAGACGACTGCAATGCGGGTAGCCACCTGTGAAGCCCCAGAGGCAACAGCCAAACTCCGACCAGACACAGCCGTCATTTTTAGGGCTTCCTGCAGCGTCCTTTGCTGCTCGTCCGAAAGACCACAGGCACGAGAGGCCACCCACACAGCCGAGGCAGGATAACGTCCGTCCTTCGAAGTATTTCTTCGCATTGTGGTATCAAAGACGACAAGGTGTCTTTTTGCTGAGGCTCGTCGTCGGAAAGGCCCGTGCTTTTTCGTCCAAAAATTCAGCGAGGCCAGGTAACCCTTGCGTCTCGTTGCAAGGGATTGCTGTGGGTCATTCAAGATCACCCGGAGGAACTCCTTTGAGGTTTGCAAGCACGTTTCAGTCGCAAGACCTCACGAGCAGCTACAATACCTGCGAGATTCCGGAAGATCCTCCTGCACTCGGGCCACGCCCAAAAAGGAACAGTGCCTGAACCACGCTTGGCGGCAGTGATTTACACGCACGCCCCTAACAGACCCTAAGGCCTTCCTATGCAGAGTACACGAGCTTGTAGTACACGGAAGGAGAAAGAAAGACACATAAAATGAAGGGACCACACACGTCTCCATTCTCCCTTCCTTTAATGCGTCTTTCTTTTTCCTTTCCCGTCTCGGTTTAAGTTTGGGTGGGCACGTTGGTGGAGTCCCACGTTACCGAGAATAAACACGGAAGACGACACATCTTTGGACTCCTAACACGTAAAGAATTCATTTGAAGTGAAAAATGTTTTTCTGGAGAGGAGAGGAAAGGGTGAAGAAGGGGGAGAAGAACAAGGGAGGGAGGGCATCCTGCTTACTCTCTTCCTTCCACCCTCCCCTTTGTTATTCCCTACCCCCAATCCTACAATTATGCCCAGGAGGAGGAGGAGGAGGACGCTGCACCAAACTCACCCATGGTGTTCAGCCAAAGCGTCTTCGAAACGGCGACCTCGCAACCCGGACCCGACATGGACCTCTTCCACGGAGGAGTCCGAGCCGACCACTTCCCCGACATACCTCCGGAATGTGCAGAGTTACCGCTATTGCGGGGGTGTCGACGCCGCAGCACTTTCACGACAACACCCCGACAAGCTTTGTGGGGGACTTTGCGACACATTGTCCTTTTTTCGTTCGTCACCACATCCACGTACATTGCGCCACACTTTTAGCATGAACAAGTGATTACCGATTTTCACTTTTCTCTTAGAATAAAAAAATTGCCATCAAAGCTATTGATGTGAAGTTAAGTGCTTGTTTAGAGGAATAACCTAGGCAATACAATATGGTGCCCGCTGATATCATTTAGAAGAAAAATGCGCAATAGTTTCAATGTCGTCTGTATCCCAGCAGTGCCACACAGCGTGCATGGAGCACTTCCAGTCTGCCCCTCTTCAACTCTGTCCTCGTGAAATGCATTGTCCCCTGACCCTTTTGGTGGACGGTTTGAAACCCCTTGCCCTTCAGCCACCGTTCCCTGTTGACTTCGCTCTGCTCGTGCGGGTATGTGCCTCTCGGTGGGAGGACGGCATTTCCGCAGAGGCACTGCGCAACAACAGCACCTACTTGCCGATCCCACCGCACAAACTGCACGGACCCCATAGTATGGGCCATGGGGCTTCTAGGCAAATCTTTAAATAAAATATTGAACAGACAACAGGGTCAGGCTACCATTTGGGGAGCGTGAAAAGAAGCTCCACGAAGTGAAACAAACCACAAAAATTTTAATGTAAAAAGCTGAAAGTTTCCTCTAAGGTGTGCATCTTTGTTCACTTGCCATACTAAGACTTCAAACATCAACTTCCGCCGTGTTTAAAAAAAAAAAGGCAGCGTTTTTCGTGCCTGGACACAATTAAAAAAATTGAGACAGCTGCCAAGGCATTACTGGAACTCATTCGAATGGGCACTCGATGGAGACTTGGTCGTGTTTATTTTTCTGTCCCTCAAAAAGTATGTACAAGTGCAAAAGGGACACCCGCAGATGCCTTATTCTGCCAGCTCCAGGCGCTTGAACTTGTCATGGTCGTAGAAGGATGCTTTGACCACCCGCCCGCCGAAGTAGCGCCCATTGATGTCCACCACGGCTAAGGGAAGACGCCACACAGGTATGTCAGAAACTGCCTCAAGCGTTCGAAAAAGTGATATACCTCGGTGACCACCCCCCCTTCTATATTAGAGTAGTCTTTGTAATTTTGCGCATGCCACAAAGCTCGCTAAGAGCTGCCAAAATTCAACACTATCGTCAATTAAAAAAAAAAGAAAAATTCAAACTATGTTCAGTAGTTGATTGATTTTTCAGACTCCGATATTTCGGACACGTCCGATTATTCGGATGTTTTTGCCAAACCGTGACTCACCCCATAGAGTTAATGCATAATATTGACCGAAATTTCAGATGCCATAAAGCTTATTGTTCGATACCTTGCACATAATTTACATGATTTCCTCAGTTTACAGCCACGAAACAGCTGCCGCGAGCTTAGTCGCCGCCATCTTGGTTGTTTTGGTTTTGTCCTGTAGCCTCGATATCACGTTGCACGCAATAAACAAGCTGGGTTGAGGCTTTAGTCGGGTTATCGGTTCTGCTATAGCCGACAGGGCTGCCGTTTGCCCATTCTTATGGTTCTTCCAGTTATTCTCGTGGTACATGTTTTCCGAGTGCAACTGCGAGTGCGACCGCGGGGTTTGCCGTTCTTGTGGTCTTTGAGCACGAAGGCTTTTGCCGATAAGCTTAGTATTGAAGCAAGCTTGGTGGACTCCAAAAAGTGCCAAATGCACTAATTGGAGTCCACCAAGCTCGCTCCAAATAGTGGCAAGTGGCGCCAACTTCACCTTCGTTGTTTGTGCCAACGAAGGCGCCAACAAAGTGCAGTACCGTAATCAAACAGATCAACAAACAAGTAAAAAGTGAACAATATAAAGCGAAAGTTGCACGACAACTTAAAATTTACATCAATATGTGTCAATCTTTCGGGAAAAAAAGTGTTTGTTAAGCGAGTAAACACGGTATAGTCATCGACAAGGTGAGCACGGCGTCTCTCTCCAACGTCCGGCCTCCAGCAAGCACTCGTCACCGAGGCGTCTCGCTCGAGGGTCACCCGACGCCAAGTTGTTCGTGAAGATGCCCTGAAACTCCTCCCTGCCGTTCTCGTCCTGCCCGCGACTATGAACTGAAGGTTTTGCGGTATCTGCAAGATCAAATCAACGCACTATACGCGAGAAATGGTAGTTCCTAAAGACGTCAGATGGGTTTCGAGCCCACGGCAAAGGAATGACGCCAGAAAGAGTCGTAAAAATACGCGCGCGGGTCGGAAGTGTCTCGAGGCTACCCAACCAGACGGCACCGGCACGTTAAAAGCGGTCACGGGGTAATGCAACGCGCGTGAGCACGCATCGACGCAAATGTTCGAACGATCCTTCGCACGTGGCTGCCGTTTCGTAAATTTGAGCTGCCCGTCGGTGCAGTACCGTCCCGACCACCCTCGCTGCGAGCGAAGGGGTGGGCACTCACCTTTGATGGCCGACTCGAGCCGCTTGAACTCGATAAAGATGCGCACGGCCTCGTCGTCGCTCACCCCGGGGATCTCGAAGATGAGGCAGCGAACTACCTCGCCGTACTTGGAGCACTCCTCCTTCGTCTCGGGTTCCAGATCCTCGTCCACCTCCCCGGGGCCCACCATGTTCTGTGGGGGCAAAGAGGACACCCCCCGTGCATTTGCAGGAGGTATTGGGAAGACAGGTCACCGTCTTCTGTCGTTATCTCTTCCTGCCAGCGTGATGGCCTTTCGTTTAAAAAACCTCCTAGTTGAATTTCTTGTTTTTCTATCGGTGTGACAGCGGCGGTGCTGGATGTACAATGCGCACTGCACGTAATGAAATTACTTGTAATCGATTACTTTTTGGAGTCATTTTGTAATCATTGTGGCAGACGCACGTTCCGCTGCGGGTCGCTTTCCGGAAGCTTCAACAGCCTGGAGTTGGGACGCCGCAACGGAGACACTTGCATTCTGTCGCCACCCAACTGCCAGAATGGCAATATCAGACAGCATGACACTCCTGCTTTTGTGACGTCATTGTTTGGGATCAGCTTCGATGCATAGGTGAAATGGGACACTAAACACACTGGTTGGAGACACCTTCCAGGCACTGTACCGTTGCAAAGCAGCCAAAATGCATGCAAAGATGGTGGACCTTCAGGTCATTAGGGAAAATCTGTCGGAGCTGCGAGCCGAGGCAGAGCAAGAGCTCACCTTCAGGAGCACCACCTTGGAGGGGTTGCGCATCATGTCCGTGATGGACTCGGCCGTCTGCTGCTGGCTCGGCTGAGGGGACAGGGACGCCGGCTCGGCTGGGAACGAGAGGAGAGAGCTTCATCGGACGCACTTTGGTCTCCCTCAGTACGTCCTGTGCTGCCGTCGACGGAGTATGCAACCTCATTCGAGCAGCAACCTCGCTCAGTACGCAAGAGGATGAGAGCATATTGCAACGTGGAAAAGCATGTTTTAATGGAATGAAAATGAGCTTACGAACCTACAAATAGGGTTCATTATGTTTAAGCACATACTACAAGCTCTGCAGCAAACATACTTTTATTGTAAAAGGATGTGCCAAGAATTTTGTCTTCCGTTTCACTGTGCATATTTAACTTATCACTACAACCAGAAATTTTTCCCGATTATAATAATGCTGTTTCTATTCATCAGTCAAGCAACCCTCGCATTGGACAATTGCAATTTATTTGTAATGAATAAAGCCACTATATAAATACTCTACTAGCTTTAGGTGTATGGTGGAGCTTTTTAAACCACCATTTGTAGCCACAAAAAAATGCTTTTCAATTTAGAGATGACGCTAGCAACCTGTAAGAAATGACCAAGCAAGGATTATATGTCCTGCCATAATTTTGGTTCGAGAAAAGGATATTTTAAATTGTTGCAAAATAATCAGTTGGGGGAGTTGGTACTGATTAAACATCGTAAAAGTTGCCTACAAAAAGACAGGGACAGGGGAGAGAAACAGATAGATTTTAAATCTCGTTGCATAGACAACTTTAAATCTCAGTGAATAGATGGTGTTCTATGGGAGGGGTTCTCAAACTGGGTTCCCAAGAACCTGAAGGTTCCCTTGGGAAGCTTCGGGTTCTTAGGAACCCTGTAACCCATTGGGAAAGAACCCATTGGGGAATACCTTTATGGGCTCCCCGATTTCCCCCAACTGCCCCTTCTCCAAAGTCAAGTATTTTTGCAGTTTCAGCACTATTTTAGCAGATATGAGCCGCCCACTGATGCCCGCTACCGTATATCCAGAGCGATGAAAAGAAAGATAACCCGTCCCCTATTTTTGGCACGATTGCTATTCTTTCAAAAACACCAAAGATTGCCCATCTTCCAGTACAATGGAATCTTGTTAAGGGGGGACGCGAACTTTGAAAACCGGAAAATCGCGAAAAAGTCGATTTTTAGAAAACCTTATTTTTAGGTTGTATATCTCATAAACTACCTTCTCTGTAATTATCAGCACCAAATACAACGGGGAAATATTTAAAAACAATTATTTACGAGGCCTGAATAGCATCCAAGTGACGGTCAAACGTCAAAATCAACCCCAACTTCGCGCGCTCGCCATTTTCGACGCGTCGGGCCGACGGCCGCCATCTTAGTCTTGTTTTGAACGTGAATTCTTTCTCTTTTTTTGCCAGCTCCCAAAATGGCGTCGGCCGCGTGGTTACGGCGTGGTCGCCGTTCTTCCATGTCGCAATCGCAAGAACGCGATTGGACAGAGCGCGTGCTCGAGGAGTGTGCGGGGGAGCGCGCGACTGCTATTGGCTGGGACGCGATTTCTCAGCGCACGGAGCGCTCTCCTCCTCCGTTTCTCTTGCTGTTGCCGCTTGCGTCGTCTGCTTTTGGTAGTGGTCTGCTTGCACGCGCTCTTGCTTTGTCAGCTCCACTTCGTTTTTCGCCATCTTTACGATCGTTTTCCGAACTTTCTTTGAGTAGTTTCGTGTAGCGTGCCCGTCTGTTTCGTGGTCGCACACGATGCGGGGTTCGAAGTACAAGACGGTGCACGCGTTTGGCGCGCGGAAGCGGTCCATGAAGTTAGTGCAGATGGCGAAGTTGGAAGTTTCTGCACGGCGCGCCGTCAATGATGATCGCGTCAACACTTCCAGTGATGGATTTTCTGTGCCATCGGCTGTCGTCGAGGAAGAACGCATCGCCCCGCTCACGCCTGGAGTACCGAGCATGCCGACCGTTGTGGTTCCTCCCGAGATCGCGGGTCCCAGCGCCCGTCTTCCGCCTGCCGCGACAAGTAGGAGCGCGTCTTCTAGCACCCATCTGCGGACGCATTTCCTGACACGTGAGGAGATCGAAGCAGAAGCTAGACATTGTGATATTGCTCAAGCCGAACTTGGAGCTATGCCAGCAAACTGCACTGCATGAAGCGGGTCCATATCACAAGAGCGAATGACATTTTAGCGAACGGCGACATTTGAGCGAACGGTCGTTTTAGCGAATAACGGGGGCGCGCGTTAACCCATCCGTCGCGCTGCGCTTTACGCCACTTCGCGGCGACAGTCTGCGGCAACTCATTAGAAAAATATGAACTCACTTGGCCCACCCGAAAACGCCGCTTCGTGGCGTCCGACTATTCGCTAAAGTGTCGTTCGATGAAACGTGGGCGTTCGCTAAAACGTCATTCGATCAAGTGAGTGCCTCCCGCATAAAGCGGTGTTGAGGTTCAACGCCGGCTGCTACAAGGCAACTGCAGAAATATCGGTTGCAATGGGACTTCAGCCGACCCATTTAGCCCTCCAAAGAGCTGCCGAGAAAGATGCCCTACGTCTGCATAAGGCCAGCAAACGACATCAAGAGAATTTGGAAAGGCGGAACAAGAAGAAAGTGCGCAAGAACACTTCTGACTATTCTGCAGGGTCATTCTAAAGCTTAAAATCTGCGTGCAACTTTCACGTGCTGTTTTCTCAGAATGGATTTTTTCACTGTCGTGGCTGCTCGTCCCAGCGATATCTCAGGAACTGATGAATGGATTTTTGTGCTGTCTTTTTTATTCTGTTCTCTAATAACTTTGTGAGGGCATAACAGAACCCTTTTTTAGAAAACTGTACTAAAAATTTATAATAAAAAAATGAAATTTGGTGAATGTGGGTTTCATTGACTACACAAAATTCAAAGTTGCGTTAAAATTTTTTCGACAAAGAAATAAAAAAAAAAAAAAAGGGCTCTGTTATGCCCTGGGGAATGTATCCAGGGGTCGTCATAACAAATTTTACGCCGCTACTACCTTTTTCAAATTCTCCAGACCTGGGATAAGGAATGCATATGGACGATTTTGATAAATATTTGTAACTTGAGAAATAATATGCACAGCTCCATGAAACTTTTCAGTTACTCTTATGTCTGTGCTATAAACACATTCTGTAAATTTCGTTCAGATATCTCTAGAAATAAGAAATTTCATATTTATTCCCCACCTCCTCCCTTAAAGGGGCAGTGCAATGATTTTCAGACTTTGGCCAATTAAGCGCAGAAATTAATCTGCGTCACGTATAAAAACGAAGAACAGAAAACTGTATTTTCTTACGAGCGCTAGTATTTAAAAAAAATGAAACAAATCGAAGGTCAATGTGCCTCTCAAATCTCCACGTCAACTTTCGAGTGATGTACTCTGGGGGATCACGTGGTTCCCCCTTGGGTCCTCTCTTGAGAGACCCCAGCCGCTTCCTCCGCCATTGTCGACTTTTAAAGGATTAGCATCGTCGAAGGTCGCGGCGAGCGATCAACACAAGGGGCGGTTCTCCTCGGGGCTGACGGTGAGTGTAGCAGCGGAAGGGAAAAATTTTGTTGACTTCCACATATCCCCCAAAAAACGCTGCCATTTTAGTTCCCGTAACCGCCACAAGCGGGTGCAGATCGGCAAATAATTTGTTTTTTGCTTTGCGATTACGCAGCAGAGTAGCAGTTTTTCAAAGAAAGGTGACGGGTTTTTGGTCACTTCGGCTTACATAAACAATATAAACAATGCAAACTGTCAATTCTTTCAACATTAAAATCGTTGCACTACCACTTTAATTCCAACTCGCAGATAATTCAAACTAACATGCAGGTCCCGTCCTGTGCTTTTCTGGGAAGGAGACTGCCAGTAATTCAAAACCTGCATCATTCAGACAAAGATCTGGTCCCCTTTGGGTTCAAAGTAAAAAGGTTCCACTGTAATTGCAGGGCCCTGGCAATGGTGACCTCGGCAGAAATGGAGTTACTTAGACACGATAGGATATAAGCGAACATTGCTGACTGAGTAGGACAGTTGTCGGAAGTTTTGCAGGTCGCAAAATCTGAAACTAGCATTTTTCCAACCTTTTTTTATCACACACCGAAAGTTAGCCCACTGCTTATGTTTACTAATTTTGTTTTCAATTTTAGGTAGGCTATCTCTCGGGATGTTATGCCATGTGCCAAACACTCCCCAGTTTGTACACTGTTGTTTGCAAGGTCTGTAAGCTTATGCATAGCTTTACTACGTTGGAGGTGTACCTCGGCCGCCATTGGAGGCAGATGGGGATCCTCGAGATTGAAAAATTTGGGAAATCGTTGTATGAAATGGTACGACGGAGGGATGCCCTGTCCTGCGTCCTCCTTTCGTGTCGATGCATTTTTTTGCAGAAGCAAAGGCCAGTTGTAATACATGCACCCACCCTGCTTGGGGATGTCCTTCTCGTGGATGATCTTCCCTCCCCGCTTGCTGGTCTTCTCAACCAGCAGGGCCTGGCTCATGCCCTGCTCCAGCTTGCCCAGCCCCTGGCCGGCCTTGTAGCCGTACCGGGCCATGATGCGCTGGGCCACAGAGCCGGACCTACGTGGGATGCTGGATTACCTCGTGCCTGCTCCCACGCCTCACCAGAGAGCGTTCTCTGCTCGAGGAGCCAAGTTCGTCTGGCGCCAAAGAGCAGACTCGCGGTTTTCCGTGTGCCTCTGACAGACAGAGAGAAAAGCCTAGTTTTACGCCAATCGCTTCTTTGGTTTTTGTTCGCCCCGTCTTTTTAGGTCAGACATACTTAATGCAGCATTTAAAAACAAACGCCGGCCCCAGGGAAACCATCCGAGCTACTTTCTGCAGGCCGGATATCCATCCAATAAACAAAAAGGTGACGTGTCGTCCATTAGCCAAAATGTGTGCTCGTTCGTCCCGAGACACAAGCAAGATGTCAACAAAAAACGGGTGGTGGTCATACCACCAACGAAAATTGTTAAAACAAATTCCTTGAAATGCATAAATGTCTTTTGTGAAGCGTGTACAGTGTATGTCAGTTTTTGCTTTTCTTTTGTAAGCATGCTTACATTATGTTGCAGATACTCCTTTCCCTCGCGTGAAGTGCTTGTTTCGGAGTACCTTAGAGGAAACTAAAGGAAAACATACGATGCAGGGACACTCACCCGAGTCCCGGGTGGCGCGACCCAGTGTCGTCCCGGCCCGGGCTGCCGGTCTCTTCCACCAGGGATGGGGGAGGGGCAATGGCCGCCCCCGAGGCACCCCCTGCACGCAGTTCGGGGCAGAAATGTGGAAAAGATGCTTCGACATTTTTCCACGCGCTTCGGTCGCCTAGGAACAGCGGGGCGTGCAAATGTCGGCGGACCCAGTCGGCCCGGCCCGCCGGCCAGCTTTTGATAAACACAAAGAAGTGGCAGAACGTTGCTCACAAGGTCGGTACTCTCCTTTTCGGCTTCATTTCGTAAAATACAACAACTGCGTCGTGCATGCTGTAAAGAAAAACCAAACTGCCGAACTCGAATGCATGGCAGCAGAATGAATGTGCCTCCTTTTTCTGGTCCTTCAGTAGCTCTCTTTCTCGTCCTTTATCTTGGAACCAGCAATGTCGGCACCCACAAACTGCACCCCTGCCGTGCATGGCCGTTGGGACGGTCGGCACGATCTGGACGAAGGACGGGGCACGCGGTAGTGCCTCAAACGAGTCTTCGGGCAACCCATACTGCCCATGTGTCCAGACGCCCATGCGTCCAGAGAGACACGCCGCAGATCGGCCGTCCGTAGAGCAAGCTAGGGCAGAACGGACATCTGCCGTGACCGCTTTCTGTGCCGCACCACAGCCAGAATAGCGGTGGGCGCCGAAACGAGCCGGATGCGGTGTCACAAGGCATTAATCGAAAGACCGAGAATGAAGAGGCAACAGACGCACCCCTCCAAGACTTGTTTCAGGCACCTGAAACTCACGCTTTTAAGCGGCGCATAAACCGATGCAACTTAAGCTTTCGAAAGGGTGGCGTCCCGCGGGAAGTTGCTCCCACTCGAGGCACATTCCATACTTGCCCACTAAACCTCCCTTTTCAATATCTTGCCTCGCCGAAACTTACAGGGCGTGTTTTCATTGTTTACTTTTTTAGAAAAATTCGGAGGGCATTTTTTGGGGTTTATTTCTTGAGAGAAATTCGTGGTTTATCAAAGTTTATCCTGGCTATATCAATTCTCCGAAATTCATAGTTTAATTTTGCTGTGTTCCCAATTTTCCACAATTCAAAACAAAAATAATTAATATCCGGACACGAACATGCCCTAAATTTATAAGAACTCGACTGTATCGAATGATATTTCTTCAGTTGGGATTACTATTGGCGCCCTTGACATTGGCAATATTCACTGTCCCATGCCAAAACTAGCAAACGAGTGTTGCCTGAGTAAAGCTTGAGACCTTAAAATCACAAAACCCCTGGACATAATTACAGCGAAGTATAAAAGCTTCAGTCGCCCCCTCCTCCTCCTATTTGCCCTTTTTTGTTTGGCCACAAATTCAGTGGCGCCATCTATCGGGTAGCCCTGGCACACTTCCGGTTCACGCATGATTTCTAGCGTTTTATGCATCATTCTTTTACCGTAAGAGGAAATTAGATATGGCGGTGCTAAAAGCAGCCATTTCCCGAAGACAGTGCATAGATTCAATCTTGCAAATACTGCAAAACCTATCGTCTACTTCAGAACTGGGAGTGTTTGAGGGCTATTTGCACACCGACGCCACCACGTTTCAACTGAAGCAAGAAAGAAAGAGTAGAATCTACGGGCTATGCCACTCCATAATTTCAGGAGTCGCCCGTCTCCCTGGTTTCGTGTTCACGGAGTGATTTGGGAGAGCGAATTCACCTCTCAGCCTCCGTTTGGCCCTCTGACCAATGGATGGATGAATCCGGCTGAGCCCTTTGGATCGTCGCGGTAGCTTACGCCACCTAGCCATTCTGTTTTACCATTTAAGCTTAGAATATTTAAATGTGAAAACTATATTCACTCCGCACTGAAAAGAAAGTGAGGCTATAAAACCCCTTGCCACCAATAAAGGGCCCTTCGGCACCCTCTGGCAGGGGCTGGGAGTAACTTCTTGCCAATCGGTTATAAAACACGGCGCACCAGTGGGTGTGGTCTTGTCCCGCTCCCCTGGACATCAGCATAGGACTTGGGCAAGTGCAAGCGTTGCGCAGGCATGAAGTTTATGATCCCAGTTGGAAACCAGAACATTGAATTTTGTTGCCACTAAGAAATAAAATGGACCATTGTCTGGAACAAACCTTAACAAGATGAATGGTAAACCCCCTTTAGTTAATAGTTGGTGATTTGAAAGGAAACTGAAAAGGCCTCTCTGCAGGAGCACTGACCTTGAGCTCTGACTAAAAAACTTCATTTAAAATCACATCTTTTTCTTATTTTTTTCAGTGTCCTAAAGACCCCAAAATTCAGTTTTTATTATTAAATTCTAAATTGACGAAAATATTTTCAGCAAATGTTTTTTGGATATACACAAACCTTTCAAAGCAAAAGAAACACCAAAAATGACCGCCGAGATATGCACCAAACAATCGGCTTACCGACTCTAACGCACCTAGAGAAGTCTCACTAGATATTGAAGCCACAAGATGCTTTCATTTTTAGGTTTACAACATGCCCACATACGCCATAACATTTTCAAAAAGGCCCGCCGGGACGAAAGCACCAAACATGGGGGTTAACCTCGAGCATTCCTCACTACGGTTGATCGCCACCGGCTCAATAGCTGAAGCACAGCACCGAAGTGAACACGTTTTCATCGCTCTAACCTAACTCACAATTAGAAAAGACGAACATTACCGTAATGCTGAACGATACAAACAGAAATAACGCATTCTTTAGCTTTTTCTCGCCAATTGGCCTCTTCATCGGGAGAGCATAATTGCGAAAGGTTCGTGCAACATATTATAAGAAAGCTCGCACGCGTGTCGATTAAAATAATGCTCCTCGGCCCGACGTTGTTAGTTTGCTCCGCGAGTCATGACCGTCGTTATCACCTCTTTCGGGGGGCCTCTGCAAAGGCGCAACCGCATTCCTGTGGAAACGACGAGCCAGAAAAACCATCGGCCGCGCAAAGGTCGCAGCCCGGGCAACTCACCCCTCTGTGGCCGGGGTGGGGAGTCCTCTTCCGGCTCGGCCGGCCGGGGCCGCTCCTTGTCCTGGCCGCGCTCTCCCTTCTCCCGCCGCTTCCTGGGGGAGGGACACGTGCCCGCAGTTATAGTTGCCGACGAGGCGGGAGGGAGGAGCTTCGGTTGTGCCGCTTCCGGCTCGAGCTTCCTACCTCTAACGTCGGCGTCTCATGCACCTCTAATGCATGTGCACGGCCGAGGCATGGTGGAAGGCACAGCGCACGCACCAAAGACACGCCGTTCTCATTCTTTCAGTGCGCATGCAGAAAGCAAGTCGTCTGCTTTTTGTGTTGAGGAGTTGCGGTGGCGTCAGAACGATGCCGGGCTCCGATTGGCTTCGACTGAAGGATACTGGGTGGACGTTAAAGCAAGCTGCCTTGAGGTCTACCCACTATCCTTCGATTAGAGCCCAACAGAGCCTGGCATTCCAACGTCACCACAACCCCTGCAAAACAAGCAAACGAACTGGCGTTCCGCACAGGGTGCAGCATTGTCCAGTATTGTAGACGACCTTATATCCGTGGGATCAATGTTTTGCTAATTTTGCGAAGTGTGGGTTTCAAGAATAATTAGCGAGCACAAATTTTCACGACTGGGAGCGCATAGCTCCCAATTGTGGAATTTTCTGGAACTGCACATTCTTTATCGCGCGGTGATACAGTAAAACCTCGTTATAACAAAACGGGATATAACAAACTAATGGATATAACAAAGCAATCATAATTCCCCTTGCTTGCTAATAGTGGGAAAAAATGAACATTGGCTATAACAAACTAATGGTTATAACGAAATAATTATGACCACTCCTTCAACTTTGTTATAACGAGGTTTTACTGTACATCCACACAATAGATTTTTTTGTATACATTTCGAGTCCCGCAACTTAGGTTTTCACGAAAATTAAGTCGTTTACACTGCTGGAGACAGTGGTAAACCAGGAGAGTGGGGAGAAAAAAACTCCCTTTCTCTAACTGTTTACTTTTCTTTTTTTTTTTTTTTGTGAAGGTATCCCAAATCTATTCGGCGGAGTTAACAAACTATAAAAGAAAACACAAAACCAAAAAAAAGATTTTCAGAACTTTTCCCATTGGGCTTGCCGTCAAAGCAAAATGTTTCGGTTGACCATTGTTACATCTAATGCAAAAAGAATTTAAGTACACTGCGTCGTCACCGCGAGTAGAAGGCATATATATGTCTGTGTTTTTCCGAAATAAAAAGTTCAGGCAATAGTAGTGCTTTGTTTGTTTCGCCTTTCTTGTCCCGTCCCTGGCACTTTTATTTTCGCAGAATGCACCAACTCGCCCACCTTTACACTTTATCACATTTCAAAGTTGGTTTTAACCAAAACTTTGGGCTAGTTTAAAGTAGTACGGCATAGCTAAATGGCACCGAGTAAGCAAAGATGCAATATTTTCGCGCATGCTGTCGGAGGACGACTAAAGACGGGGATAAACCGGGTTCAGGTTTGCTCCCGAACGTTTTAGAGTCTAAACAGCTTTCGGAGAGATTTGTCTGTGTTCTCGAAGTTATTCAAAATCTGGTATCTGGGGGGCGTGTCTCCAACTGGCACGTTTACCATGCTCCAAGAAGTGGTCTCCAAATTTATGCCGGATAACGTCATATAATGTCATGCTGTCGCCAGCTGTGATCCCGGAGGTGTCGTAGCCGTAGTGGTGCATGCGGAAGACGCCTGTCCTGCTACAAGTCACTCTCAGCACGACAGTTCATGGAACCGTCGGCAACCAGAAGTTGGGACGCCACAACGACAGCGACAATCGCATTTGTTCGTGCTTTTTGCCGGAACTTCTGGCACCGACGACCGGGACCGCGACGTCCGACAGCGTGGCACTCCGGCCTCTGAGACGTCATTTGTGGCCGCTCGAGGACCACTTTTGACGCGCGGACGGGATGGGTTGCCAGACACACTGATCGAAGGTGCGTTCCGGACACCTTAGTCGAAAGACGCGTGCCCAAATGGCGCGAGGCAACGGGGAGGCTGACCGCACCTGTCCTCGTGGCGCCTGTCCTCCTTCTCCCGGCGCTCCTTGCGCTCCTTCATCAGCTTCTCGTAGTCGTTGGGCCACAGGGGGTCGTACTCCAGTCGCACGTCCCACTCGCCGCCCAGCAGCGAGCTCTTGCCCTCCTGCACACAAGCCACTCTTCAAGCTCAAAAAGATTCCCACCGTGAGAATCCACCGGTATGTTTCTATGACGTTCAATAGAAAAGTAATAAGGCCGATATTTTTATTCCGAATCGGGCAACTACGAGTTCCGATCACTCTTTCTTTTCGAAGTAGATTCCTTGCCATTCATATATCCAACTAGAGTGTTCCAACGACAGTTTAAAGAAACGTAAAATGATGTTTTACGACATCACTTTTAGCGTTGCAGCCGCGACTTTGCTCACTTCGTCGTACCGAGAAAACTTCCTTCTGTGCACTTATTTTTTCTTGTTTCGGTGTCAAAAATGTTTAAAATTTGCACGGCGATTCATCCAAGCTGTATGAAGAGTGTTACAGTGCAGTAAACACTCTTAAAAGGTTAACGCAAAGCTAAACCACACACCTCCGCTACACGCTCATAAGCACGTCTTTGTCATCCGCCACAATGACATGCAAGAGGTTCGTTTGCTCGCCGCGACAAAATGCTAAAGATTACGACGGTCCAAGTGCAGGTTCGGACATGTGGATGTATCACCTTCACCAACGGTCGGCAGAACACTGCCCGTCTTTCTCCTTGCTAAAAAAACGGCGACGAAAGCAGCGTCATTACTTCTCAATCGACCCTCGTACATTCCACCCCTCGCTATACTTCATTTCCCCTCGCGACGGACCGCGACAGTCACCACGAGACATCTCGGCCAATCCGGCGCTGCCAACGTATTACGTGATCACGCCCCCCGCTCGTCGCTGCTCTCCAACCGAAGGTCACGTAATGCTCGTGCAGCACTAAAACGGCTTTGACAGATCGCAACATCCTCTGCAGTTTGCCATAAAAAGAAGTGGAGTATAGGCCATGCTCCTATAAACTTGGACAGCTCATCCATGTAAGGGCACTGCATAGCTTTCAACCAAGTTCTTAAAATTTGACACTTTATAACTTAAAGGCGTCGATGGCATATAAACTGCTACCGCAAACTACTGGGGGAGCGTCCCGTCCCCCCCCCCCCCCCCCCAATTTCACTGAAAACTGGATTAATCTAGACGTGGGCGCTGACCCGGTCAAGTGGGGTGCTTAACGTATACTTTGCAGAATTCCCAAGTTTAGAACACATTAATAACCGGCGCTTAAATGAAGTAAGCGCTTCTGCTGTATTATAGGGTATGTGTTGAAACAAACTACAGGAAACAAACAACAATTCTTCGAGTTAGCCAACCGGTGATTGCCATAAACCACGGCACAGCGCCTAATGACCTTACAACTGCTTTTAAAATATAGGGTGTCCCAAGTCACCAGGCTCGATCTAAAATGGACCGTAAAAATCGACACCTGCACATAGTAATCTAAACTTTTCGGCAAAGGTGTATTTCACAGGTCGGTTTTTTCTTTTAAAATTATAAAACCTAGCTCCCTTTCTGTAAAAAATAGGACCAAAAAACTTGCCAGGGTCAACGGCGGGTAGCGACGCAGACGACTAAGTCGAGTTGCGGGACGCGTTTGACGCTCGTATTGATAGATGGCGTCGGGAGCAGCATCGGAAGGTGGAGCCAACCAGCGAAAGAAAGCAGACGACACGCAGACCAAATTTGTCGGCATCAAGAATGCTGTTGCGTAACCGCATTTTCCTTCTTTTTTTTTTTTAACTTCAAGTTTTGCTTATATTGTCCGCATTTATTTTTGAGCCAAAGGTACATTACAAAAATATTATGTTCATTTTAATTTACCACGGTGGTTGCAAGCAGTCTCGATAAGGAGGTAGCATCATCTATCAATACTAATGCCAAACGCGCCCCTCAACATGACTTGGTCGTCTGCGTCGCCTCCCGCCGTTGACCCTGGCAAGTTTCTTGGCCCAATTTTAACAGAAAGAGAGCTACGCTTTGCAATTTTACATGAAAAACCCGACCTGCGAAATACATCTTTGATGTAAAGTTTAGATTGCTGCGTGCAGGCATCGATTTTTACGGTCCATTTTACATCCAGCCTGGTGACCACCCTATATAAAAAAAAATTAGGCAGAGATTATGCGTACATTTGAAATAAATTTTTCCCCATATTGCTCTAGATTTTTTGTTAAATTATAGGGACAGTATTTTTTGGTGATATACATACATAAAATTTTTATTGAATTTCACTCTTGTTGACAAACTATGGTGCGTGGTTTTATATACACAAACATTTTTGCAGATGTTTATATTTTATCAATTTTGAAATGGGAAACTAATAATTTATGCATTTTTGCACTGTTTGTTTTACAACTACTCTGTTGTGAAAGGCAGACATTGTTGGTTTTGCATGTTTTCCAGCATCAGAATTTGCATGCACATATTATTATTTTTTATGTTTTTACTGCTCTAGCGGTTCTTCTGATAGTGCTGTGTTATTGTCAGTGATGGAAGCGGCATTTGACCTTTCGTAGCAGGTTCTGTAGCAGGCCAAATATTGATTTGGAGCAGCCTCCAATGCTTTCGGAGCAGATGCCAACATCCGTTAGCACATCACTTAAAGGGCAACTCCGACCAAAACTCAATATGAAATAAATTATTACTGGTATCGCTGCAGTGACACAAAATACGACCCCAGCCAAAATATTACATCCGTGGGACGCCCCACTCTCAACTAAAGGCCGATAATAAAAATGTGACCCGCCACGAGCTGCTGCTCCTTAGCGGGCGGCCAGCGGGTTACCGATCGCTAAAGCAACATTGGGCCGTGATGTCAGTATCGTTCTCTTTTTTTTTTTCCCTCCGGTCCAGGCGTTGCGCGAAGTGCGCTTCTTTGAGTTGCTACACCGCTGCTTCGGGTTGAGATTGGCGTGTTTAGGCGCCGATTTTATTTGTAGCCCGTGTAGCTTCGGTATAGCCTTTTGTTTATTTGCTTGTGAGAACTCCAAAACTCGTTTTAACGACCAACTCGGTGCGCCCGAGAGTGCCCAGTTGTTCCCCGAAAGATGCCGAGTGCAACTTGTAGCGCTGTGGGCTGCTCAAACAACCCGCTTCGCAACCCGGAGGTGCTTTTTCACAAGTTTCCAACGGACCGGAAATTGAAGAAGGTGTGGGTGAACAATGTTCGACGAGTGGACTGTGGACTTCCGCTTTTACGCGCCCGAGGAGAAAAGAACGAAAAAACAGACGTGTACAGCCCAAGACACGTGTGTTTGGGCGCCGTGACCCGCGCCGGAGAGCCAAAAAGCTTTGTGTCTGGGACCATAGGCGTACAGTCCCCCGCCCCGGGCCGGGGCCATGATCCTTATTGTGACGCTGTTTACGTGCCATGTAACGAGCTTCTATAGTAGTGGCATGTAAACAAAATAACGCCCACGTTGCCTTTATTGACAAGATACATGGGAAATGGAATCCCAGCGTGCTTTCGCTAGCTTCAATGCCCAGGAGAACTTCTCAGCCTGCACCCCTCTCTACAGGAAAATGGAAAGTCTACGCCGCTGTCTGGGACTGACCCGCAGCGCGAAAGCGAGAGGGCCCCCAGAACTGTACATCACTGGCAGCGCGGCGTAGAGCAACGCCGCTCAATCCACGGAGCCCCAATGAAAATTTAGGCCTAGCGACGAGTACGGAAGACCGCACACATGGCGACAGCCGTCGAGTACGGCACCGAACGAGTTCACCCGTTTTCCAGTACACAAGCGACGAGTACGGCATAGCGCACGCACGGCGGCGGCCGCCGAGTACAGAATCGTACGAGTTCACGGGTTTTCCAGTCGCTAGCTTTTGGGTATGCGCACCAACTCTTGCTACATATGCTGGATACTACCACGTATACAGAACTAAAACAAAATCAGCTTACCTCCTATTATTAGACGGCTAGCGCAACAGAGATAGTCTCCATGGATAGGTGCCGCTCGGCCTGCGTATTCGTTGAACGAGAACGATCTTGACGTCACGTTCACATAGCGGCTGATTTCCAGTGTTGCCAGGGCCTCGAGCAACTAGTTTCGGTTTTGTTGGCCGCGTCCCAAACAAAACTTTGAGGCGTCGATATCTCTAAAACTACGCACAATAATGAGAAAAAAATTACACCTTGCAATTCAGGGACGCTGACTGCACTAAAAACAGTCATAATCTCAAAATCAAAAGTATGGACCGGAGTTGCCCTTTAAAATGAAAAAGTGATTGCATATCTGAACAAGTACATCTATGATAATGACTAAGGGTTCCTCTTGGATATTGGACCATACTACTTATTACCTTTTGTGATAAGAATAATTAGGGTACACACACTTTTGTGATCAAAATACATAGGGCCTTCTTTTTAGAAATAAGGTCAGAGCACCGTAAAATACCGAGGGTGCACCTAAGCACAGTAAGCGCTCATCCTCTACTTTTGAAACATTTCAAAACTCATCAAGGGACATCACACACCCACTCCCTTATTGCGAGCCAGTTCAGAAATTTGCAAAAAAGACCTCAAGCGCCCAGTCGCCGTGGGCGGCCATCATCTCCCGACCGACAGGTGGCATGAGAATAAACGGGTGAAGCAGCCAGGCAGGAGAAGGGGGGCAAGGGGTGCAGAGTCGAAAGAAGGTAGATAGTGATATAGCTGGGCTGCTCTTTCGTTCCAACTCGAAAAAGTCATTCGAAGCCTTTAATGACAATGACTAGACAATGTCTAACTGACCACTCTTTATTTTTCGTAAGAAACTGTTTACCGCATAGGGGGCTTTTTCTTCAGCAAAAATAATGCCGCCATTCTGTTTTTCGTGTTCGCGCAAACGACTATCTAGGAAAATGACGACCATCGTTAGTTTAGTGGTGGGACCAATCAAGGGCCCACCCGACTGTGCGCATTTTCTGCACTTTTTGTCCTCGGACTAAGCAAGCGCCCATCCCCGTTTTTAACAACCATCTTCCAATTCAGGGTGGGCGCTTCCTCGGTATTTTACAACAGGTGCCATTTACAATGGTTGAAAAGTAATCATGGCGCAACACTTAAGTTGAAATAAAGCTCTTTCCCTTCCCCATTTTACTCGGTGGTTTATTTAGCCCATAAATATAATCTACCAACTCTAATATTATAAACTGCACAAACAACTACCCACAAATAATATGAAAGCCTACACTTGCACTCTAACGGTGACACTGCTCTTTAGCGGCGTTAAAACCAGGGTTAACTAAAAATTTGCTGCTCTTTTGATCGACAACTGTGACTACCATATTTATTCAAATATAAACTCATGACCGTGGAACCACATTTTTGGACACAGTAAACACACCGGTTGGAGATGCGTTTGAGGCACCGTACCGACGCAAAGGGTTAACAGACGAGCAAGCCAGCATGTGGCGGGCAGGGCTACCCACCCTGGCCTGGGCAAAAATGGCTGGGGGTGGCGGCATCTCGTCCGGCTCCTCCCTCCGGGACTTGAGGTCCATGACGGGGGCCATGATGGCGCCTCCCTTGCGGGCCTGGTCCCGCTGCAACATCCCACCCACTCTCACAAAGGAAACCCTCTTCTACGAAACTATGGCGTAGCCAGAAATCCTTTTTGAGGCTGCAGACCCTTAGGCTTCGGGTCGATCTTGTTTCGTCGAAACATATTTCACCGACATTCTGATATTTCGCGGAAATTTTGTTTATGGACACATGCTCTTAAGACGTTTACTCAACAACATATATTTTTACTAAATAAATTGGGTTGGATTGCAGGCTTCCTTTTGTTCGCCGGAACTATGGCGGTGCCAGCCAGATGGCTCCGATGCAACAAAAACAAATTTGTGAGTCCCAATTCTAGGCCTTTATGCAGACTGTGCTACATGCGGTCACCCCTTGCTTTGATCCGTTCCACCCTGTGAAAATGAAATGTAGTCTGAGGCCGAAGCTTCCACCGAGCCTCACTTAAATCTGTTCAGTGTTCGGCAAGCTGGGCAATGTGCCGAGGCGATGTGCCTCGGTACGAAACACTGCAAGGCGCGTCGACAAAACAAAATGTAAGTAAGATGTCACAGTGTCGATGAAACAATCTGTTAATGAAACATGGTTCTACAAGTGACTGCCACAGTTTAACCCCCTTCAGCAATGCCACCGATAGAAACAGTACTTTTTACTTTCCCAGGGACTCAATTCTTGTGCCCGCCTTCGTGAAATAATATTTCTTCAGAAACCAAAACTTCCATTGCAAACAAGATCAGCACAATGCCACCTATGTGGTGAAGGGCAGGAGCCAGCCCTGTACACCTCCAGAAAACCGTACAAAGCTGGAAGCTAATGCTCCCGGTGTGCTCGGTTGGCATCTTTCGAGTGGCTGCCACCACGCCTACAAAACTGGGGTTAACACCTTGCCCCAGGAAACATCCCGGCCCACGGTGGAAGGGGGCTGATGGGGCTGGTGGCAGAAAATGGAGCTGGTGGGGGAGGTAGAGAAGTGCCAAGACTACCCTGGAAGTGCCATCTTGTAACCAAGTCCACCTGCTTCCCTTTTACCTTGAAAGTCTCCTGTTCCTTTTTCACTATCTTGTAAGGCTTCTTTTTTCCATTAACTATGACTTCTTGCAGTAATCGCGTTGTCTTTTCGGAGAATTAGTGACATTTATAAATAATAAATAAATCACACTACGATAGATTAAAAAAAAAACTGGCAAATAACGGACTGGCAGCCTGCAAGCTAAGCAAAGCGGGCTGGAGGTAACCCTATCCAGAACCCTGCAGGTGCCTGAATTGTCCTTCACACTCCGGTCACCCACAAGCTAAGACTGCGGTAAAGCCTACGAGCACTTTGGACCGGTCATACATCAATCTATCGCCACGTGAGCACGGTCTCAACCACATCCCGTGCGGAGAGCTGGGTCAGGAGATGAAAGGGAGGTAGTTGGTTGATCCGGCGAGAATGTAGCTCTTACCACAATCTGAGCTTAGGGCTGAACAGAGTATAGCTGTTTTGGCGACGAGGGCTGACATGTCCTGCTCTGAAAGGAGTGTGTGTCAGCACATCCCGAGGGGCTGAACGTGGAGTGGTCGTAAGCAGAGAGTCCACATCGCCCGTTACAATTGCTCACGCTCAACTCCCCTCAATGTTTTACCGGTGGCAATCAGTTCATCGAACGACGTTTCACTGATAGATAATGTTTCATCAACAGATTGTTTTGTCGACAGCTCAGATTACCTTTTTTCTGTAATAAGCTGTATGAGACTGTCGCCGCCAAGCGGCGTGTATGGGTCGGTCAGGCGAGTTAATATTTTTTAAATAAGCCGACGCAGACTGTCGCCGCGAAGCGGCGTGAACGCTGGCGGGGGGTTGGTTAACGCGCACCCCAGTGATACACGCGTGACGAAATGTCGGTACAGCGTGCAATTCGTGTAATGAGTGTTGATGAAACGATCGTGTCGGACGAAACGTGTGTTCATGAAAAGTTGTCTACGAAACGTAATTGCACGAAACGAGTTGCGACGAAATTACGGGGACCCGTGTTTTACGGAGTCTGAAAAGGCGAAGCTACGTGGGCAAGCTCGTTAGGAAACTTCATAAGTTAACACGGAGAAATAAAATAATGACGAGACTTTGTGTCGTCCAGTCCGTTTTGTTTTTCCCTGTCTTAGGGTCTAGGACTCTAAATTATGACGGTCTTGGAGGGGACACGTCAGCGCGACCTGAAGCGCGTCCCGCGCAGCGTCGAGGCGTCGCGCACCGAGGAGAAAGCCGTACCCTGGGCTGCGTGAGAGCGGCCTTCTTGAGCTGCAGCTGCGACTGGAGCAGCTTGATGCCTGATGACCAGCCCGCTGCGGGGAGAAACGCCGGGTCAGGCACGGGGCCTCTCCCGCGGTGTGCGCGAAGCACTCACTCAGGTCGGGCTTCTGGTCTCGGGGACCCCGCTCCTTGGAGTCCAAACCGACGCCGTCGTACAGGGACATCATGGCACCCTGCCCACTGGACGGACGACACGGAGCGATCACTGGGCCACTGGGCTCACTCGACAAACCGCACGCACAACCCAAACAACCAGAGAGAGAGAGAGAGAGAGAAGGAGTTTGGAAAGGAAGAGATAGTCCTGTAGACTCACTCAAATGGGAGTCATGCTAACTATCTTTGGGGGGAGGGGGAATGGGAGTGAAAGATGAGCAGAAAGGAGTGAATAGATAGAGGTCGGGAAGCGGTCCAAGGGACTTGGGAGGGGGAGCCCGCGGAGCGCCGCCCAAACAACCACGATTTACCGATTTACCACTTGCCTCAGTCAATGGCTTCCACAAATGGATTGGATTGGATTCGTTGGCGTCTTGTGTCCTTCGTGGCCAGCGTCCGGTGTATGTCCGGTGTGCTACCGATGTCCGTGCCTTTGTTACGGATGGCCGCAACAGCCGTAATCTCGCAAAAAAGACGAGAGCCAGACAAACAAGGACAAACTGTATAAACTGCAGAGACCGGCCGAGTCTGCAGTTGCAAGGCTGACTTTACGGAGTGCATCACAGTTGTCATAGTATCGTTCTGCCTGGTCGTCCCAAGCCCAGCCAAGACTAGCCGAGTTATAGAGCTCAAAACTTTCGATCTGTCTCGGTTGGTTTCGGTGGTTACGTTGGTTACGGTATGAACAAGATCAAAAATCTTTCCGCTGGCTTTTCTCGTATTAATGTCTCCCGTTTAAGCAGTTGTTCCATCTCGGCGTCCCCTAGTCCGCTGTGAGCATTGACGTTTCGTTATTTCGACGCGGGTCTGGATGGTCTGACCGGTGGTTCGGCGCGATGTGGTACGGGCAGCGTCGAGCGGCAGTGGATCGATAGGTCGCTTCTTTGGCGATCGGCGGGCGTCGTCTGAGCGGCAGGATGCGCGGTGACGAGAGCGTGCAGCGGACCGTGCGACACTGCACGCTGGACGTGCACCCGAGCGAGCCGGCCCTGGTGGTCCGTTACGAGCTGGACGCGGCCGTGCAGGACCCGCTGGGGGACCCGCTGCTCGAGCAGAGCCGCGAGTGCCGCCGCACCGTCCGCCTCAGGGGCCTCGACGACGCCACGGACCTGGCCTCGCTGGCGAGGGAGGTCGTGGCCAGGTGCGACCTCCTCGACGACTCCAAGACGGCGCAGGTGGAGCAACTGCTGGCCTACCTGCGGCGGCGCGGCGGCTCCGGAGAGCCCCGGCGACCGCCTTCCTCCGGCAGGACACCCTCGGGGGAGACGGCGAGCATGGCCCGCCTGGAGGCCTACGTGGAGATGCTGTACGAGGGCGCCGAGGACAAGGTGCGCGCCTCCGGGCTGCTGCTGCAGCTGGCACGGCGGCCCGAGAACCTGGCGGCCCTGTCGGCCAACGACGCCCTGCTGTGCGCCCTGGCGCGCGTGCTTCGCGAGGACGGCCGCCGCAACACGCCGCTGGCCACCAACCTGGCCTACGTGTTCTTCTGCTTCTCGGCCTTCTCGCAATTCCACCCGCTGCTGGCCGAACACAAGCTGGGCTCACTATGCATGGACCTGGTCGAGCACGAGCTGCGCCGGCACGCTCATTGGAGGCACGAGCTGCAGGCAGCAAGGTAGGCAGACCTCTCGAGACGCGTCCGTCGCCACCGTGGCAATGCGTCCTTGTTCCCCCTGTTTTCCCCCGACGACGTCGCACTTGTGTCGTGCCTTTCCCTGTTGGGATGCTGACGGTGGTAAGGTGGCTGAGCCGTACACAACAGACGACCGTTTGGCTGTGGCTTGCTCTGCCGCTAAACGGTCGACAAGAACTAAAGCCGACATGATAAGGGACGGCACGACGATGGCACCCCTTGTGTATGCTTGCCTGTTTCGGCAGCATTTCTTCGACTGAGCACCAGAATTGTGATATGCAACGACTTGACACGCCAGCGCCTGTGTCATAACTTGCATGTCACTTGGAGACCTCTTTGGATACACGGGCGAGACGGCAAGCTCTTTGTCCGGCAACACGTTCCAAGGCACTGTAAAGTCGCCAGTAGTTTGTCCGATGTGTACAGGGTGGCTTCTGCATCCCTGGCAGGGACTTGAAACTGCTGCCTTCAAAGGGAACGTTGGAATCCTGCTCAAAGCCTCCATGTATGTGTTTCTAAAACATTCTGACAAGGAAGATTCGCGAGGTGGAAGCGAGTCTATACATGCTTTGCACTTGACGTCTTCCCGTCAGCTCTCCGCCAACACCTCCTAAATAACAAAGCCGTGGCGGTGATAGAATGTCGTCGTCAGCGAAGGCCAACGCTGGTCACAGATTGGACTTTATGATTGCATCAGCGTTCGGCTCAAACTTGACTCGAAGCCGGGCGCTGACGTTTTGCATCACCGGCAAGAGCGTTCGCCCTTGCCGGTGATGCAAAACTGTCAGCACTACGGCTTTGTCTTCTAGGCGGCGTTCTGCTCGAGAGTGAGAGTGAAGTTCCTCCTTTCCGTCGTCTCTGGTGGTGGCCAGAGACGAGGGAAAGGAGGAACTTCACTCTCACTGAGACTCTCTTTTGCGTGTTCCAGACCTGCCCAGATGTCTTCATTCTCCCTCTACGAGATTATAGAAGATTAACCCGTCCCCCAAAATACGCGCAAAAGCAGCATTTCCCTCTTTCTCTTCCGTTGTGGTGTGAAATGGTTGATGTGACGTCAGTGCAAAGGCATGCATAGCCTGTTGCAACGTAAGAAATGCCGGAGAGTAAGAAACTATCGGTCATTTAGAGTCGAGAGCATTGGGAGATGGGCTTTTCCTACGTTCCTTACATTGCAGCAGACTAAGTAACGGGCTTTAGTTGAGCTTGTTGGTGCATAATACTATAATAGGGCCAGCTGAACTTAAGGAAAAGGAATTTCCTTTCTTTAAGTTAGCTGGCCCAATTATAGTATTTTGCAACAGACTATTGGGAGATATGTGCAGTTCAGAGTTTGAGCTTGATATCGATGGTGCCTCTATACACTATGGCCTGGGGCAGCTACCTAGGTGTTCGCTCTAAGCAGTAAGAGAATGCAAAAAAAAATACCTGGAGGCCACAAACAGCTTGCAACGTAATGTGCCACGAGCGATACCTGGTTTGCTGTGGCGTCATTGCACCTTGTTGGAAGTGGTAATTCCTACTTGTTCTTGTCGAGAAAACTAAATTCACCGGTGCAAAGCAGATGCTGCAGAAGGTACGTGTTCAGCAGCAAAAACCACCACAATGACAGTAGTTGCATCGTTGGTGCGAGCCACGTATAGTACCACGAATGCGCCCTCAGATGCAACGATGAGATATGGTTTTCGGTCTGTTGTCTATACTCTGCAAGCGCACGGTCGTTCTTGAATTGCCATAACTTCTGAGTCCGGTGGATGGTGTTTTGGCCCGGAAAGGTTTTGGTAGTCAGTTGGCACAAAACCTTCCTTCAACGACAAGTTTACGAGTGCAATGCTCGTAAAAAAAGGGGGCATTCTCTCTGCCACATTGTTTGCAGGGCGGAGGGCGAGGCGGGGCCGCAGGACCGGGACTGGCGCAAGTACCAAGGGCTGGCACGGCGCCAAGAGCAGCTCTTGCGCGTCTGTCTGTTCCTGCTACTCAACGTGGCGGAGGAGCCGCGCAGCGAGATCAAGATGGTCAACCGTGGCCTTGTGCCCATGCTGGTGGACTGCCTGGAGCGGGAGCAGACGGACCTGCTGCTCCTGGCCCTCTGTTTCCTCAAGAAGCTTTCCGTGTACTCGGAGAATGTGGCCGAGATGGGGCGCCTGCCCACCGTGGTGCGCCTGGCACCCCTGCTGGGCCGGGAGCCGCTGGCGCCCACGACGGTGCGGCTGCTGCTCAACCTCTCCTTCGACGCGGAGCTGCGGGCAGCCGTGCTGCGGGAGGGCCTGCTGCCCCGGCTGGTGCAGCGGCTGCACCGGGCGGGCGGGGACGCGGGGCCGGCGCTGGGCGTGCTCTACCACCTGAGCCTGGACGACCGGGGCAAGTCGCACTTTGCCTACACGGACTGCGTGCCCTGGCTGGTGCGGGCCCTGCTGGCGGAGGGCGGGCCGCGCTCGGAGGCCCTGGCCCTGGCAGTGAGCCTGGCGGCCAACCGGCGCTGTGCCCAGCTCTTCTGCGAGGGCCTCGGGGCGCTGGTCGACCGGGCACTGGAAGGAGGGGATGCCCAGCTGGTGCGGCTGTTGCGCACTGTGTCCCAGCATGAGGGCCCCACGCGCAGGTGGGCAGTGCCGGTGTGACTGGATTTGACAGTGTGTGAAGCTGCTTGGCCACATGGTTTGTGGGATGCGTTTGCGACAGATGCTGCGAGGCAAAATCTTGCGTCAAATGCAAGCTTCTTGGAGTGCGGCACATCGCACACCTCAACGTCTATCGTGCTGAGAGAAAAAAAAAAAAGGGGAGACAGCGACGTTTTGCTATCGCCATGACGCGCCAAAGTTGGTTAATTGCTCGTTCATTTCAGTCTTGCTTTGTTTTTGGTACAAATAAAATAACGCAGAGAGTACAAGGACAAGCTTGGTCTTGTCTGTCTTGTCATATTTGCTTGTCCAGGTCCCATTTGCGCTATTTTATTAATGATTGGGGTTGTGTGGATCTTTATACGGCGTGTAGTTGGTCAGCCATTTCAAAGTTGCAACGAGCCAGGTGCTGTAGATGAGCAATTTAGACAGTGCAGTTCAACCGCTAGCCTGGGGTCTTTAACATTCATCACACAGTAGTGATACACATTCTCACGCCGGTACAATGCTCATCCAGATCGAAACAGGCAGGGTTGGGGATTGAACCCAGGATCCCTGGGTTCTGCAGCACAAACTTTCACTTCACATGCTCCGAGCTGGTGTGTAGTAGGTCACTCGGCCACCGATCCCCCATTTTGTTTTATTTGTACCAAACATTGTGTCAACTACACCAGCTTTAGCAGAGTCTGTCATTTTACATTGCATGACATTTGTGTTTAAGCTAAAAGAGACGAAGTACTGGCCTTGGAAGTGACTATTGGCCTCTTCCTCGCACTCATTAAAGCCTTGCCAGCAGTCCCGGTCCATTGAGGTGAGGCAGCCAAAAGGGGTGGAAAGGTGGCGGACCTAGAGCCACGAAATAAGCTAAGCTCCGTAGTACCGCCACTTTGGCTATCTCGGTGCTTAAAATTATGGTTGCCAGTAATGTGATGCATTATCTGAGATCGCGGCAGACAGTTTTCCCTTTTCCAGAAATATTACAAGTGTCCGCGACGAGTCTCTCAATCTTCTTTGCACTGTATCTAAAGCTCAGGAAGTTGCACTTCCAATTGCAAGGATTGCATTTTGCGCCCGGTTTGCACTTAGCTCCAAAATGGCAGTCCTCAGAAAAAAAATGTAGAGCCCATCCACTTCCCGTGAAGATGGAGGACTAACGAAGCTGTTATCTTTACGATAACTTTGCGACATCTATACGATTTACATATGATTGCAATGAGGACATGTTCACAACTTCGCTGTTTAATTGTCTTTATTTAATCCTTAGTGACTAAAGTGATCATTGCCTTATGGTCACTTATGGGGTAGTCCCAAACCCAGTTTTCGGAGGCACACCTCGAGGACAGCATTTTCTGATTGAGCCCAAGTCTCTTTATCAGCGTTGCAGAAGCGAAGGAAAAGAAGGTTAGATCGGCGCGTTCTGCCCTCAGCCTCGTCACAGTGCACCCTTAGCTGAGATAGGTCGGTAACCGTAAATGATAGCAGGGGATCTTTCTATCTAATCATTCCAAGGAAGGCTGACTCACGCGGGTTGCCCCCTCTTTTTATTGACACTTTCCATGACCAATCAGAACGAAGGAGCGCCGCACCGTTGAAACGGGAGTTTTTTTTGTTAACATCCATGGACACATTTTTTTTCAGATACTAGCACATAACAGCTTTGCTGTAAAAATTGTGGACTGGAGCGTGGCTTATTTGGTGGCTCCGGGCAGACCCGTTCCTCTTCAATTTCACGCGGTCCCTCCGGCGGTCTACTGCAGGGCCTTCGCTCCCCACCTGGACGCCCTGGTGCGTGCCCTCGTGCACCCTGGGGCCCCCTGGGACCTGGTGCTGGAGTGCGCGGGCACGCTTGCCAACCTGGAGCTGTCCGGGGCGCCCCTGGAGCGGCACGGGGTGCTGCCCTGGCTGGGGCGACGACTGGGGGACCCCCAGTGCCCGCCCCGGGCCTCGCTGGCGCTGGTGGCACTGCTGGGCTCGGTGGCCAGGGCTGAGGAGGCCTGCGCCCTGGGGGCCCTCAGGGAGGGCCTGGTGGCACCCCTGGTGGCGCTGCTCAGGGCCCGCCAGGAGGACGACGACCTCGTGCTTGAGGTGGGACCATCCGCTCGTTAGTCTACCCAGAGGCTGGGCATTACGTTGCGGGGAGGGACGAAATGTCGTACAACAGAACAAAAAAAAAAAAAAAAAAAGGAGAAAAACATAAAACACATGCTTTCGGTGCAGGTGCGACACTCATACCGCAAGAAGAACTAAGAAGAATTGTGCAAACAAAAACGCACAATCACTTTAGGTGATACAGGAGTTTAAAACCCATTCAAGCTGCAACACATTCAGAGCCGCAACGAAGGGCAGGTTATCACTCGTGGAGGCATAGCTTAAAGGGACCACAAAGGCAATTCCAAGATTTTTTTAAAAGAAGGTGTTTCGGACGTGTTTGGGATCCTAGCGTGCCATACAATTTTTTTTAGAGCACTGCAATTCTTATTGTTGTGCCTGAAAAATTAATTTTTTAAACCGAAACAAACATTCAGACGTGACGTCGAGGTGCATTGTCGGTAAAATTCGGTGGACGTTCAATGCAGTTCCTGCAGTTGAATCTAGTGCACGGCAGTCTGTGAACTGGAAAAATCAATGGCGACGCCGTGTTCGCACACGAGTTGCTCCCGTTTGACGACCTCATGCCCGTGGAACGGATGATGCGTCTCGGGACGCAAAACTCTGGATTGGCGCTTTACGAGGATGCCCCAGACTAGCCAATAAATCCTCGGTCGCCGCCTCAGAGCGGGCAACCCTTCCAACTTTCCGCCCGGCTTGCGGCCGCTACCGCAATGCCAAGAGCACGTCATTTGGTTGAACCAATCGCCTGATGAGGAGCCCGTTGTCGTCATGCTTCGGCGTCACGCAGCTCTTTAGTTCACGTTTCTGCCGCCATCTTGGGAGGGTCTCTGGCACCGTTCCCGGCACAATTATTACCATACCTGTTTCATTGATTGGTGTGGCACCCAAACGTCTGTTCAGACTAGAACTTGCTCAACAGAGTCTGAGGCGAGACGTGCCGGATGCCCCATTTCAGTCATCAAATATAACTTCCAATTTGCCTTCACAGTCCCTTTAAAGTGAGGGGGGTCTTGGACCTCCTGCCGACTTCGAAGGGTGGTCCGGGAGTCCCCCGCCATAGATCTGGCGTTGGTGAAAGCACATTCGCAAGTACTCCATTCTATGATCAGAAATAAATGCTATAATTTTCCCCATTCAAGTTTTGTTCAGTAGCAATCTCAAGAGAGAAAAAACACTATGTTCCGAGTAGCCACGTCGATTTTGTGTGGTACAAAATGGCGGATGTTCCAAGGGCACTATTAAATCTTGACGAGAAAAATAATCGGAATCCATGTTGTTGACCAGTTCTTTTTCCTGAGAAACATGCCGGGGTACGTTTTAATCAAGTCGGTGTTGCGTGCATCTAAAATGATCCCCCTGCTCCCCTCCCCTCCATTCACCATAGTTTGTAGAAACTCCCCGCAACTTACGGGAGCCTTCAAACACTGGGTGAAGGTAATTCCTCGGGGAAGCAGTTCCAATCCAAAATGGCGAGGGAAAGTGGTGATTTTTTAAACATTATAGTTTCTGGTAAAGAGGGACTCATTTTAAAAGGGCGATCCAAATGAGACGGCGTATGGTGAGCCGGTCGTAGGAAAGGCTTCCTGAAGTGTAAGAAACTGCCCCACGTGTTCCAAAATTTGCTCGGTCTCAATCCAGGGTAGAGGTTACCATTCTTTACCCGAACTAAGAAAACACAGGTAGAGCGTTGCTGGACACAAGTATGTTTGTAGACCTATTCGTGTCTGGCGTCGCTTTCTGTTATCGCGTGATGTGATCCGCGAAAGCTGCTTGTATCGATTCGAGTAAGATTTGGGGGACGGCCAAAGCATTCCCAAAGTCAGAGTAAATGGCATTGTGAAAGCCAGCGTGCCATGCTGTTGGATGGCGCAATGCTTGAAGTTTATTGTTAAAGTGCTGGCAAATGCAAGCATGCACGAAGGTCGGCATCTTGGTGGCTTCTGATCTTGTGTCTGTTTTAGTTAATTGCGATAGCTATAGTATGTGTTGATTTGACAGCACAGCAGCGCGTTGTCAATGAAAGCAGAGTGCGGGAGCAAAGCAAAGGAGGGCTTGATTAAAAAAAGACAAAGGGTAAAAACAACAAACAGCCGAATCCAACACCGCCACGAAGGAGATTGAACGAAGACAACACAGAGGAAGGAGAGGAGAGTACTTTCGCCGGCGCTGGGCGGCAGGACATAGTTTCATTTTTGTGTTTTTGTCTTTTTCCCGGCGATGCAGAATGCCTGGTTTGTTATATGAGGGGAGGTAGTTGCCGGGGCTGTTTAAAATCATGGTAACATCTGTCACATCACATGAACGGAGGACGCATAATTGAGGTTTCACTTGCCAGCCTGTGTGTTAAAGTGGAATCCTATTTACTATTGTAATATCTTGAGTCTTCCCCCACCCTAATTTTTGGGTAAAATATTTATTTCCAAAAGAACAGAAAGTGATTTCCCATTCCTACAAATGCCCATACTCCCTGAATGTCACAATTGTGGACTGTAAGGTTGGAGAACATTCGATACAGAGGAAAAATAAAGGAGGGAAATAAGCTTTGTTTCGTTCACACACTCTTCCTGATTTCTACGACGCCGATGTCAGAGGACATTGGAAAAATGATGGAGGTAACAGAATGAAGTTTTGCTCTGTTGACAATCAAAACCAAATTCATTTGTACCCCTATAAGATACGACAAGATTGCTAGCATAAGAAGTAACCCATCTACGGGATTGCAACATCGGCAAACACCCAATCTTTCCGAATTTAACTGCACAACGTAAGGTCGAACAAGGTCGATAGTGAGGAAGAAGAAATGGATGACGGAACAAAGCTTTCTTTTGTTCGTTACTGAAAGGGAGTTTGACTCCGCCTGAAATAGAGTGAAAGATCCTATTTGCAAACCGCAAGGTCAGTAAACGCTCATCCAATCTTCCAGGATGTTGCGACCACGGTTTGTGAGATTGGATGTGGTTGGGACAAACACGAACGCATGTGCACAGATGCTCTTGTTTCGAGCTATACGTCATTAGGGATTCATCCACGCCACGCAGCAACACCCAGGCATGTTGCATGCACTCCTTGCATGTGCGCATGCAGCATTCACCGAACGAGACGGTTGCACAAAAGCCTCGGGATTGACAAGGCACCCAAAGCTTCTCTCAGCGAGATGAAACGCACTGTCCACTTTGCCCATCGGCTCGCTCGTTCACCCCGCTGCACATAGTTCGTTTCCCTACTTGTCGGTCACCCTTTTTTGTTTTTTATTCACTCCGTTCACTTTTGGGCCTACAGATCAGTGAGGGCTAGGGAGCCTAGTGAAGACTATAGACGCAACATTGCAGTTTCCAAACATGCTTTCACGGAACAAGGGTTTGCGCTAGAAGGGCACGTTTCAGTAAACAATGCATCAGGATGCGAGCCGTGCGGGTACGCACTGCTCGCATTTTGATAGATGCTTGGGTTTATGCTTATGGGAATGGGTCCTGCTTGTTGTGCGTATACAAAGCGACGGTCTTTGCACAACAGACAACAAAATGTTCTTTCACAATCATTTCGGAAACAAAAGAGTGACAGACACTGAAGTTCCTAGTTCACCATATCTCCCATCCAGCTGCGGTATAGTGGCATACAGAAAAATGGGGGTTTTCATTAGCTTTCTTTAATCTTTCTTTTGCTCGCCCACCCACCACTTCTTTTAATAAGCTCCAGGCGCGAGGAACAGAGTGGGGCGACAACTCGGTATATTATGGTGGCATGCCGTCGCCTGTAACTGTAGCGCATCCTCATTTGTGGTTCCTCGATTTCCGCCAGACGACGTCGGACTGTCGTTGTGCCATTGCCTTCTGCGATCTCGGTGGTGGCACGGCGGCAGATGCAAATGCAGCAGAAGCCCGTTCTGTCGCAACTCGTTCCGCAGCCAGGTGGTCGACGATCACTTCGGCAGATAGAAATCGGGACATCATGACAACGTCCACACTACCATTCAATCTTTTGTTTTGCCTGTACTTCTACGACCAACCACCACGGTTGCAACATTCGACGGCACAACATACTGGCTCCTGCGCAGTGGCGTAGCCAGGGGGCAGGCTTATGAAACTTTAGCCCCTGCCCCCCCCCCCCCCCCCCCCCCCCCGCCCCAAGTCATGGGCATCCCAGCCACCTCAGCCCCCCCAAAAACATTCGGGGCTACACCACTGCTCTTGCGACATGATCTTGCCACTTCTGGATTGCTTTCGAAGTTTGAGCAAGTTTGAAGCCCCCAGGGCGAGCTTTCTACTTTCGACACTGCTTCAATGTCTCTTACACCTCAAGCGTGCACGCCAGTGAAAGCAGAGTGGAAGGTACAGAGCACGTGCTGGGTGTTCGAAAGGCACACCCAGCCCTTCTCACTCTGTCAGGTATTATGGTCAGTGACGGGTTAAGGGTTCGGGAGAAGCTCCTCCCACCTCTTCCCACTCTAGCGAAGCGAACACCGGAAGGGAGGTTGCCTCTGCTTTGGCGTTTGCTCTGCCAAAGTGGAAAAAGGTGGGAGGAGCTTCCCTAGAACTCTCAACCCATCGCCAACCACAGAGCGAGTTCCAAAAGAGGGCGCCCTGGGCGCGCTCCGGTCCGCAGGTTGCGTACGCCTTCGACGCACTGCTGTGGCACCCATCGACGCGCGGCCCCCTGGTGGCGGCGCAGGAGGTGCCGGGCTACCTGCTGGACCTGTTGCACGACCGGAGCCCCGAGGTGCGGCGGACGTGCGCCCATGCGCTGGGAGTGGTGGCCGAAGGCGACGCCCGGTGGGCGCGCCGCCTGCGGGAGGCCCGCTTCCGCTGCCACAACGCCCACTGGCTGGAGGTGGCCGCCCAGCCGGGGGACGGGGGCGACGTGGGGGCCGACGAGGGGGGCGAGGAGCTGCTCGACAGGGCCGACCTCCTGTCCAGCGGCAGCGGTGCATCCGACCCCTGAGGGATGCCGCGCGGTGCCAGCCGTTCCACAGTGCCGCGGTAGAGCCACTAAACAAGTTCAGTAAAGACGGGAGTGGAACGCTGCAAATCGTAAGCACAGACATTGCTGGTACCGAGCGCAAGAACGAGAAAGTGGACGATACGTTAGGCACGTTGGTTTTGCCACGACAAGTCAAACTTGTTGGAGCGCTCGTCGACTTTATTTATTTTTATAAGATGCGCGCCGCCGGTGTTGTGCGAAATAAGGCTAGAAAAATGCTAAGTACAGACCTCACGAGTGACGCTTGCTTGCTTCCTCCTGTACAGCGATTCGTCTCTGGCGATACAATCCCGTTGGGACCACTGACATTCACGTCCGTGCCATTCCAAAGCGGCTAAAATGTATGGGACCTTACTCTCTAGATTACTATATTAACCATTCGTCGCTGGAGGCTTCAACGCTTCGTTTCCCGACCGTCTCGTGGGTGCCACCTTTTGACGTCTAGTGCGGAGCTGGCACGACTGGTGACGGTTACAGTTAGAAGGTGCGACGTCCCAAGTTTTGGATGCGGCGTCTGGAAGCTTGGGTGACAACGATCTGCCCTGTCACGGACCGCTTGAGTGTTTCTGGGTGCGGGAGCCTAAACAACAAGGTGGTCAAAGCGGCACTACTCAGTCTGGAGCTTGGCTTGTTTGGTGGTTGTAGCCGACGAAATAGATGCACGTTTCAGAGTCGTTCCTAATTTGAAACGTGCCTTGAGACATAAATATTGCGCTAAAATATTTTAGTGTGTGAAAATTCATTTTGTGACAAGAGAGCCCCATCGTGACGCTACATCATGTTAAAAAAAAAAAATTTCGGGGTGGGTTGTTCTCTTACTGCTCCTAGAAAGAGCCTGGTTCTGCCGAAGCTTTCTCAACGATCTCCGAAAGTGAGTGCTTTGGAAGGCAGTTATACGAATATGGCGCGATGGGACGTGCTCCTCCTGGGCCCTGAGTCACGAGGCTAACCTCGGCACTCGTCAATCCGCTGTCTGAGCAACGTGAATATGTGCACCGGCTGCGTCTACGCTTACTGTGCCCGTGTACATCGTGAAATAGCGAGTACATGAAGCTTCCCAAGAAGTGCAAATGGAGTGCTTATTTATGTATTTATTTTTTGTTAGACCAATTGGACAGAACTGGGCACTTTGTGCCTTACATTAGTTGCAGGTGCATGGTGCTTGCAGCACGATCTACCATATTTTCAAGTCTGTACGTCGCAACCCTCTATAAACGTCTGTTTTCATAAAGAAAAGAATATATGTCTCATCTTTGTATTCATTGCACCTACCTAATATATATTTATTTGGTCGACGTAGCAGAATTCCAGTTAAAAGACCGCATATCTATATTATGATCGCAATATATGCGCAAGCTCGAATATCCTGGTGAATGACTCGAATGAGAAATAACTCTGATGGCGAATTTCGGCAGTTAAAGGCCGACCAACAAGCAGAAAGGAGGATCTCTCCATTCCTTTCAAAAAAGCAAGAGACGCTCTTTTCTCTTGGGCTCGCGATAATTCAAACTTGGATATTTCATGCTTCCGGTTAATTCGAGAGAATTTAAACGTTTTGGATGTCCCGCTATGTTTTCAATGCATTTATAAGCTGCTTAATTCAAACAGCGTGTTTGTTTAATTCATTCTATTTGTTCACCACGGCGGTTTAGCCCCGTTGAGTGCGCTTCTCACCGAGCACCCGTGTACTGTGGGAAAGCAATGCCCACGAGGCTCGCAGGCATTGCTTTTCTGCAGTACGTGGGTACTTGGTGACAAGCGCGCTCAATGGGACTAACCCACCGCAATTATGCAAGCAGCACTGTCCTGACAATCTGCTTTCATTATTCATACTTGTTTTCTTTTATTTTTCTGAGGGGGTTGCATTTGAGACTAAAGAAGGAATATTTGCATATAGACCTATCCAGCGGCAGTCTCGAACGAAGCGATTTAAAGCGCGCCTTTCTGGTTTTGAGAGGGTACGTCAGTGTTGCCGGACTGCGCTGGGCTGTGGGTTTTCTAGTCAGTGGGCTGTGGCAGCCTGCGTAGGTGCACTTCCGCACGCTGGTGGAGGCTAAATTGCCGCCTTTTATTTTTTCCCTTGTGATCTATGGCGAATAGAATTTCTTGGAGTTTTTAAGAACGTATTGTACAATTTTTTTTTAACAAAAACTATTTTGGCGAGTCCGAGCGTGGCAGAACAAATGCAGTGGAAATGTTCGTTTCAATTTATGTTGATCTTTTTATGGCACCGTACACTCAGTCATTTCAATCTACGAAGGTGTTTACTGTCGAAACTATTTCACCACGCAGAATATTCGAACTGCAGGGGTACCTGCCTACAACATGAAATTCAGCGAATCTCATCAATCGAACAACATATATTGTACGCATACCTCGGCAAACCTCACTCATGAGGGCCCTCACTCACCCTCACTTACCCTCATCTTCACAGGTGAGGTGAGGGTGAGTGAGTTTCTGAACCAAAAAAACTCATGAGTATGAGGGTGAGTGAGGATGAGTGAGGGCGGTGAGGGGTATAAGGGCCATGAGTGCGTGAGGGCGTGAGGGCGGTGAGTGGCGTGAGGGGTGTGAGGGCCGCGAGGGCGGTGAGGGGTATGAGGGCCATGAGGGGCGTGAGGGCGGTGAGTGGCGTGAGGGCCTTGAGTGCGTGAGGGATGTGAGGGTGGTGAGGGGTGTGAGGGCCCTGAGGGCAGTCAGTGTCATGAGAGGCGTGAGGGCCGTGAGGGCGGTGAGTGCATGAGGGGTGTGAGGGCCTTGAGTGCGTGAGGGGCGTGAGGGTGGTGAGTGCGTGAAGCCCCTTCAGACGGAGCATCTTTCTCAGCAATTTTGGTGTTGATGGCGGGTTGTTCTCTAGCTTTCCCTAGATCGACACGAATTGCTGAGATGGGGTCCGGTTCGAAATAATCAAGCAGCTCGGAGCAATTCGAAGACGTTTGAAGCGGCTGCATCCAATCGGGGACGCAAAATGTTCACGTGATACCTCGTGCCAAAGATGATGACACCGAAAGACTTGGTTCTGGTTTGAAATCGATCGTTTTTGGAAATAAACTGTGTCAGAAAGGTACGTTAGTATTCTCAACGAGATTTAAATGTATAAAAACACTTTTATAACGTGTAATTGTGTCTAAATAGTGCAAGAAAAGTAAATTTCATGATGATGTTGGCAAATTGCAGCAATTGGTTGCTGCCTGTGATCGCGGGCGGCCCGTGTTGTTGGTGTTGCGACGTCAAGTTTCTGGGCGAAATTGTCCCATCTGAAGCTGGCCTGAGTGGCGCGAGGGCCATGAGTGCGTGAGGGCTGTGAGGGCCGCGAGGGCGGTGAGGGCTATGAGTGCATGAGGGCGGCGAGTGCGTGAGGGGCGTGAGGGTGGTGAGTGGCGTCAGGGCGGTGAGCGGCGTGAGGGCTATGAGTGCGTAAGGGCCGTGAGGCCGGTGAGTGGCGTGAGGGCTATGAGTGCGTGAGGGCCGTGAGGGGTGTGAGGGCGGTGAGTGGCGTGAGGGCTACGAGTGCGTGAGGGCCGTGAGGGCGGTGAGTGGCGTGAGGGCTATGAGTGCGTAAGGGCCGTAGGGTGGTGAGGGGCATGAGGGCGGTGAGTGGCGTGAGGGCCATGAGTGCGTGAGGGCGGTGGGGGGCGTGAGTAAGTGAGGGCCGTGAGGTTCAGTGAGGGTGAGTGAAGGGCTGAAGGTGAGTCTGACTGTGAGGATGAGGGTGAGTGAGGGGCTGAAGGTGAGTGTAGCTGTGAGGGTGAGGGTGAGTGAGGGGCTTAGGTGAGTGTGGCTGTGAGGGTGAGGGTGAGTGAGGGCGACTTAAAATGCCGACCTCTGATTGTACGTACCACACTGTGCCGCTTTGTCCGAACAGGCTTTGAGTAAGGTTTAAAATTACATAGCAAATCCAATGTACAGTGTCGACGACAGTCACTTCACTACAATCGGACGGAATCCAGATTTGTCTTGGGGCACGTTCTGAAGACTGCTGATTTTCTACACAGCACCAAAGCAACTAAACGAACGTGTCTATTCTGTCCCCATACCCCGGACCCTATCGGTTATTTTTTGCAAAGACCGTAAACATAGCCGGGAAGGTTTTTCGGAGTTTATCTCGACGGAACTAATCCTCAAGAACGGCCTGTGTCGCGGGCTGCTTGACGTTCACTCTCTTCCTTTGTTTCCTGCGAAGGCTGAGCAGGCTACGAGCCCTGGTATTCTTTGGCTCTCACAGTGGAAGATAACACACAAAGTGTAAGCATCCTGAACAAGCAAATAAAGTAAAAAGTTTCAAGAAAAGCCAGCGAACTTTGAACACACAATGCAGGTGGGGAGTCGCACTGAACGGGTTTCCACAGCTCGGGCGGGTGGCAGAAATTTCTGACTGATAGGGGTCGCTTGATTCGCAAAATGGCGGCGGCCAGGGAGCTCTTTTTGCAATGGTCTATAGCAAGTAGAAATCTGTCATTTACATGCCACCCTAATGTGGGCATTGGGTTTTCTGAGGCCACAGTTCATAGATATAGTAGTTATATTAAAACTAACAGTTCAGAAAAGGACAAATGGAAGGTTGGGAACGACCTTCATGAGTTCAGCTGAATTTTCATTTAAGCATGGTACAACAGTAGTAAAAGGGGCGAGAAACTATTTGATTAGAAAGTATTAGGCCAAAACCACTATTCGGTTTTAACTTTACCAATGTTTCAAGCGTGTGCCTGCTTATATATAGGCCTGTGTAGAGGAAAGTGTCGACAATCTGCTTGGTATGTGTAGCTATTTCTATAGCGAATTGCTACTTTGCCTCGCATCATATTTAGATGAATTACTGATATTTAAAACGAAAGTCTGTGGCCTCCTGGAGTTTGAACTAGTGAAAGTTGACTGTGGGTCAGAGAGCCACTCCTGTGGAGAGGGGAGGAGAGTGTGAGAGCGAATGCAAAGAAGGAAACTGGCAACCAGTTTTCTGCCCGGCAGAAGGCGATTTTGTGGGTCGCCCTTTAAGGTCCATATTTATATGAAAAAGAATGTATATAAGTTGCGACGTTGCAAAAAAAACAAAAACTGAGGGGAATTTAAAAAAAAACGGGACTTGTATGCCTGGAAACGTGGTATATAAGCAATATCGCAGCACATTTTTCTTGCTTCGTTTTAACTGTATGCTAGGAAAGCATGGAAGATCAAAATTGAGTGCAAAAATGTATCCGTATCGAACAACGAAGAATCTTGACCACGGTTTATCTAGAAGTCACATTTACCCACATTTGTTTTGGAACAGTGTATATTTGCAATTGAATTGTGATGTTTTGAATTTTTATTTTTAGGCCTTTTTTTTGTATTTAGTTTGTTGTTTGAGAGCATAAAAAGACCCGTGATGCTGATCGTTGCGTTGGGTTAGTTTAAGTTTGCGTGACACGGAGCACGAGAGAAACCGAAGTATACATACTCGCATTGTGCATGAGCGTGCATGCAGATATGGTCGTTCTGTGGGACGTGTACGAGGGCACTTTCCATCTAGGACCAGTCCCCCCCCCCCCCCTTCGGGTCACTTGTTCCACCCAACCGTTTGTCTTTCGAAGTACGCCGTTACGCAGCCAGCAGAAGTGGCTGTTCCTGTGGCCCTTTTCCGACACCGGGACCAGCCGGTGCCTGTGCATTGCATTCGGCATGTCTCAGATGCTCCTGCCACCCTCCCACCAGCCTCGTCCCACAAGAGCACGAAGAGGCTGAAGTGCGTGGCAGTGCTCCAGCAACGGGCAGACGTCCAGCACGCCACGCCAGGAACTGTGCAGCGGAACTGCTCCTGCGTTCACCGAAGTTGCCAGCACAATGACTGTTGCGTTTGAATTGGTGTGCCGAACAGTCGTGACCGGCGAGGCGGGAAGATTTTATGAAACAGTGTTGTGTTTGAACGTTGTGTTCTTGATGCGAGTCTGACGCAGGTATACTCGCACGCAGTGCCACTGGGTCAAGAGTCCTCTTTATCGCGACGAACTTTCGAGGATAGATTCTTTTCGGCCTCTCTTTCACGGAGCTTGTTGACGTAGTAGTGGAGATCTTTCCAAGGCTCCGAGAGTTGAACGCATGCGCTGGGCGAGCGCTCCACATGGGCTCTTTACGGCGGTTGCCTCGGCAAACGTTTGGGTCGAGGGGTCGCGTCCGATTCTGTTTGGTTGCACGTGGCTACGATGAACATTTGGCAGCATATTTCCGGTACCAGGTTGTGTGGCAGAAAATTCTGGCTGCTAATC